GTGTTTCAAAGTTTTTACTCCAATTGTCAGTCTGCAAAATCCATTGTGGGATACCGATCCCGATGTATTTTCATAGTAATTAAATATCAGCTTGTGTGGTAACTGAATATCATACAGTTTCAAAGTACAGAATCATGAGCTCATAAACGTATAAATGCTCATTATCAACACCCCGCCTCTCAAAATTCAAAAACACAAGTTAAATTAATCTGTTCGCGGTATTTTTTGCAAAGTAGGTCAAAAGTCAAGGCCAAGTGGATTGTAACGCTGGTATTTTTCTTAATGTCTTATGACAATCAGTGGACATGCTAAATAGCATAGACTTACCTCTTAAATGTTAGAAATATGCTGTATATTGGTACTATTAACTATTTTGAAATGTAAGTCAAAGGTCAAGGGTCGGGAGGTCGGTAACAATGGCAATGCACAAAAGCCATAGTGCCAAGGAATATATGTGCTAAATATCAAATCCTTATCTCTTACAGTTCTTGAGATACAAGATGTAACAGACAGACGCCGGGTAAAGTGATCCCTAAGTGCCGCTCTGCTCTGCAGATGACACAACAATTAATATCGTTTTGCGTTTTTTTAAGATTCTTCTTTTTATCTGCTACATCTTTATACCCTGCATTTCCTACAGATATTCCCCAACTGTTGCTTCCAAACTTTTCAATTATAAACAAACTGTACAGTGCCTTGATATGGAACATCTAAATCAAAATCTTGCTCCTTTTGTTCTTTCAACTATAGTCCAGCTGGACACGTCATTACTGGTGATGTAAATATAGTTGAAATGACGACCTAAAAGCAATCATTTTAAAAGGTCCTACATACAGGGAGCCCGGATCTATCAATTGGCAAGGATTTTGTCAGACGATGGGCGAAATATGAAAGGAAAAACGAAGACACTTTGTCAGAATGTTTTAAGTAATTTAGAAATACGTTATTATGTACTAAAAAGTTAAAGGCAATATGCGAACCTATACCCTTCCGTTTGCACTAAATCGGAAGTGATGAAAGAATTCATGAACAATGTATGGTACCAACAGACAAGGCTCGTAACAATACCGTCTTTGTTTGTAAAGCTCATTATTATAACTGTATTTTAGAAGAACTTGGTTTTAATTCTTCATCTGGAAATCCTACTTATACTAGCAGTTCTTCACTTTCTAAGGAGGAAATTCTTTAAAATCACATTTCAGTCTTTAATAGTTTTAACATTCCAGTCAAGGAAGGTGACATCGATCTACCCTACCTATACTGGATTTCTAAACGTCACAAAAATCGATCCTTACACACAAAGATAAATTGCAGGGTCCAGAAACTGCAACCAAACCCCTATCTTTACTCCTCATAAAAATAATAAGCGCTGAAAAGGAGAAACTTCAGTGCTTACTCCTCCTTGGCCCCTGATCTGACCTCTGGAATATACAGGGTCGGTTTCTTATGTCCTGTTCAAAGAATTGTATTGTTTTTAGGTTTTATGAGATCGATCACAATTTTATTTTCATTTATTTCATTCGAAACTTCCTCGAGCTGAAAAAAAAACCAAACAAACCAAAAAAACGGGTTTTTCTTGTGATATTGTCATTGACGGTTGAATTTTCATGCCTTATTGTCATGACTGCATCCAGTGTCAACTAATAAACAATGATATGTTGAAAACTAGAAAGATTTTTGACATGCACGGTATATTTTGTTGATTTGAACATATTGTCGTCGGCGACAATATGCACCTATCCTCACTGCATATAGTAGTTTTTAATGGCACATATTTTCATCAGCCTACCTTCACTGCACATATTGTCGCCCCACCGTTAGGCTTCCAGCAATATGCATGATGATAACGATGATATCAAAAATCATATCTAGTTTTCATGAGATTCTGTAAAACATGAAAACTATAAACGCTTTCTATCTATTTTGTTCTTTAAAGCCTCTCTCGCTCTCTCTCTCTCTCTCAACCTAACTCAAATACTCCCAATTTTTCCCCAAATTGTATCGCAGACTATAAATTGGATACTGTTTTTATATCGTGTAAACTATAAATAACCCTGCATTATATTATATTAGGATTGCATGTTTATTTACAGAATTCCATGTTATTAATCATTATGAAGTATATATTAATTTTATTTCCATATGGCACGTTGGGATGAGATCATTGGTTGTGGACAAAATTACATATTTATGTATTCAGGGGATCCCTATAAATACAAGTAATACATATTCCTTGGAATTTGGCGAGTCTGTAATTCAGAGATTATCATTTAAGTGTTAAATATGAAAATCAAGGTATGATTTTTATTTTATTTACTGATTATGTAAGCTAATGATTTTTAGTATAATTGCAAATTAATCTTTTAAAGTGTTCATTTTTTATTATCATAATTTAATACGATGGCTAAACTTAAATTCAAAAGAAGTCATTCAAGTCCAAAGTAACTTTTCAAAAACTCGGTATAATAATTTTTTTTCTTGAAAAAAACTTAACAATGACTGCATTGAATGTAAATACATGTATCTAATATTCCTTATTAAAACAGTATTATATAAAGGAACATCTGAAAATTCTGAGTAGGTATCATATCTCTCTCTCTCTCTCTAGATTAATCTAAAGAACTATTTATTTCTTTTCCTGGTATGTCCCTGAAGAGTGTCCTGTATTTTGCTGTTATGACCTGGCTTACGATTCAAGTCATGGGAGGGAATTATGGTACCAGCAGATATGGAGGAGTCGGGTTTTCTGGCTACCCAATGCCCCTCATTTATCCAGCTTTGTATCAACCTCCCGTCAGCTACCTGCCGTACCAAACCCCGTCATTTTACAACTATTACGACCCACCCCTCATTGACTACCCCTTGTATCAACAGTCCTACCCCCGGGATCCCATCATTATCCCCACCCATGATTTGTATGGAGAAGAAATATATCAGAATAACGTTGTTTTTCACATACTCCTGATATGTAAGACATTCTGTCAATTGTATTAGTTAATTTTAAAAAATGCGAAGAAGTGTACCATATACTATAAGTAGGCATAACTATGTATATTGTTCATTGTTATTTTTTCCTTTACGCAGTTTTTCTGTTGGCCATATTCGCACCTATGCTGATTTCATCTTTGACGGTGAGCAATGACATCCTTCAATAAAAAATAACCAGGTATGTTTTGTATTCTGTAATTATTTAATGTGTTAGGAAAGGGTAAATAATTTTTTTTTTTACATAATCTTTCCTCGTCAATAGAAATTAAATCAGCGCATCTTTGACGTTAATATTGATTCAGATCAAAAGATGAAATGATTCAGTGATTGTTTGAATGATTTCCAATTGTTGATTTCATGTGATGTAGGTTGGCGATGATGATGATGATGATTAAGACGATGATGGCTTACACTACAGATAACATCACCAGGCTGTATTTACCTTCTATAATAAAAGTTCCTCTTTTCGTCGTAAACTGTCTTTGTTTATTTAGAAAAGGTTCCTGACTATACAAGGGAAAATGAAACATTGATTAAGATATTGTAAATTAAGAGTCAACATGTATATATACTTGATTGTTTCTATTAAGAAGCAGGATACCGTTTTGAAACCAGAAGTTTTGAATTAGATCTTTGAACAAAAGTATAGCTATCAGTGTACATATGTGTCCTTGCAAAAATGAATGTCATTTAATACAAACTAGACATGTATGTCAGGCCATAGGAACCGGGGGCACGGTAGTAACGCCCCCTCCCCCCCCCATTTACCATGTATACTTTACAATTTAGAAAACAAAGCTAATTTATAATTGTGCCCCCTCAAAATTTCTTCCTATGGGCCTGTATTAGCTTTTTTTTTTTTTACATGTGTAATACATTCACTTACGAAACCCAAATGTTAATTATGTAGATCTAATTCTTATCTTTTCCCTCATTTCCTGCAATAGGATTAACACCGGCGTCAAGTCCAGTGACAAAGCTGGTTTCATATTTAAACGAAGAAAAGAAGAAAAAATGCTTGACATGACCGATCCGTCTTCAACTTACCTTTCCGATATGTTACTGATAAGTCGATGAAAGCTATAAGAACAAAATCTAATGCTAAAAGAAATTCATTTTATCGATTAGAAACCAAACCAAAGGAAAAAAAAAAGTAAAAGAAAAATTGCTTATTCTGATATCAAATTTAATTTGAAATTTAAGTTAAAAAATTTTACGCTTTACAAGTTGCAGTGCCATTGTAGCATCTTTTTTATGTATCATTTGTTTGTGTAATAGCAGTAAATATTTGGATCAATCACTCATATATTTTGCTATTTTGAAATAATTTGATAATTGATTTGTTCTGAAGGGATTCGTCAAAATTCCCCCCACCCAAACCCCGTGTCGCAAATGTTGCCTCACTTGGGACAAGCTATGACACCGTGACTAATATTTTTGTAATGTACTAATGTCACTCACCGTTCACTCAGTATATTTAATGATGACAAACATTCTTGGCGATCATTGCCCAGAAGCCGGTTATTCAACAAAGTGCAACAATGTGTAAACTATAGGAAAAGATGCAAATACATGTAGGTTTCTCTACCAATTCATCTACTTTACAAAAATTTTAAATATTAGCTCATAAAGCAATTATTTCTAATAAATAAATAAATGTATGTGGGGGTGGGGTGGGGTTGTGGTTTCAAAAACTAAATCTATATGTTTAACAACAATTAAAAGATTTTCATTGTTTTTTACACTGTAAAACCTTACTAAACCTTACACTGTAAGATCTTACTAATTTATACATTCGTGAATTTATAATTCACACATACAGAGAGAGAGAGAGAGAGAGAGAGATCTATTCATGGTTTGTTGGTCAGTGTAGATTTCTATCTCTGCATGTTAGAAACCATGTACGTCGGTAGAGGCATGCTTCCCGTACTGCACACGTGACATCAATTAATGTACACTTCAACCAAAATCAGACCCGAAGTAAATCACAACAAAGAATTGTCCAGGCAAACTTGGAAGTAGAACGAATGTGCCGCATTGATGGAAGAGGACTTTGTCAGTGCTTTGCTCCGAAACTCAGGAAATTCCCCGGAACAGCAAAGTAAAGGTTCGCCGTCTGCTGACAAATCATGCGTCTCCAATTCCTATCAAAACTTGAGAAGTCCCGAGGTTTCAGGGATGTGGGACTCCACTTTGGATATTTCTGTGATGCATGGCACCTCCAGTACCCAAACTTCAGAGGTTTGTTTTTAAAATATGAGACTTTTATTATAAAGGTCAAAGAGAGTTTATTAAAAAGAAAAGTGTCCAAACCGTTGCAGTTGTTTCTGTGGGGGAAAAAATAACATAAGAAGCGATATTTTAACATTTAAAAAATGTTTATCAGAAAAGTATTACCCCTATATCCCTCACTCTATTTGAGGTATTTGAGATAATTTGATTGTTGGAATGGAAAAAGGGGGTGAATTATTTTTTCCTTACTTCATACATGCATAGAGCTTAAAGCTATGATGCAGACAATCGGTTAATGATACTTAAGGAATGGAAAAGAAAATACGCACGTGAACATCGACTTGAACTGAACAAACACATAAAATAAAGCAGATGCTGAGGGTATATGATTTTTAACTACTGACGTTGAAGATATGTATAATGGCATTCTCACTAAAGCTTAATATTTTGATGCCCCCATAATCACAAATTCGGGGGCATATAGTTTTTGGTCTTTCTGTTTACTTTTAACTTTGCCCATATCTTTTGAACGGTCAAGGCGCTAGGGTTTTCATATTTCACGTATTCCTCGTGATAGAACCTTTCTTTGGGTACCAACATGTTGGACCTCTCATGACCTTGATCTTGTGGTTTGATCTACTTTTGAAAATTTTTAGCTTGGCTATGAGCTGCCATTCGGGGGAATCTGTTTTTCGCAAACACATCTTGTTCGCCTCTGATGTTGCTCGGCAAATTAATGTTGTTGTACAGTATACGAGATATTTATATTGTATGAATACATTTTTTTTTCAGATTGCATAGATAAAACATTTATACCAACCGCGTAAGTTCAGTAGCGGCGAAAAACCCTTTCCTGATATTTAATAGTTCAGTTAGATTTGATTAAATGTTTTGTATTGAAAAAAAAGTTAACATTGTAAAAGCCTTATTTAGTATCAACTTGCATTGGACATTATCATTTTAAAGACAAAACATTCTATCTATCAAAGACAGTACAAATTAAGTGGGTTGCTTTGAAGTGTAATTCATTTCTTTTGGAACAATAAATTATCAACAGTAAGAATTGCGTGTGAATGTGATATAGGTTAATTTCCGGATAAATTTTCCTTCTATGGATTGAATTTATTTTACATTCACTGCTCAAACAAATTCTTTAAAGAAAACTGATCACTTTTTAGTCTAGTAGAGTCTAATAAAATCTTATATTGGTGATAAGATTACACGACTATTGTGTGTGCAAGATGAAAACAAGAAATCAATTATGTTGTGAATTCTTTGATTTTAACCTCTGGTAAATCGTGTAATATGTATGTGATTGGTAATTTTTGCTAGATATCAAAACAATTTACATTGTATAGATGGACCAGTAGACTTATAAATAATGTTTTGGTTGCAGATCAATATATTTTAAATGCTTTAAGCGTATTAAGAATAATTAATTTCTGATGCGTGACATTATCCTATATATTTTATTTAATACCTAGTGTTGTATAAATCGTTTTTTATACAGGTGTAATATTTTGTCAAAACATTGATATCGATATTTTTACGGACTTTCCTAAGTTATCTGTATTAAAGTATCAAAATCTTCAGACTTTATCTTTCATACAGCCAATCGTTAATTTGTTTTTCAGCCCCGCTGGATGCACGACACTGAGTACGCCCTTATTGCTTACAGTATATACGGCTGCATTTTGTTGGTCCTCGCCTGCATTGTGACAGCTCTCTTGGTCGTGTTCGGAAAAAACTGAAAGGTCCTCTCGATTTGCTACAACTTACGCTACATAGTGACTAACAACCTAAACCAGAGAGTTCACCAAGCAGTTCCATAAATCTTGAATATTGTTGTGCAATCGAAAAAGAAATCATCGTTTTCTGTAAAAGATTAGAATTTCATTTTGAGCTTAAAGAAGGATATTCAGTTATTATCAGTCATTGTTAGTCATATGCTCTGGAGGATCGTCTGTCAAACATATGTTTCATTACATGGCTCTGCTTTGCAGACCTTGATCATATTTGTTATTTTTGGGCAAAAATTCTCAAAAAGAATGCAACACAAAATATATTATCAATTTATATTTTATAAAGTTATAATTTGTTTAGTAAAGGAATCCGATGTGAATTCACTGAATTGTATACGTGTTGTGGGAAATCGTCTTTCAGTCTTCAATGCCCTGTACTTGTAGGCGCCAGTCAAGGTATGGCGGAAGTAATGAACCCTACAAAACATCCTGAATGCTAATCACCCGGGGACGAATCGTTCACGCTAAAGCTTAGTTTATGGGATCACAAGTTTCTCAGTTCTCGGATACAAACGTACATTGAATTTAAAGAAGGTCTTAATGAGAAAATGTTATTGGATTCACTGTTTATGAGCTCTCTTAAAACGGGATACAAAACCTAGGCGGACTTTAATTTCTGTTTATGGCTCATTTTGCAGTAGACGGATAGTAAACGAAAATATCACGGCAAAGGAAATTAAAACTTTGAAATAATCATTTCCTTGGACCTCGGCCAGTTCACAAAATACAAAATGTAAACGAAGAATAAAGATGTAAATTATTCATTGATTTTGGCAGGCCGTTAAATTGTTTGTACGAAGCAGGAGCGCTCAAGCTTTTTCCTCTGAATTGAAATAAAACAGCAAATTTCACAAAAATCTTTCAGCATAGGCTAGTGCATGTTAAACAGAATTGCATCAGGGTTTATACGGATTATCGCCGAGTAGTTATATACAGATGTGTGTTTCTTATTGATCTGCTGTCAATTGCATTTGTGTATGATAATTGAATATGTCAACAGCGTAAGCCATTTATGTAGAGGTAAACCTGCACAAATGACAGAGGAGTGTGAGTGATTGGATTTAACTTCTAAAGTTTCGACAGAAATAGTGACGCAAATATGAACTTAAACAAAAGTCTATGCCATTTTAATGTTCATTGCAAATATATTTTCATTTAATGTATTTGGTGGGTCCATCTGAAAGTTTTACAATATTTACACGGATTTGGAGGCAAAGTCATTCATCGTACTTTCCAAAGTGAATTTCATACAATGGATTCTTATGATGATCAACCGGAGGAAGATTTTATTGCTACCCTTCTAAAACAATCGTCTGCTTCATCACACGATAACAAGGCTTATTCTACAACGCCCAGTAGAACTTCTAGTCCCCGGGACTCCCGCACAAGTCAGCCCTTGGTCAGGCATAATGGACATCAACAATTTGGAAACCAAGCGACAGCCCTTCAACACAAAGACAAAACAGCGAGTCCCCAGGCCAGTCATCTAAGTCTCACGGTAATCGTATGAACTAACAAGTTTTTTTCCTCAACATTTAATGTAGATTTTTAAACAAAATTTGAATGTAAACACTTTTAACCCCTTTACCATGCAGGCGCGTAGCTGCCTATACGCAAATACGCAAGTGCGTACGCATCATTTTCGAAAATAAAATAAAATAAATGAATAAAGAATTTTTTTTAAAAATTAGAAGAGAGAGAGAGACGGAAGGTTATTCTGAAAAAAAATCTCAGTACCATCCAACAATTTTTTGTGTTTCATATTGTTTTGTGTCATACTGTTTCGAATCAAATTTAATATTATCATGTCTTTATAATCAAATTTGAAATTTTTTATTAAATAATTGACAAATCCAAATAAATAATTGATTAATCTGTAATTGTTCTATGATACACGGATATTTTTTTTAAAAGATCTTTGAGAAATCATAATTCAAACATTTCGTTGAATGCTATGATCTACTCCTATTCAAATGATTAAAATACGACATTCTTTGTTAATAACTAACATTTATTATACTTGTTGTTGAACGTTAATAAAGAGTTTATGATACCAAATTATCAGTAAAATATATAGCCTCAACTGCACGTACAATAAATTTACATGGAAGTATAAACTTTGCGTTAAAAACAATATTACTATGTCTTTTATTTTCTAAAATTAAGGCAAAATGGCATAATTTTTATTTTACAAGAAAATGAGTGAAATATATGATAAAACTCCGGAGCTTCCGGGGGCTTCGCCCCCTAGGCCCCCATCAGGGTTTCGTCCTGGACCCACTATTGGGGGGGGGGGTCAAGGCGGCCCCAGACACCCTGCCGTTCTCTGCGTACACTTCATTTCCATTCTGGCTACGCGCCTGCCATGCACGAAAAATTGTGAAGATCGAACTACTGTTAATCATATCTTTCGGAATAAAGTAGACGGATTATTATTCAGAGAAACAAAACATTACACAAAGTTGTATTAAATTAGTTTGAAGATGAATATCACTAAGGTTTAAAAGGCAATACTGATATGCTATATGGGGGATAGTAATACATGAAATTTTGTACAAATCTTTATATTCCTTATGTAGTTGTGTAATATGAGTTCAAATGATACTGGAATCTGTCATTTTATTATACATGGTTTTGTGTAAGTAAACTGAACTCGAACAGAATACACCAGGGATTAAATTGAATAAGCGAATTACATTTAATATTTATTTATTTTTACCTAAACCCTGTGTCGTCATGACGCTTTTAAAAATTAAAAACTATTGAACTTTCTGAAGCCAATTTCAAACAAATGTAATGTGAATATTTTTTTAAATCCTTATATCATTCATCAAACTTGTAATTAGGTAGGGAAACCATACCGGGTAACCCCGTTTCTTTTACTGTTGGAGCGTGTTCGAGTGTGATGTAAAGTATGACGTAGAAAACACTTATGGCAAATTTAGGTTTAAAGCAATTCGTGTCGAAGCTCTTCGTTGTAAAGATATTATTTACCATTTCAATGGCAGAAGGTTAATTCTGTTATTCTTAGTGGAAAACCTAATTAGAAGCTCTACTTGAAACAAAATTGCGTTATTGTCGTCCTGTACAAAAATTGATTTTATACATTCCATAGAAAGAAATAATTGTTTAGTGATCATAAAGGTTAGAGTTACATTGTACGTGAAGAATTATCATCATAGCACATTTACAATTTTTTAACAGTTGATATAAACTGGAATTGTTACATTTTGCGTTATTAATTTTTGCGTCAAGATGACGCAGAATATATTAATGCAATATGTAATATTCTACTACGGTTATTGCCGAGATCAAAGAAATGCCGCGGACATTATTCTCCAATAAATCACGAACGTCATCAAAAAATTATCAGATCAGAAACACATGTCAAATCTGTACAGTTGAAATAAATATTTCACTGTATAATCTAATACTTATTTAGACCACATCGATGTGTCGTCTTACGCAGTCTAAACGTGTGTATTGCCTGAAACAGCTGATAAATATCCATTTTTATAGCCAAATGGGGCTGTTCTACGGACCTCCCCACAACATTTACACTCCCGTGATTTTACTGATAAATCAATGAAAAAGACAACTGATTTTGTTATTTTTCATTCATAAAAATTAATCAATCTATGTTACAAGCAAATTTATAAATAATTAAAGGATATTTTTAATCCAACAAAAGTTAAAATCGTCTGCATTTTATGCAATCGATTGACCCTCTGGTGTTAAATGGAACAGCGGAATTGCGACATGGTGACCTAATTCGTTTCTCTTTAGAGAAAACGATCAACTGTATTTTAGAGCCGTTAGTAGAATAGAAATAAAGTCCTTGTTGTCGTGAATGATGCAGGATAACCTCCTCGGTCTCGAAATGTTGTCTGAAATATAAAAGCCTCGGCTAACGCCTCGGCTTTTATATTTCAGACAACATTTCTCGACCTCGGAGGTTATCCTGCAACATTCACGATAACGTGGACTTTATTTCTTAAACACACTTTTTGCATCATTACATTTTTGCATCGAGATAAATGCAAAATGCAATGGCGCAAAATGTAAAAAGACACTTTTTTGTCATGTACATTGAGATTAATCATCATATTTCCAAATGTGTTAACAAATCAGTCATTACGATGTTGAATTTTACACCAATTACTACAGATTGCTTTAGTATATTCTGTTTCCTGATCAACGAGAAATATAATACTGCAAACTCTATTTCAAGGGGTCAAATATTATATACCAATTTTTTTGGCTTTCAGACAAAGGCAAGTTTATTACCCCCCACCCCTCCCTCAGCAAATACTTTTCGAGCCGCAGTTATTTGCTTTGTGACAGGGGACTCTTATGTTCTATATAGTTTACTGTTTTTAATCATGGCCATCACAATATGCCATCTCGGTCATGTCATATTAATCAGGGTGGTTACAAAATCGTGGTTAAGTCCAGGCTGACAACCATGACCGAGTCAATATTGTACTTGACTTTTTATTATTAAAAGATACCGGGTACCCCCCCCCCCTACTTCGGTACGTTACTAAAAGTAAAAACCAAAAATCGCTTTGCAGTAAAAAGAGGTCCATTGCCGATCGAAAAAGGTAGATTCTTGGTAGGAAGATTTTCATCTTTTGATAAATTCTATCCCCTCTAGAATTTATTTCGTCTTGCACGGCTAAGGTTCAACCTATTCCATTCTCATTATAAGCTGGAGTGGTAATCATGGTCAGTTTATAAGTTATTCATTGATTTCAATAACTACTGGTTTGCCTATACTGTAGTATTTAGTTCATATCGATAAAGGCCAATTTACAAATGAGATCAACATATACACTTTTGCTTTCAATATAACGGATGATAACCTATATTGATTTTAGCTTCTTACATGTAGAGTCAAAATATTAACATGTTTTTCGTTTTCTTTCAGGACCCATTGTTAGATGACAAAGTTTACTCCGCTCTAGCGTATGGCATTTACGGACTACTTTTGTTTTTTCTTACTACCGTGACAACAATTTGCCTCATTGTACTCACTTAAACTAGTCAGGTCTACCAATATTTCTACATTGTTGTATCTTGCCAATACAGCTTGGAAAAAATTCAATTTTGGTGATCTGCGACATCTCTTTAACTTTGTATTCAAATAACGAGAAAAATAAATCAGTCTTAGGGATTGCCAATGGATTAGCATTTGTGACAGTCAAACATCGAACTATTACATTGGAAATGAACTTAGTTCTATAAAAATACATCTAGCAATTAATCCTTTCAAGCAGTTTTCTCCGTACCGAACAATTCGAAAATTGATTATGTGATATGTACATATGCTGCCTTAGAAAGGTAAAAAAAAATCAGTCCAGATATTCTTGTCATTAATATTCAAGATTCTGATGTACAAATATGACACACCAAAAAATAAAAAAAGGGGGAGGGGAGGGGTATTACACAGTAGTAAACTAGAAGTCGATTTTTGTAGGGGAAAACATTATTCTTGTGTCTAGTCGTTGGACTGATCATTGATAAAATTTTGAAAATTAAATGCAATACACATATATTGAATTTTATTTCACCTGCAATAGAATCAAAATATGGAAAAATATAGGAAGGCTACATACATCTGTTGTTTTTAAAGAAAATTATTTTGCACGTCTGTTACCACTTTCTGCTATACTGACAGCTTATTTTGTTTCAAAAGTCAATTTCCATTTACAATCCACCCTAGAACGAAACATCCCGGTGCTAATCGTCCACATCCGAAGTTTCCTCTTCCCCTTGGTCTTCGCCAAACTCGGCATCAAACTCTTTGTCTGCCAATGCAGCCTTGAATGCAGACTCCTCTTCCGGTGAAGGGTCGTCTGCCTCAGTGATTTCCGGTCCACTGGGAAACTCATCCATAATATCTGGAGGCAGTTCCGGTTCGAAGGCATCGCCTAAATTTTTCTGTCCCCATCCAATGTATATTGAGGTGAAGTATCTAAATAGAGAAATTATCCCTATTCAATATGTTTGTATAATGTAAAGTTGTTTGTCTTATTTCACAATCAATGTCTACGCCATCTCAAATCAATATACAACTACATTGTACATGTAAACCTTCGTGGAGATACCAATGAAATTATGATTATATGTGCAGTAAAGTAGGCAGATCTGATTTAATGCAGGACAATTTCGTGATTTCTTTTTATTTGATTGGACTACAAACAACTTACCGCCCCCTTTCGGCACCAAACGTCCACGATCCAGGCCATGTGTTTGACTGCAGCACAGCAACGGCAAACTCTGGCACCAGTCGTGAGGAAATCCGTGCTATCCACGCCGGTGAATCAATTATCGCTACAAAATTGAACAGAACTATCCCATTACTTGATGAGTTTCTTATTCATAATTTTATGGTCGACTGGGGCCGAACACATTTGATTATAACCCAAGAATTGTAACCTCTGTCGCATACAACTTTGATGGTTGTGCAGGTTCCTGTAATATTTTCAAATTATTTTAGTTTTTAATACATTTTATTTGTGGTAATAATGTTACATGATGTGCAAAACAAGCTCTCTTGTTACATGATGTGCAAAAAGATTTTTGTCTGTTCTAAAGCTAGAGTAATGTTCTATATAGTATCTAAGGGGGAAAGTTCGACATTATTTATAAAAGTACTATTTACAGTAAAAAAAAAAGTCAAGAAGGAGTACTATACTCCTGAATTACTTTTAAAAAAAGGAATATTTGTTCAATTTTATATTTTGTGAGCATCATACGTTTATCTTCGGAAGCTGGTGTCAATAATGGTGGGCCTACTTCCGGTTCTGGTTCATCCGGTTCGTTTCGTTCTTCCTCGTCAGAATCTTCCTCACCTCCCTCGCCTGACCTGCCCTCCATCGGGTTATGCCACGTGTTTCTACCCTGTATAACGATTAACTGCTGTTTTGATTGGTCCATTAAGGTATGCGCTCTTGCTCCCTCAAAGGAGTTTGAACAAAAGAGTGGACGGATGGCTTGTTACGATAATGATGTACATGTATTTAAAAATATGGTTTATATACATGTATGTACATGTACAGTACTGTATTTGCTCGCTTGTTTCCCTTGTTGATGTTTATAGTTAGGATTATATATGTGTGTAGTATGTTCAACTTATTTAAACTGCTTTAATCCAAAATGAAAAAAATTCAAGTTTGAGTACCAACCTGAGGTAAAATGGACTGCATGTGATGGCACCAAGTTTGTCCTGTTGGGTCACAAAGATCCCGTAATGGCATTCCTTCAAATTCCTGGTCAATGATACAATTGTTTCTGCCGTTAGTTCCTAGAAGTATAAAAGATAAAAACCTACATATCAGAATTTATTACACGAGTTTAAAACTATACAGCAAATATTGCATTTTTTCTTTGCCTATATATATGTATACTTTGGCTATATACTCTTATGTATTCACTTATTTTGAGGGGTAAATATTCGGGGTTTGAGGAAAAATATATTGGTTCGTGGGAATGAAGAAGTACTGTAAATTGAAGTTTTAAAATGTTGTGGAGGAATTCGTGCACGTGGGTCCCTTCATTACCATGCATGAAAACAAAAAAAATTATACCTCACGAAATAAGTTATTTCATATGGTATTCAAAAATATTTAGCAGCAAGAGTAAAAACGAAAGTGGATTGAAATTATAGCATCGCTGACTATTTTCAGGAGAAGTGTATAATAGCATGTATTTTATAAAGCATTAAGGTCATATTTGTGGAAATTGACCTCTATTTTTTGTTTTAGACTGACTCATTTGATGTGATTAAGTTGATTCTGTCCCTAACCCGATTCTTCTGCATCTTCCTCTTCTTCGTTGTCGTCAAACCGGAAATAACCGATTGGTGATACAGTTGTGGCGGCACTGATACGCGCAATTTGCGCACGCAAGTAATTCTTCTCCAGACCAGGAAATGGAGGATGGCTCACAATCTACAAAGACAAATTCCACTTTTATTTGATTATCAGCATTTTCATTCAAGGGAAAAAAAATGAGAAACTTGATCAAATCTTTAGAATGTTTCTTGCATGCTCATTGAGGTCCCCAGTGAAGAAATGCCTTATTTTCCTGGCTATGACAATTTGTGCAGGGTTAATATGTGGTAGCCGTGTCCAAAGTAATCCGGCTGAAAATAAACAAGTTTAATCAATATATAAAAAGGAAACTTACGTGACTATCGAATTTCTCCAAGATAAGGCCACTGGCAACAAAGGAGGAGGCTAGGTCTTTTACCAGACATTACTAGTCGAGTAGACAGAATTACAATGCCGAAAATAAACAAATAAAAAAAGATAATCCGACAAGGGTAGAGAAGTTAGAATATCTTAAAGATATAAATAACACAAACAAACCTTTTTTCAGAAATCAGCAAAATTTCTCATAGCTTTATTTTCAAATAAGTAACCTAAATAATATTTACCAGGTAAAGTGGGAGAATTTTGTAAGCTTTTGTCGCAATGTTGAAAATATATGCAAAATTTTTGTATAGAATTATATAGAAAACCAAAGTCGCATATTTAAGCACCAAAAAAAAAAAAAAAATCACGATTTCTTTGTATTTTTGGGATTTATTACTTATGTCATTTCTATTAAAAATCAGTCAAAAATTATATATCGATCCAGGCATCAAATTTTTGTTTGTGTTATGTATCCTTAACATGATTCCAGACCAAAAAACAACCGTGTTTTCAACCTTTTTCATATTTGTAAATCATGCAGTGTTTTATGGATTTGAAAGCCTTTGAATCCAGCAAAAATTGGTTAATGAAGAACTTACGTTCGTTACAGACGAAGTATATGTGCTTGTTTAGACCGGTCCCTAGGCTCTCACATGGGATTCTGGGTGGCGGTTTATAATATGGTTTGATATCCTCTGTAACAGTCGTTGACTCATCTGGAAGTATTGATTGTTTAGTTAACAAAATATTTCTTACTGCGAGTTGATGTATTAGTTTTCTTATTGCTTTATTTTTCAATTTCTGCAATCTTTCATGTTGTTCTTATACGTGATGAAACACACGGTCGGCACAGCAGTGCTGGAATGATATGTACAGCTCTTTATTTCTTTAAACGTCAAAAATAATTCAACTGAATGATTATCAAAATATACCAGCACAATTTGTTTTGTCTTCCACAATATAATATGAAATTTGTTTTACATTTTTTTTTTATCAATAGACATATTGAATACAAAGACGTCGTAGCCTGTCGTTAAAATTGATATTATAGAATTAGTGTGGAAAATTTTGTACATTAGCAAGCAGTTATATGATACTAGTATTTGGAAATAATGGATAAGGTATATCATATATCAAAACTAAAACATGGTTATTATCTCAAGATTAGAATGTTCCTTAGTTAATTATATTCCTACTCTCTTGCTCATTTATTCAATTCTTCAAGCAGCACTCAAGGCTTGGCGTATTATTAATGCAAATGAAAAAACAAAAATTAGCGATAAACAAAAACTAATTATTTCTATTTTGAAAAATATACATACCATCGAATATCATGCTATCTTCTATCTTCAATATAGAAATAAAATGAGTAATAAAAATAACTGCTTAAATGTAAGCATTATCTAAGAACATCAACCATTTTATCTACTCGGCACAAAGTAAACCCAAAAGTGCAATATTCTCCGTCATGAATTTGGTGACTAACAATATTATTTAATTTATTTACTTTCGATTTTGAGAATGTTTTTTCTATCCTTTCCTCGTCCATTTAGATCAGTATATCTTCCAATTTGACCCTCCTCCCTGATTTTTGTATTTACAAAATAATTTCTGATATTAAGTGGCATTTGATTACTGACTATAGTGGTATTTTTCTCCGTTTTCATATATATCCTCTTTTTTCTTTAATTATGATAGGGAACCATTATTTCGTGCTTTCACTCCAGTTTAATGCTTTGTCTTTTCTAGAATTCTTTGATTTCCAGGTAGCTTTGTCTGGGATTGTCTCTGCAACTCTCTGGTTAAGTGATCGTTACTTTGCATTGAACCATTTAATTTTTCCCTCAGAATTATAAGACTTCCTCACGAATCTTATCTTCTTTCTCCTTCTGCCGTCGTCTCATCATTGTGTGGTTTCCGACATCTTTATGCCCTTGCTTTAATATTTGGCTATGACAGGCATATTCAATTAGTAATGCCCTTTTACATATACTCAGATCAAAGACCCTATGTTCGTTTCTTTAAATTTATTAACAAAAAACTATCCCATCGGGATCGCAATTTTTTTTTTCATTTTTACGCATTGTACTCGGATATTGTAAGTAAACAATATCGGTGCGATTTTTAGCTAAAATTAAAAGTGACAGTGCAGTTAAAAGCACTGAACAATCAGAAATGTCAGAGAGATTGCTGCAGAGCTGAAAATTAAAATTAGTTTGGTCAAACTATTGCTGACATACATTTTTCACGTGTATTTTAAAAATCATTATCAATGAAAAATAGTTCTCCTGATGGTGACAACTGAATTTAAAGTTATAATTATTGAGAATATTTTTTATTAGTCACTTAATTGAATTTCACATTTTAATAAAAATTTGTGGGAAGGCAATATCGTATGTCCAGGAACATTTGAGCACATGTGGAGCATCTGTATTTAACAAGACATCCTGTTTTTCTTTGTTTCAGAACGCTTTTGATATTTTTGAAATTGTTTTGTTGTTGTTGTTTGTATGCTTGTTTAATGTCCGTCTTTTTTTTGAGGGGGGGGGGGGGCGATTTTCTTTTCCTTTGTTGATGGAGGGGGTAGTTATTGCTAAAACTTAGTTCAATCTTGCTCGTCCTTTAGGAACTTACTTTGTCGTTCGATGATTTTTCTTCCTCCTCGTCGCTAAAATCACTGTCATACTCGCCATCTTTGAATTCAGCTTCAACGACATAGTAATTTTTTCGCGTACCCATGATCTTTCCCCAGAACCGCAGAGTCTCGATAGGCCAGTTTTCCACTAGTTCTCTCATGGAGACTGAAATCCGGATAAATTCTTCCCGAGGAAGGCCGACTCCAGCTTGTTCAAAAAAGAGGGCCTGCTTCATCAGGTCTGGTATCAGACGATAAATGTCTTCCTCATCCTCGTCAGGTAAATCTAATTAAGGTGGGGATAAGATATGTCATAAAAACATTCCGAAAATGTTCTGATCAAACAAGGCAAAAGATGATCATTTTTCAAGTTACTATACTCACCAAAACTTTCATTTGGTATAAACTTTGGATCGCCACAAGCAGTCTGAAACATTCGTATTAACATTACTTACTTTTTTTCAAATTTTTCCCTGGAAACAGCATAGTGTCGTTCCTGACAGCTTGATTTATCAAGTTAACTCTGTGATGCGATTATAATTAGTTATATTGCAAAGTTTTATTGATAAAATAAAATCTGCAGCAGCATGTCCAAAAAGTTACATCTTAAAATCTATATGCATAACTTCCTCTTTGATAAATAATTTTTAAGGTAGAGATAATTGACGATTAATTTCTGTATCTTTTACCTTCACCATTCGCCATTGCGCATGAGCGAGAACTTCAGTTGGCGTCTTGCCAGGGTCGTCTTTAATGAACGGTTCCTTGTAAGCAAACCTTTCACGCTTGTATGTCTTGCTGTCTGCCTCCAATCTGTCCAGAGCTTTGCCAGACTCCTCCACCAGAACACGTGTCAACAGTGTACTCAGATGGTTGTACCTAAGTTTATTGAATACATGTATTTGTCAAATTGAAGCATGCATTTTTTTCACGTAAAATATACATATATAGAATGTACTTGCAATTGTAAAAAATGTACAATTTTGAGTTTATTGGGTTTTTTTTTTTTTTTTGTTAAACAGTTACTTACAAATTCTGACCGTCGTCACTTCCTTCGCGCATCAAATAAAGCTTGGCGTTGATACATCGCTGCTCCTCTAGAGATAAAACTCGGAACTCCTCTTCGTCCTCGTCATATCGTCGCTCTTTTATCTTCTCCGGATCTTCGCTGATGTTGTCGTCATGAGGGACGTTGCTGCGACCTCTAACCTTCCTCGATTCCCCCTTCATCCTTTTGCTACTGAAACATAACAAATATCAAGGAACGGGTTTACTATGAATATACCCCCCCCCCCATTTTTTTAAATTCACATCTTTTCAAAATTTGCATTTTTAAATACGTTGTCCATCTTTTTAGCAAAAAAGAATCTTCTATTCATTGAGAGAAGATAAATAAGAATGCGTAATACATCTATATATGTGTCCATTCTAATGTTCATGATTCAAACATGTTTTACCCCCAAATATTCACACGTTATAAAATGTTTTCCCCAGATATCTTGAAAGGCTTTAATAACCACTAATGGTGTATAAATAAAACAAGTAAATTTAAAGAATTGTGGATTCCCCAGCTTTCGGTGTCTTCGTGGTTGGGGAGCAATTATTTAAGGCATATTGTAACTGTCTTTTGTGTGTGTCCTGTCTTGACTGTCCATCATACAAAAAAGATTGACATTTTTGAATAAACAAAGGCTACGTTCAAGATTAAAGCTTTCCAAAAATGCATCAAACTTAAACTTCAAGATAATGAGGTCAAATATCGTAATACAATCCAAATCCAAAAGGTCTTATCACAGGTAATGCACATGTGAAAAAAAAATGAAAGCTCTGTCTCTTCTGGAGAAAAAGTTATGGCCAAAGTTAAATTTTTTATGAGTAGGTCAAGGCCTTGGGTCAAAAATGACAATTCTTTCTGCAAGATGTTGTCATAGGTAAAATACATGTAAAATATGAAAGCCCAATTTTCACTCATTCAAAAATTATCAGCAATGATGTACCGGTAATTTCTAAAAAATAATGTCAAATTTCAAGGTCAAGGTAATGGGATTGAAAAATCGTAATTTATTTGGTAAGGTCTTGTTACATGTAATGCGAATGTCGATCAAATATAAACGCCCAATTATCTCTCCTTCAAAATTTATCAGCATTGTTTTATTTTTTTTTTTTAAAGTAAGGTCAAACTTCAAGGTCAAAGGCACAGGTAAAAAATCATACTAATACATTTGGAAAGGCGAACACCCTACCTTCTCTCATTCAAAATTTATAAGCAATGATGAAATTTTGAAAAGTAGATCAAACTTCATAGTCGAGATCAAATCATAGTATATTTGGAAAGGTCTTGTTAGAGATAATGCACATGTCAAATACAATCGCCATATCTTTTTTCATTCAAAGTTATCACCAATATCATTTTGTTTTAAATATGGTCAAACTTCACCCTATCTTCTCTCATTCTAAAGTTATAACCAATGAATGATAAAATTTTGAAAAGTAGGTCAAACTTCAAAATCTAGTCAGTGGGTCAGAAATTTTTGTGGATTTTGAAAGGTTTTGTCACAGGTAAGGTACATGAGAAATACAAATGCTTATCTTTTCCAAAGTTATGTCCAAGGTTACTGTAATTTTTTTTAAAATTAAGTACGTCAATTTTCAAGGTCAAAGTCACGGGATCAAAAATCATAGTATATTTGGAAAGGTCTTGTCTCAGGTAATGTACATGTGAAATAGGAAAATCTTATCTTTTCTCATTCAGAAGTTAATTTCTGTGATAGACAAGTTGACAGACAATTTATCACGTAAAAACAACAGGGTTGTTTACTGTTACCCCTCCTTTTTCTCCTTGTTATTGACCGGGTCATGAAGAAAACCACAAAAGGCAGGGACAATGGAATTTAGCGGACATAGCTAGATGACCTTGACTTCGCTGACGACCTTGTACTTAAAATTCTGTTCCCCAACCAAAACCAGATTCAAGACAAGACCACTTTCCTTGCAAAAATATACGATTGACCACGGCTCAAGATAAACACTCATGAAGATCAACACTATTGACAGTAACCCAGTAACAGGAAGTGGAATTCCAATAAAAGAGGTGGAATCCTTTGTTTACCGGGAAAGTGTGGTTGACAGCGCGGGGGGGGGGGGGGGGTGCACGGCGTGAGACATCACAGCTACATGTAGGATTTGCAAAGCAAGAGCAATCATCTATAAAACACCTGGGCCTCAAGGGAAATCCGCGTTCCCACAAAATTATTGCATATCTTCAATTCCAGTGTCAAATCTGTCTACGGTTCAGAAACAGAATAGCACATGCAGCAGAAGATTCAGACGTTCATAAACACCAGTCTGAAGGCAATTCCATCCTCACAATGTTATGGGTTCAAAGTAAAAAAAGTGCTTTTATTTTTACTAGAAATAGCGTAAATTGATTAATAATCACAAAAAAGGTAAAGGTTGTCATATTTTTTTAAGATGTCAGACATAAATAAACAGAGGTATATGTCAGCATAAGAAAATCATACATTTTTAGTAAACAGTATTATTAAAACTATGTAAAAACTGGTTCAAATACATAATTCTGATACCGAAAGTTCCAAAATAATTGTTATTTTATAAATATGCATAAATTGTGAATATCAGGGAAACCATCTGACGTTAGAAGTACTATAAAGAAGTTATTGTCCTTAGCAGTATTTTTTAGATATTCAATAATTGATTGAATATAGAAAATATTTAATTGTAAATTTTTTTTACTAAACAATATTTTTCATTACACCTATTGAAAAGCATTCTTCCAAAAGATTTATTTCTATATATATATTGGGTATGAATTTAAATTAATAACAGATTTTGCAAAAACCTATGATATAACAGGAGGATGGAAATACCTGAAACGCATCTTTAACATCTGGTGGCCAAAAAAAGATCTGAAAAGAAGAGCTTTTGAAAAAAAGCAGTTCAAAAACCTGTAGTAAGCAGATTCTGCGTCAGAAATGGGGATGGATCGGACAACACTTCAGAAACCTCCACCCAGCATAAATCGGTGGTACAGACCGGGAACCCATAGGGCAAGGCGAAGAGGGGTCGGACAAGAAATAGCTGGCGACGAGATAAAGAGAAAGAACCACCTGGACAGAGGCAAGATGGACAATCAGATGGCAGAGTGGCATCGATGGCCTCTGCTCCTTTGGGGGCGAAGGGCGTAGGTAAGGTTAATACAAGGGAAACAAGGAAAATATGGCAAGAACAGGGAAGATCTATTGAATATATGTACATGTAGTTCTTTTTTCTCTTTTGTTGTTCTGCATTGGGTCAAAATTAATATTTGTTAATACTTAAACATATCATATAGGTTCGATTTTAAAAATTGAGTCCAGTATTCCGCACACGTGAAAATTACTGGCGAACTATCCTCTCCACCCCACTCCACCCTTTACCCTTTCCTTCATGTATATCAGTTCTGTATTTCATGTTATGCATGAAAATTTTTCTGTTCTATCATATAATGAATATTTATAATGAATATATATACATAAAATAATCATATCTTACCGGTGTAAAAAGGTTGTACATACCTAATCAGTAGACGGGGAAACTTGTAACTGTGGAGGAAACAGAAAGTCAAACACTAACAAAAATCAGTGATAACATTGAATTCGTAGTTCTTGATTAAGAGCGCTTAACAACGAGATAACACAATTGTAAGTATTTAACGGGAGAGCTTCTGTGGTAAAAAGCTAGATTTCTCTGGAAGTTTTTGATTAATCAGCTGGTATAATTAATTTCAAAAAAAAGAATTCAAGATTAACTTTTTACGTATCAAAAATTTTGACGGTAATTAAGAAAAAATTAAATTGCAATACGCTTAGATTACATTGAAAAAATCAAGAGCGTAAAGCAGTCGAGTTTGAATAGAGCCCACCTCTTTTTTATATTCAAGGTTAAACCATATCGATATGTATGAAAAAATAAACCATATAAAACAAGAGTCCCGTGGGCCACAACGCTCACCTGAGTCACTCTGACCCTGCTGTAATTCAATAGCTTTTTTTTTTTTTTTTTTTTTTTTTTTTTTTTAATAGATATATAGCTTCCCTCTTTAATTTCATAAAAAAAAAATTGACTCCGTATTGTAGACCAAGCAGCTGAATCCAGTCAACATTGGGGTGCTTCAATATAAGTATGATCATCATGGCCCTGCTGTTCTGGAGAAGATTTTTTCCTGTACACATGCATGTATTATCTAAAATTTGGATCTCTAATTTTGGCCAACTCAAACCCCAGGCCTTATAATTAAATAAAAAATGATTCCACATAACTTAGGTGTGTTTTGCTTTTTAATATGATTTAGTTTGGTTTTGCCTCTCTTGACAAGATTTCTTCCTACATGTATATACTCACTTGTAAAACTCTGACCCCTCTTTTGTTGCCTCAACCTATTCAAAAGGGTCCTGATCTGAACAAACTTGAATCTAAACTATCTTAGGATGCTAATAATTGCAAATCAATATGACTTTCATGTTTATAAGATAAAGATTTTTTTCCTATATATAATTATTCCTATACAAACCTCGGGGGTCATGATTAATTTGAACGAATTTGAATCTATACACCACCTGAGGATCCTTCCATATAAATATGACAAATCATAGCTTAGCTGTTCCTGAGGAGAAAGAACTGCGAACGATAGTATTGTTCTCCCGCCTACCTCCAAGTCAATTTTGAAAAGTTAACACATTTGAATGATTTTTCATATCTATATAGATATTTATATGAATTTTCATAAAACATTACTTCTTTGGGAAAACAAAGAGAGATAACTCTATAAATTTGGTAAAACTTGTGTTTTTTACTATAGAAATCAACGGAAAACGGAAAATATTTTAAACCCCCCCCCCCCCGTGAAACAAAAATTCCTTATTACATGTAATATGGACTGTCATTTCACAAATTCATACCAAAGCTTTTTGTGTTTCACGGGGGGGGGGGGGGGGGAACATATGTTTACAGACAAAAAACTACAAAAATAAAAATGCTTATTTTTTCACCAATTTCAAAGGGGTTTTCGACTAAATCATTGTATTTTATTAATGATATATGTTTTATTCTATATGAGTGAAACATAAGAAAAGATTTAGGGAACATTTATTTATATCCAAGAATATTTTAAAATGTGGTGATGCTTAACAGTCCGATTTCAATGAAAAATATCGTCTACCCCCCTTATTTAAAGAGCTGTAATTAGGGGTAATTAACTATTTAACACTGGTATTAAAATTATCAGTCAATTGTTATTTAACTGTTCTTTGCATTCAACAAAGATTTTACGGCCAGATTGCCATTAGTATTGAATTAAATGGGTGTAAAATGTAGGCGGGAATCGGGAGTTCGCGTGCGTAGTTCTTTTTAAAAGATTTTTCCCATACATTCCTGTGTTTACCTATAATTAAGAATTCGTAACTTACGTCTACGAGTGGCTTTGAAGTTATACGTCCCTGACAATGAATCATAATAAGACAGCCTAAATTAATGTTTTTCTGAAATGAAATACGTGTAAATTTAAATTTAAAAAAATAATAATAAACAAAATTAATTTACGGAGAAAAAATATGTATTCGTTGGACTTAATTTTAACATCCTCAAAACAACATCCGGTATTCATTGGAAGGATCCATTATTTAAAGGTACAAGTTATTGAAAATGGTGTATTTCCTCTTATAGATGCCTCAATGTGCAAGGGTTTGTAATTATTATGTTGTATTTATATATTCAATGATATCCATTAAACTATTTTTGTACCATTTTGATAAGTTTTGGAGATAAAAATAAGGGACTTTGCCCTGTTCACCCCTTCACCGACTTCTTTAAAACTGTCCTCTCGTGATGATAGACAGCAAAGTGGAGAAGTAAGTAGTGACTGGTAAGTTGGTCAATCTAAGTTGATAAATTTAGCAATTCAGCAAAAACCTCTTTACTGTACATGTAATTCTACAATGCATAAGTGTTTTGCCTCTTTTCTCATCAAACCCCCATTTTTGGCCGTTCTGGCCTAGATTGCAGACGAATGAAGGCCACATTGGAAGAAATGCACTTGCAGCATTTCATTTTTGTTATTATAGTATCTGTAGCATTGGAGTAGTTTCAACGGGCTTCTGGAAAGGGGGTGTGGGGAACTTTGGGACTGGTACGTTTACCAAATGCAATTTCAATTCTGACGGCTTTGAATGCATAATTTTAACAGATATTGGGCATTCATCAGATCACAGGAGTTCGCAATTTTATCAATAAAGTCAATAAAAATCACTCGATTGACCAAGCCATGAGCTATGCGTTAGCATAGCGAACAGTTCGCTATGCTAACGCATAGCTCATGGCTTGGTCAATCGAGTGATTTTTATTGACTTTATTGATAAAATTGCGAACTCCTGTGATCAGATAGACAAGACTCATAAATCTATGCTGCAGAATGATGAATTTATCTTTCCAGAGACATATATAACACTAATTAACAACTCTGTCATAAACATGTTTATTTACTAAAACTTGTGCAAGACAAAGCATTATGTTAAAAAACTCTCATCATGTTTATTGGTTTTATAAATGATAATTTCATCTGAAGTCAGCATTATTTTTATATGTATGGTGAGAGATTTTTATAATTTGAATACAATACAGAGACAACAAAAACATAATATAGGCTTTAATTCAGGGCTCAAAATTAAGGCACATCCGCCCGACTCAGACTAGTTGCAAGCACAGCGAACTCCACAGACAATGTGTATGAATGGAGGAAATTCGGGTTGAAATCTGTAGGCGGGATGTTCACTCCTCCATGGCACCTGATCCCGCCTCCGATGTTTTTGGAGGTCCTTGTTTGCTCTACTCCTGATTTGTATTGTTTAAATGGACTATGAGCTTGAATACTGTTTGTTATCTCCATATTTCATAGATACTTATTGTTCAAAGAAATTTTTATCAGTCTACATAAAAAAAATTCCAAAACTCCCAATAATCCTTTGCGGTGCCAAGCAACATGGAGGCTTAAGCATACAACTTACTTGAAAAAAAAATTTCAAACAATGATTTAATGCAATTTCCATACCATAAAACTATCTTTTGCATCCTCAGACTTAATGATTTTGTATTTAATGTCATATTTTCGTCACTTAAACAGCTCGGGTATTTCCAAATTCAATTTGTCATGAAAATCCGAGATTTTCGGAATCTTGATCCCGATGCATGGGAAGTCTGCAAAGGAAGAGAATATTTCTTTTTTTGGCATAATTATTGTTTTTAAAGGTTAAAGGAGTTTACTAAAAAGTGTAACGTCATATGCAGAATGCAGATCGACATTTGAGAGGTGTATAAAGTTGTGGAATAATTGTTACAAAAAGGAAACTGTGCTCGCCTTAGTGGTTTCACTGTCAGACATTAAAAGTCTTGTTTATTTTGTGTCAAGGTAGTCCAACTGCTCATGTAAAAAAATTTAAGGATATCTAAGCTTTGTGCTTTCTTGGTTTATCGATGTGTAACATCGGGTTTCACTTTTATTTTTCTATCCTGTTGAAAAATAATCATAAAAAGAATTGTTTTGGAAAATTCTTCTTGTTTTATCATGTTTATTGTACTATAATAGTTTACCAATTGTGAGACATTTATTTACACTATTATAGTATGCATCAATATTTCACCAATTTTGCGGAGATTTGTTTTTTTTTGTAAAGGCTAAACTATACTTCCTGCTAGGTCATTTTCTTAACAACTGTTGTGTGATATATATTTTAATTTAACCAGAGCTATAACTAAATTCATCATGATTAAATTCAAAACCCACAGTTGGTCTTGCTTCTCCTACTTTGAGGTAAGAAAAGCGAGACCGACAGTGGGTTTCCGACAATGAACTAAATTGAGTTGAAATACATCTCCCTTTCTGATATTTTTCTTGTTTAATATTTACATTTCCAATGTCTTTGTCCGAGATAAAATTACAACTTGTAAAAATACTTTATTTCTACATAAATCTACTGGTTCATCAATAGGCGCGGTTAAAAAAAAAATCACGTGCGGGGCGGGACAAATAGAGACAGAAGCGGGACTATTAGCACGGGAATTTGCAGGAGCATGTAAATATAAGGAATAACTGTCTTATTTTTTGGATTCATGACGATGATCAATCGATTGGCTTGCGTGATAATTTTATGCATAAACGCCTTCGGCGTTTATGCAAATTATCACGCAAGCCACTCGATTGATCACATCATGAATCCAAAAAATAAGACAGTTATTCCTTAATTATGCCTCAGAAAGACCAACTTAAGATAACCATCAATTTATTGATGATGATATTATTTGACTAAGCCCCCCCCCCCCCCCCCCCCCCCCCCCGTCAGTATTTTAGTAATAATTGATTGAGTAATTTAATGATCCATGGATATAAGGTCATGGCTAGTGAAGTTGAGGTAATGTCTAGTAAAATTTTTAGGTACTAGTCCAACTGGTGATGTCTTGTTTTTTTTTTTAAAGTAAATGCTGAGCCCTGCATTAATTAAACAAATCAATAATTGAAATGCGAGATTCCGTGCAGTTGCAAATCTTTTGTCAGTTATGTTTCTGCTCCTTCAGGTATATCTTTTTGAAAGAAGATGATAAAGTCATTTATAGTTCAATTTGATATCCCAAGTTGTTCATAAGTTGGGCAGGAGGAGGTAGGGTTAGATGTAATGTTTTTCTGTGCATCACATAGGTCTGTTGCCAGCTTTCACATGTTGTGTTTTGACCATTGTTGACATGTGAAGGAAATTAAATTATTAAAGAAAGAAGTACAGTGTAGTTTCAATTTCATAAAGCAAATTCTGTATGCATTGTAGAGACTGTCGACTATACACTGAGGTAGCAATATGGCTGTGAACTCTGTAGATGGACGTGGGGTCCAGGTGGATGTACGAGAACTCTTCAGTTTATTGGAATCCAATCAACTAAAAACTGTGGATGAAATCACAGAGGAGATTCAGCAGCACCTGAGTTCTGGTAAACATTACCATGAATTAGTCTTCGTCTTTCTAATTAGATTAACAAAGCTACATGTAACATTTTACTATTATTTTTCATTTAACAAGCATTGTGTTGTTTTATTAGCTCACCTGAGCTGAAAGCTCAAGTGAGCTTTTCTGATCACATTTTGTCCGGCGTCCGTCTGTCTGTCCGTCTGTCTGTCTGTCTGTCTGTAAACTTTTCACATTTTCGACTTCTTCTCAAGAACCACTGGGCCAATTTCAACCAAACTTGCCACAAAGTATCCTTGGGTAAAGGGATTCAAGTTTGTTCTAATGAAGGGCCACGCCCTCTTTAAAGGGGAGATAATTAGGAATTAGTGAAAAAATAATGGCAACATTTAAAAATCTTCTTCTCAAGAACCATAGGGCCAGGAAAGATGAAACTCATGTGGAAGCATCCTCAGGTAGTGTACATTCAAATTTGTTCAAACCATGACCCCCGGGGGTAGGGCGGGGCCACAATGGAGGATCAAAGTTTTACATAGAAATATATATAAGAAAAAACTTTAAAAATCTTCTTCTCAAGAACAACAAAGTCATGATGAGTCATATTTATATGGAAGCATCCTCAGGTAGTGTAGATTCAAGTTTGTTCAAATCATGACCCCCGGGGGTAGGGCGTGGCCACAATCGAGGATCAAAATCTTATATAGAAATATATATATAGGTATAATCTTTAAAAATCTTCTTCTCAAGAACAGCAAAGCCATGATGAGTCATATTTATATGGAAGCATCCTCAGGTAGTGTAGATTCAAGTTTGTTCAAATCATGACCACTGGGGTTAGGGCAGGGCCGCAATGGACTATCAAAGTTGTACATAGAAATATATAGGAAAAATCTTCTTCTCAGGAACAGCAAAGCCCAGATTGTTCATATTTATATGGAAGCATCCACAGGTAGTGTAGATTCAAATTTATTCAAGTCATGACCCCCGGGGGTAGGGCGGGGCCACAATGGAGGATCAAAGTTTTACATAGAAATGTATAGGAAAAATTTTAAAAATCTTCTTCTCAGGAACAGCAAAGCCCTGATTGGTCATATTTATGTGGAAGCATTCTCAGGTAGTGTAGATTTTATTTTGTTCAAATCATGACCCCTGTGGGTAGGATGGGGCCACAATGGAGGATCAAAGTCTTAAATAGAAATATATAGGAAAATATCTTCTTCTGAAGAACTGCAAACCATGATTGGTCATTTTGATATGGAAGCATCCTCAGGTAGTGTAGATTCAATTTTGTTCAAATGATGACCCCCAGGGGTTGGATGGGGCCCATTGGGGGATTGAAAGTTTTACATAAGAACATATAGAAAAAATATTTCTTCTCAAGAACAGGAAAGCTATGTTTAGTCATATTGATATGGAAGCATCCTCAGGTAGTGTAGTTCAAATGATGACCCCTGGGATAGGGAGGAGCCACAATGGAGGATCAAATTTTTACAAAGGAATATATGGGAAAAATTTTTTAAAATCTTCTCAAGTACAATAAAGACATTTGTTATATTGACATGGAAGCATCATGAGGTAGTTTAAAATTCAAGCCCCCCCCCCCCCCCCCCCCCCAGGTAATCTTTTCAATACTGAACTGATTTGTGCTTTTGCCTAGCCAATGTGCTCAGGTGAGCGATGTGGCCCATGGGCCTCTTGTTTTTATTAATGACCAGTCTAACGAAGTTTAGTTTCTTTGCATTACTTCTCTTTGGTACATTATGTGCATGTGTAGCTGTATACAATGGTTGTTAAAATATGTTCTTTGTTACAATGTTCATTTTGTCAAATTGATAAGAATAATGCAATATCATGAATTTGTTATTTTTTGTCAGATTGATTAGAATATTACTTTATACTGTCTGTAGATCAGTGCATTGAATTATGTATTTTTTTTTTGTATAGTGAAGGAGGCATGGTTGATGAACAGTTTAGTGGACTACTACTATATAGCTCAGACTGACCGGGTCATTGATATACTCACCTCTGTCCGAGAACCTCATGACAAGGTATAAATCATTTAATTGTCTCATTTATTGCTGTAAATGTACATAAATTAGTGCACTCAGAATTACGCCCATTGTCCTCTTCAGCTTAGTGCAGTCACAAATAATTGCACTAGAGATTTCACAAAGACATGTATTAGTTTTAATCATATTATTATCATGTACATTAATTAGTGGACAAGAAGCAGTGAAAGGTGCCAAAATTTGATTACCACTAAAAAATTACATTTACAATATATATTACAGTAAACAGTAGATCCAGGAAACCGAATGCTTTAAAAATTCCAGCATTTTATTCCTTGACTTGCTTGTACAATCTGTTTGAAAATGATGAGCAAAAATATAAGCAGTTGAATTAATAACACCAAAAATGTGCATATAATATTGTAATTGTATTCAAGATACCACAAAGTCTGACACATCTGTTTCATACCTGGATATTTTACTAGAAAAAGACATTAATGGTAACCTGACAACAAAGCTTCATGATAAACATGATGTTCATAGTATTATATTTTCTACATATCACATACCCATATACGTGTACATTGTATTAACCATAAATTTTACCATTCATTCAATTAAAATGTGATGATAGTTTAAGGTAAGATAACTTAGATTTTTCGAAGTCATTTTTTCCTCTGATACTTTATTTGCAGCATCTTGTAGAAAAATTAACAGATGGGCTCAAAAGTGAAAAGCATCAACTTCTGGCTATGAAACTGCTCCTCCATGTTGTGTGTAAACAACCCATGTGGGTCCACAAGTTGATTAAGCCACCCATTTTTCCAGCACTCATCAAATGCCTGAAGGTCAGGATCTTTAGTTATTTTTAGGCCTCAGTTACCCTATATGATTTATTACTTTATTTTTTGCTAAGAAATTTTAAGGTATATGTAGAACTTCTCAGTGGACACCAATACTAAATCAATAAATTCACTAAATATTGCATAAACAACTGAGCAACATTATTTCTTAGTAATTTCATGACACCTTATTTTCACGAGAAAAGAATGAGTGCACTTTAGAGTGTCATTTGGAGCCTTTTCGGCCACCCATTTTAAGCCTTAAATTAGACTATATTGCTAAATTAATCTATGATTATTGTGCATACATAAGCTTTTGATATTTATACTTCGAATTTTTTGTTAAACATATTGCTATAATTCCATACAACGTCATTGAAAAGAACATGTATAAGCCTTAAATTCCGGAAATTTGAACTGGACCACTTTCGAATTTAAGGTACCCGCAAATGGGCGGAGATATTTAAATCGCATGGAAGTGGAATGTAAACATTTGCACATTATTTCCAGATTGATTCTACAGTATGAATTTAAATGGAGGAGAGAAAGATTGTGTAGTTTCATGATTCGCACAAATAATAAATGATTCAGCAGGGCCATACATATTGATCATTTTCATGATTCGTAACCATATGTTTGATGCCTAGCACCGAATTAGATCAATCTTAAGTTTTCGTATATATGGTAAAAAATGCCCCCTCTTTTTTCTTTAGCTTTATCATTTTTCGTTTTATATGCTGAATGCTTTTCAATTCAAAGAATGAATGTATGTTTTAAGAAAGATTCACATGTACATGACTTCGATGCCACACTACATTTAATTGTAATTCACTGTACATGAAGTACGTAGAGTAATACAAACGTGAAGTGAAACAAATTATACATGTATATGTAGTACTCACAGTGATACATATTTTATTATATATGTCTGTATAGATAAATAACATTCGGAAATGAAATATAAAATTTCAACTTAAAATTTGAGTCGCTAGGTTAACATAAAAACTCCCAAGAAATACAATCTATCTGTAATTTAAATTAACATTTTATTGACGGAACAAGTATATTTCAGATTAAAAAACATGGTCAACGAAAATTCTACAATGTTACTATATCGATAATCACTCGCTTATGTCTTCAATATCTCTTTCATTTCGGCAATCCAAATATTGTCAGGTGTGATACTAGTGTTTAGGGATGTGTCTGTAGATGCCTGCAGACCATAATACAGAGGCGACATGAGCTAACACAGCTACATACTAATCGTGCACTTGATTTGCACTGGCAATACCAGAATTTCCTTCAAAATACCAAACGAAAAACACAATATTTAGTGAAAGAAGACAACTCACAAGGTAAACTTTAAGACCCTAATAAAATTTTCGCAAAATTCTTCATTATTTTGAAGTTGTTCAGGCCGGTACAAATGGTGAGATTTGTAGTTCCTGTATAATACAAGTATTATATTTGTATTGTAATACTTTCCTGTACACACGTTTATACGTTTTATTAGATTGTTAATAGACTTTAGGGATTTCTATGTGTTTCCCTCGCAATATCTCTCTCTCTCTCTCTCAATAATGGAAAACGAGGTTCTGTTAGCAGTATCTGTTATCGTATTATGCATTTTATTAAAACTGAAAAAAAAACAACATTGTAATGGAAACAGCGGCGGAACACTCATATATGTACTTGGTGCACACAATGCATCGCTAGATGAGGTGCAAAGAGAAGACCCCAGTAGTTATAAAAACTTCTTTAGAATAGATAATGCTGCATTTGAGCAACTTTTACAATTACATGTAGTTACTCCTTTTGATCTTCTTCCCATAAAACAACGAGTTTTTCGATATTTTTACTGCTAAAGTTGACCATTATTTACCACGTGCTTTTTTTTTTGTTATGATAAAAATAGGATGACCACAATGTGAGTACTTTTGATTGGTTTAAAAATGAAAGGTAAGTTAAAACTTGTATTAAGAAATAGAGCATTACCCTATTCTTAATACAGTTTTATAATATTCGAAAAATCTTAGGATTCACCGTATTAAAAGTCTATACATAGTCAGATTTTGTACTTAAATACATATCCGTGTGTACAGCCCTGAAGTCCATTGATAGACACAATGAAAGCATATCGAACAGTGGAATGTCACGTGAGTAAAGTGATTATAATATCAAACAGGTCAAAATAGGTTGACAATCAGTGACCTGTTAATTTAGTAGCTAACCCGACTGTAGTTTGGAGAATTTTTTAAAAAATTACATATGAGCCGCAAATTGTCCAACATTGCCCTTTGGATATGTATAAGTTTAAATCATAATACACATTCTGTGCAAATGAGAAGAATGGACAAGTTGCGGCTCGATGTAAACAATGTCGTTGAAAACTGGTATGCATATGAATAACAATAGAAATGTGACAAAACTGCTAGACCCCTGTCGAAAAAACCAGTGTCGCTCGGCATTATTTAATATTTTTATGTGATATAATATATCAAACCCTGCTCTTAAGATATTGTTTAATAATTCTGTTTCAAAAAGTTCATAAATTTCGGAAATTTATTATTGGCAAAGCACCGGGATCCAACTCTCATAGCTTAAGTGCACTGATTCCTTTCTATTTAGTATTACAGACAAATATGGACGTTAATTCCCCTGCTGATGTAGACATTTTTTGTCTATTACAGACAGATATGGACGTTAATTCCCCTGCTGATGTAGACATTTTTTGTCTATTACAGACAGATATGGACGTTAATTCCCCTGCTGATGTAGACATTTTTTGTCTATTACAGACAGATACAGACATTCCCCTGCTGATGTAGACATTTTTTGTCTATTACAGACAGATACAGACATTCCCCTGCTGATGTAGACATTTTTTGTCTATTACAGACAGATACAGGCATTACCCTGCTGATGTAGACATTTTTTGTCTATTACAGACAGATACAGACATTACCCTGCTGATGTAGACATTTTTTGTCTATTACAGACAGATACAGACATTCCCCTGCTGATGTAGACATTTTTTGTCTATTACAGACAGATACAGACATTCCCCTGCTGATGTAGACATTTTTTGTCTATTACAGACAGATACAGACATTCCCCTGCTGATGTAGACATTTTTTGTCTATTACAGACAGATACAGACATTCCCCTGCTGATGTAGACATTTTTTGTCTATTACAGACAGATACAGACATTCCCCTGCTGATGTAGACATTTTTTGTCTATTACAGACAGATACAGACATTCCCCTGCTGATGTAGACATTTTTTGTCTATTACAGACAGATACAGACATTACCCTGCTGATGTAGTTATTTTTTGTCTTTTACAGACAGATACCGACATTCCCCTGCTGATGTAGATATTTTTTGTCTATTACAGACAGATACCGACATTCCCCTGTTGATGTAGATATTTTTTATGTCTATTACAGACAGATACCGACATTCCCCTGCTGATGACCGGTGTGATGGTCATCACTATCTTACTTCCTGCTATTCCTTCACTTGTCGGAAAACATCTTCCAGATATATTTGACATTTTTGGTCATCTTATCAATTTCAATGTCAAAAAGCCAAGTAAGTGTATTCCATATTTGTAAAGAATGCATATTTAAAACTATGATAATTATTGAAATGACTGCAGTGTTTTAAATAAAGAAAAAACAATTCTCATTAATACTTTCAGTTTTATAAAATGGTATTATGATTTGTAATAGGTTCTCCCAAGGAGGGTAAATATAATGTGTGTGATTTTTGTCATGGCATGCTCTCATTTGGTATATCATGGAATTTTTTAAAAATAACATTCTTTCATTTGATCATTAGAGGTGCATCCCTAAATTGAGAAGAACCAGATTTCAGCATTGATAATCAGTCACTAATATACAAAGAATACTCATTATGATCCTTTTCCACGAATTTAGGGTTTCAGAGTGACAATTTTTATCAATTTTGACTCAGTACATATGGTATCAAACTTAAGGGATCAGAATGTGTTGGGATATTTTAATGTGTCTTTCAGGAAACACAATAAAATACCATGAGAGTAATTTTAAGCCACTCAGATACCAAAATGGGTACATGTTACGTATTTCAATCTAAAGATATTGATGTTTACAAACTTTATTCACCGTATGAAATGATTGTTAGAGAGTCAGGGTGCCCGTGTGTTTAATGTTTGGAGACATCACATTAAGCCTTCTCCTTTGTGAGTGTGAATGAATAAGAAATAGTCATCATTTTGGACATCAGAAATCATGTGTGTGTGTGTGTGTGTGTCCTGTGCATAAATATCAGCAACAAACATAACACATGGGCTAGATATCATGGCAAAATTTCTATGTTCTTCTGCTTTCTGCCTTTTTAAGATGTGCATTTGGTAATTCTAAAATGAAAGTATACTGTAAACGTATTGTATAGCTTTCCTATTGAAAATTCTGGTATGAGTTATTTTTACACCTTGTTAGTAACATTAGTATAATACTGATAGTTAAATATGAAGCACAATTAATTTAATTCACAAATCACAATTTTCTGATTAATTTATATCATACACTTTTTTTCATTATTAATATGTATGGAATAATTCCAAATTAAACTTCACCCAAATAGAAAAACAACAGTGGGTAAAAAATCAAGTAGACTATGATGTACATGTATTTAATCATGTAGATATAGTTTTGTTTTCATAAGATGCGAAATGATTGTAATATGTTTTGTACATTCCAAACAATTCATCATTAGTAGATTGAATGCATCACAAACTGAATTTCCAGACAAGTACATTCAGTAAATACTTGTTATATGGTAGAAGAAACTTGACTATAAGTAGTAGACATACTGGGGTATATATACTTTCATAACTTTTATAAACTTGACGATATATATTTTTAAGAAAGATGATCATCTAATACAATGATACATGCTGAAGCTTGGGGATTTCAAGTTTGTGTCATATGGAGTGACATAATTAACGTTAACTTTCTAATACTTGCTTCTTGCTGAAAGTTGAAGCTTCACTGTACAAACGATTGAGCATTGATGTCAGAGTTAAGTATAAATCTGATTGCTTCATCATTCTCTTTATTTTTTCAACCTAATTATCATATCAGAAAGGTCAATTATCATAAAAGTACTTTTTTTTCCACGAGGTCACAATTCCGCGAAATCACAACTTCTGTTTAATCCACTGGTAGAAAATTGTGCTCTGATTTCTTGGATTGGCATTATATGTCCTTAAGTTAATACATTTTAAGTACGCTGTGACAGTTTTCTGCAGAAATTAAAAGTGTGACCACATACACAGCGTAAATTAATCTGATGTGGAAAAAAGTACGTCTACAGTTTGTCTGTGAAAGTATGTCCAAAACAACACAAACTAGAAATCCCCAAGCTTCAACGTACTTCATTGTATTTGGCATTTGCCAGTGTTTGGGGGAATAATATTGTTTGTAAATATAAAACTGACTTTGCTCTGTTGGAATGACCACAGTACATATAGTTGAACTTCGGTATCTCGAACACAGATATCTCAGATACCATGGATATGTAGAGGAGATTAGGAATTCCTTACCACATATTTCTTAAGTATATTACCATCGATATCTCAAACCCGCAGATATCTCGAAGTTTTTCTTGGTCCCATTGAGTTCAAGATAACGAGGTTTGACTGTACTAGTTTAACAATGAAAGATTTCAGAGTTATACCACAAGTGCTGGCCTCTTTCTGAATTAAGAGCTGCTTGTTTATTACAGGTAATGTACCTGACATATTCCTATTACACTTACAAGTAGCCCTCTATGGACTTTTCCATCGCTTGTATGGCATGTTTCCATACACTTTTCTGACATTCCTCAGACACCAATACAGCAAAAAGGAAAACGCCACCGTGTACGAAGAGGCCATCAAAGTATGTACTTATCACTGCTCATTGAAATAAAGTTTCTTTAATTTATGACACTGGCTTCCTACAAAACTACACTTGTCTGAGGAATTTGGGGACAGCCCTCATACATATATGTATAACTTTCAGCCAATGCTTGAGAGAGTGCGTCTTCATCCCCATCTCATCAATGGCACAAGAGAAAAAGAAATGGATGCAAAGCGGTATCAACATTTATACTTTTTTGTGATTAGTCTAGAGAACAAGTAGAATTGTTATTAAAAGGATTAACTGTATGTTGTTGATTATGATCTTTTCGAGTTTCATCTGAACAGAGTAGTTGGTGTGTCACTGAGATACTGAATATTCTTTCTTCAGATGGAAATCTTTGGAGGATCATGATGTGATTGTCCAGTGTGCCAAAATGTCCCTGGATCAGATTGAGGGTACTTGGGAGGAGATGTCCTGTCCTGTTGCCTCCTCCCCATACAAGGCAGCACTGACTGCTGAGGACAGAAGCAGGAGGAAATCTTCTGTGGGTATGTCAGAATGAGTTAGCATAACCAACCAGTCCATAACATACTTTTGAGTCTCAACTTTGATAAAAGTAATGCACAGTGACACTACAAAAAGACACATCTACATGTGAAAAGTTTTAAAAGTCTAGTAGCAAAATTTTATTTACACTTACAGTAATATATTATGTGTGATTTAAAATACATGTAAGCTAGTGTACATGCCACACAAGATGTATGATACATTGTTTGTTTTTATTAAGAAATTAGGTATTTACAGGATGTAAACACGGGCTGATCAACCCATATTTACATACCGATAAATGTTTTAAAATGATACCTTATTACTTATTTATATTAACATTTGTAACTGAATTATAACAAATATTTGCGTACTTAAGTTTTAAACCTGGAGGTAAAACAACTTACAATCAATCAATCAATCAATCATGAAATGATTTAATTTTCTAAAACCTCAGGGATATAAATTGAATGACACTTATGATTTCACTGTGAAATGACGTCGATTGTTTATGACTTAACAATGAATTTATGGTCATATGACGATCTTGTTTATATACCCGGTACAGGCTTTGTTCAAATAAAGTTATAAAAGGGAAAACATTTGCAAATGTAAATTTTGATATATAACCCATCCCCTTTATATTTGTACATTGTGATACTGGTAATCAAAAAAGACTGTCATTGATATTAAAGAAACTTTCCATAGAGCTCCAGATAAGGTGCGTATTTGCAGAAATACGCATTGAATTTTACAAAATACGCATTGAAAATTAAAACTGGGCATACAGTTACGCATTAGCAATCGTAAATAAGCATTAGACTACGAAAGTACTGCGTACGACGGATTGAATAATACAAGTACGACTTAGCTAATGATATGGATTGAGGTCAGCTCAGTGTTTGATTTTTTTTGAACGAAATATTAATTTAAAAGCGTTTAAATAACCAGGAATATGCTAGTTATGGCGAAGACGATTTCCAGTTCGGGAGAAAGAATTCAATGATTAAGATTAAAATCGATATCTTTATATAGATAGACTACGCACTAGGCATAGTTACTTTTAAGCACATAAAAGTTTGTGTCGTCTATGTAAGACGACATTGTTTTGTAACAAGTGTAATACATAAGTAAGAGAAAACAATGTTACCTAGAAAACAATGGATAGTTGGAGGGGGAAAAAAGAGTCCTAGCCGGAGAAAAAAAAGTTTATGCTGCAATTTATCAAAGAGTACATATTGTGTAAAAAAGCAGTGAAGACCATATCGAAAAAAACGAGCTCTGTTTTTAATTCAAGACCAATTAAATAAACTGCTGTAGAGAGACATTACGCATATAATATGACTTTGTATTTAACGATAAAGAGTTTTCCTAGATTCTCTAGAGTTCTCTATGGTTCTCTGTTTAGTAGGACGACTACACAGGGTTTGCACTTAACGTTTTTTTATGATGGGTTCATTGACAATTTCTGATTTCTCTTGTTCTTTTTTTCTCGGTTCACTCTTCCTACGATATCATCTTAAATAGAGAAAAAAAATTGTATGTGCCTATGGTTACTTTACGTACTGTACGATCTTCCTTGTCCAAGAAAAAAATGTTTCTCAGGTTATCAAAAATCTTGTTGGCATTCTCAAAAATTTGTTTAAATAAATACAGGAACTGTTCTTTGTACTTCTTTTTTCTTTCCTTTTTTTAAAAATAATTTTATTTTGATAACAAGCTCAAAATTACAACAGATGTCAAAACATTAATATATTAACAAAATACTCTTAAATCATTTTGCTGAATGTCAAAATCTGCATTGATTTGAAAATCAGGGAGTAAATACACTTTGGGCTAAAAAATTATCTGGAGCTCTGTTTCCAAGCAAAGTACATGTACATATATGTTGCACTTTTATATTTTTTATTACAGATGGGAGAAAGCCAAGAAGTTCAGTGTCTTCCCCTCCACAGCTGAGCCCCAATGTGACCTCACAGGATTTAGCCTCCATTTGGAGCCCCTCTTTGTCTGTGGGTCTTTCTACCCCTCCACCCTCACAGCGGACCACCCCGGCCACCAGTGTGTTAGAAAGCAGCTTGACAAGTCTGTACCAAGCACAACAAGGTATATCCAAGGTCATCTGAGTCACTCAAGTGACTTATTGCTACCTGGTATTGTCAGTCATCATTTGAATATATTTTTATTATAAAATTATGAAGAAAAGCATTGCTTCAAATTATCAAGCGATATACTGGTAATAATATCCTCATGTAGAGTCAATTTATTAAAGTCCTCATTTTGCCCTTTGAATTAAGTTGGGATATGCTAGGGATTTAAGGTTTTATGAATAAGTAGAGAGGCTATGTTCAGAAAAAAACTTGCATTGTGACACTCATGTGACTTTTAAGACTCCTTGGACTCTTGTGTCTTTCCATTCACCCTTATGATGACACTTTAGTGAAGCATAGTAAATGAGGTTTTGACATAAATTGAGAATTTCTGAATGAGTAAAGAAAACTTACCAGTAGTTATACAATCATGTAATTAATATTCTGATTAATTTTCAATCAATAGGAACCAGTGCCAACACCTCTACAACTGCTACTCCAAGAGCAACACCCCCAATTTCAGCAGAGGAAGAGAAGGTAAAAAAAAAAAATGAATATCAGATACATTTACAAGTATATTGGAAGAATCTTTTAAATGATGGGCAGTTTTAAGTACTTTTTAATCTACATTCATTTACTTCATCATTACTTGGAGTACGGTTATAGAAGAATTGAGTTCAACCAATTAGAGACTCTGTTACTTTTCAAATTAACAACTCCATATCTAAATGTAAAAGGAGGATGGTTAATTAAAGCTTGGATTAGCTGATTTTAACAGAGTAAGTTTAGCTTGGCCCTTTAGTTGACAATGTCACTTTTTTTTTCTGTTACGTAACTTGCATAAAATATCAGGGTCTGTTTGATTCAAATCTTACTTTTTAACTCTTTGTCATTGTATTAATCAGAGCAAAGGAAGGTTGAAAGCTCATAGAGAAATGAAGAAGCTCAGTCTATCAAGCAAATCTCTCCCTGGGTCAGTGGAGGGTAAAACTAGTTCCTCCAGTGTTCCTCCCTCCCCTCTCAGGGCGGAGTTTACCACAGAACCACCCAGAGGAATCTTCAAGTCCCTCCCTGTTAAACAGGCAGCCAGGGAACTTCAGTTTGATGTGGGATCAGCCAGAAGGAATATGAATACACCAGAACAGGTATCAGAGAACATCCAAGACAGTCCATTACCTGGGGAGGGATTATTGAAGGACATCGAGGCAGATAGGTCAGACCTCATGGAGTCCTATTCCAGAGATGCCATTATGAAAACACAGGCTATTGAAGAGGGTAAGGAGAAAAATATCTGCTTGTTTTTGGCCAAGCTCTTTATGTGTTGTTAAAATTATAATTGCCTGGATTAAGAGGCATGTAAAATTTTAATTTTGTAGACAATTAGAAGTTAGTCTTCCAGAAGTAGTTAATGTAAATGAAGTCAAAATTCTATTTTCTTTTAATTTGCTAGTAATGCAGATAAAGATTGCTAATTCTTTTGTCCCCTGCTTTCGCGAAAGGGCAAGGACATTAAATCTCATTCTTCTGGTCCATCAATAAGTCTGTTTTTCTGTCTACCTTGGTCATAATGTTTGAATTAGAGAAGATGTGTATTACCTGTTACCTCTCTGAAAGTTTTATGATATTTGACCTCACAAGTTTGACCTTGTAGTTTGACTTACTTTTAAAAATAATTTGACCTTGGCCATAGCTTTTGCCTTGAAGGGACAGGCCTTTCATATTTTTTTTCATGTGCCTTACCTGTGACAAGTCAAATGTATCTTAATTTTTGAATTCATGTCCTAGACCTCAAAGTTTAACTTTGAAGAACTTGAACCTTGGCTTTAACTTTGGTGCCAGATCATAGTACTTCTAAATTATAGAACTTTTATTAGTATGATTGACAAACAAAATAAGATTTACAAGACAGTTACATAATGCTTTAGATCAGTGCACCCCAACCAATAAGACCCCAAGAGCAGGGGACCACAGTTCTCTGAATTTGTTGTTTAAAACTTGGCAATAAAATGTGTGCAATTAATTTTCAATTTGAATTCTTAAAGGTGCTTAGACACAGATCTGAAGTTTATATTTTCTCAAATTTTCTGTATAATATCACAACTTATGTGTAGCTATAGCATTTCACGCAAAAATAAAATTAAAATCTTATTTAATCTGGAAATTATTGAATCTACGAATTTCGGGAGGCGTTTGATGAACACATCCTTGCACTTTCACGATTTTTAACTTTATCCTTAATACTTAAGAAAGATAGCAATTTTGTTGTGTATTAATGAATAATATTACATCTATAATCCAGAAAATTCAGAGTAAAAATGTGCGAAAGCAAAACCCACTCACTTAAGTATTGTCAGCCTGTGCTCAGTGTTGTGTAATTGTGTACAGAGTTTAACAAATTGAATACACCCGTGAAACGTAAACTGTTTTTGTAAACAGGGCACGAGCTCTGTTGTTGTTAATGTTTTCGTTTCACCGGGTGTGTTCAATTGTTAAACTCTGCACACACCACTGAGCACGGACTGACAATACTGGTGAGAGGATTTTGCTTCTACATTTCTACTCTGAAATTTCTGCATTATAGTTTTAATATTTTTCATTAATAAACAACAAAATTGCTACTTTTCTAAAGTAATAAGGATAAAGTTAAAATTTGTGAAAGTGCAAGGATGTGTCTATCAAACGCGTCCAGAAATTCAAAGTTTCAATAGCTTCCAGATAAAATGAGATTTTCATCAAATTTTCGCATGAAATGCAATAGCAACATATAAGTCATGAAATTATACAGAAAATTTGAGTAAATATTAACTTCAAATCTGTGTCTAAGCACCTTTAAGTTGAAATTCCCAATTACAAATGAAAATTTCAAATGTAAGAAACCAAAACAAATAATGGGAGAGTAAAACAATACATTCACCCATAAAGAAATCCATAAAGAGAAAAATCAAAAGAATATACATAAATAAATGTACCATATAATTTGTTGCAATGATACTTTGTTTATCAGATTAACTGAATATTTTGTTTATGTTTTAGACACTGATGACCAGGAGGTGTCTGATCTCACTAAGAACCCGGTTCCTCCCATGTTCCAGACGGCAGAGTCTGTGGCTAAATTCATGCGGAGTGTCAACAGGATCCGATTCAATAGCATGACAAACGAGGTCGAATCAATCCTAGCCCAGGAAAAGCACAGCAGCAAGAAAAGTTTTTCTAGATCATGTCCAAATCTTCACAAGATGCCAGTCACAGAGGAAGAAGCAGATGACCATCTGTCAAGGTCAGTCTCCACGACCTTCAGGCAGTCTTCAGAGTCTGATCAGTCAAAGGTCAGTGAGGTGAAGGACATAAGGGCAAGAAGAACATCTACACCCAGTGCAGTCCCTGATACATCTAAATCCACCAACGTGACTATAAACCTGTCATCCCATGTAGTCAACAACATTACGTATCAAAGGAAGGACTCTCTAGGAAAGGAAAAGGACAGTGATTTGATGAGTGTGTTGAAGTCTGTCCTGGTCCCTGCCAAGGTCGCGGTGTGTCAGAGGTGCAGTGTCCAGTGTCTCACCACAGGTTCTCCCAGTAAATCAGGTAGATTTTTTTAAATTGAACTTAATAATTTTGTATACACTGTATTTATAATTTTGAAAGAATATGTCGTGCATTTAAGAATTGTTTCAATATGCAAACCTCCCCATGAAGTAAAGACATTCTAAATCTGACCCTAAGCCAAGGGTGGAACCACAAAAGGGGTCCAAAGGTTAACTCGGGTATAGAAAAAGCTTGTAGTTAGTCAAATTAATTTGCAAGTATCCCTGATGCAGATTAAAATTTATTCAAAGCATGACCTTGTAAGGATAAATAAGGGTAACAAGTATTATATAGTTAAAGAAATGGATAGACTCCGTGGAGAATGAGACAACTACCAAGTAACGTTAAAAAAATATGTATTTGCAATCATTACTATTTATAGCCTTTAATTAAGTTTGAATCCACAAAAAAGGGGTCTCACTGCATATTTATCTTTCCGAGATAAGGATAGAGAGGAAAATAACTCTGATGAGTCTTTTTGCCCAGGGACCCTTTGCATTTTTAGCTCACCTGAGCTGAAAGCTCAAGTGAGCTTTTCTGATCACATTTTGTCTGTAGTCCGTCTGTCTGTCCGTCCATCTGTAAACTTTTCACATTTTTGACTTCTTCTCAAGAACCACTGGGCCAATTTCAACCAAACTTGCCACAAAGCATCCTTGGGTGAAGGGGGTTCAAGTTTGTTCAAATGAAGGGCCACATCTTATTCCAAGGGGAGATAATTAAGAATTGGTGAAAATTTGGTTTCATCTTTTAAAAATCTTCTTCTCAAGAACCATTGGGCCAGAAAAGTTGAAACTTATGTGAAACCTTCATTACATAGTGTAGATTCAAGTTTGTTCAAATCATGACCCCCGGGGGTAGGGTGGGGCCACAATGGGGTATCAAAGTTTTACATAGGAATATATAGGAAAATTCTTTAATAATCTTCTTCTCAAAAACAACGAAGCCACAATTAGTCATATTGATATGAAATCATCCTCAGGTGGTGTTGATTCAATTTTGTTCAAATCATGACACCCGGGGGTAGGGCGGGGCCACAATGGGGGATCAAAGTTTTACATAGGAATATGTAGGAAAATTCTTTGAAAATCTTCTTCTCAAGAACAACAAAGCCACAATAAGTCATATTGATATGGAATCATCCTCAGGTAGTGTACATTCAAGTTTGTTCAAATAATGACCCCCAGGGGTAGGGCAGGGACACAATGGGGGATCAAAGTTTTACATAGGAATATATATAGAAAAAATTCTGAAAAATCTTCTTCTTAAGAACAACAAAGCCAGAATTAGTCATATTGATATGGAATCATCCTCAGGTAGTGTAGATTCAAGTTTGTTCAAATCATGACCCCCGGGGGTAGAGTGGGGCTACAATGGGGGATCAAAGTTTTACATAGGAATATATAGGAAAAATTTTTAAAGATCTTTTCAAGAACAGGAAAGCCATGATTAGTCATATTGATGTGGAAGCATCCCCAAGTATTGCAGATTCAAGTTTGTTCAATGCATCCTCCAGTAGTAGGGTGGGGCCATAATGGTGGATCAAAGTTTTATGAAAGAAAATATATAGGAAATATCTTTAAAAATCTTCATCTTAAGAACAACAAAGTCTTGATTAGTCATATTGATTTGGAAGCATCCTCAGGTAGTGTACATTCAAGTTTGTCCAAATCATGACCCCACCCCACCCCCAACCCCAACCCCCAGGGTAGGGTGTCAGACATCTTTAAAATTCTGTTTTAAAGAACAGCAAAACCATGATTAGTTATCTGAATATAGCAGCATCCTCAGAAGGTTTATATTCAATTTCATTCAAAACATGGCACCTGGGGGTAGGGTATGCTTAGAACAGGCCATCAAAGCTTTATATGAATATATAAGAGAAGAAATCTGCTGACGAAGAACAACAGGGCCATATTGACTCAGGTGAGCGTTGTGGCCCATGGGCCTCTTGTTGTAATTGATTTGTTTCTTGTCATCATTTGTTTCAGTTATCTACAATTACTGTACCTATTTTTCATATCTTTTTTAATTATTGAAATTTATGCATTTGTAGACGAAGACCTGCCTACCCCAATATTTGAAACCTACTCACCCCCAGAGCTACTGGACCGACACCTGCAGTTGGGTGGAAATATCCATGCCAAACAGCTAAGTAGGATTCCCCTCACAAACCAGGACTCAATCAACTGGACACATTTTGGAGGTAACTGTCATATGGAGCTACAGACCCAAATCTTTTTGTCACTTCAATTGATCCATTTTTGACATGCATATGGAAATGTTTGACCTTTTCCAACTTTGTAGAAGCACTGATTTTCAGACAATCTAGCTATAACATAGCTTTCTTGTAACCACAAAAAAAAAAAATAAATGAATAAAAATATTAGCATTGTTTAATCCTATACCTTATTTTTTTCTGATTTGAAATGAAGCAAGATATAAAGTATTATTAAAACCATTTTAGCACACGATATTCCATTCTTTATTTGAAGTGTTCTACATTTTACTGAAAGAAGATTTTCTATTTAGATATACATGTACATATAGGTATTCCAAATGCTACTCTTGAAAGTATAGTGTGCTGTTTTTCTCAATTTTTAATTTTAATTGAAGAATCTCAAAGAATCTCAACCTTTAGTTTTAATTGAAGAATGTTGCTACTTTTTGTTGAATTTTTTTTTTAAATTTAGAAAATGATCGAAACACACAAACAAGTGTATTTCATGTGTGAATAAGTTTGACCCTGGTGTCATCAAAGTCTTCTGTCTTTCTTTTTTCCCCCTTGCTTTCAATATTCTGACATTATTTGGCATGTAAAACTTTGTTGTTGTTATTTGTCATATAGGTATGCCTCCTGCAGATGAAGTGAACATTCTGCGTGGACAAATCATTATGATGAAGAATCAAATTTTATATGAAAGAAATAAAAGAGAACTCCATGCAAAAAGGAATCGGCGTCTCCTTCGTAAAATCACAACAGCTAATGCACTGGAGGAGCAAACAAAAGCACAGGTAAAGCTATTGGCTAGGACAGGTAGGAAGGTGATAGGCCTCAGATTATCAGGTAAAAGATTCAGGTAGGAAGGTGATCAGCCTCAAATTATCAGGTAAAAGATTCAGGTAGGAAGGTGATAGGCCTCAGATTATCAGGTAAAAGATTCAGGTAGGAAGGTGATCAGCCTCAAATTATCAGGTAAAAGATTCAGGTAGGAAGGTGATAGGCCTCAAATTATCAGGTAAAAGATTCAGGTAGGACAGGTTGAAAGATGACAGGCCCTTAGGTATCATTTGATCCCACTGAAAGAAAGACTTAAGTGTATCCAATATATCATTCTGCTCTCTGATCTGTTATTACATTTAATCAGGTCTGCAGACAGGCAAGTTTTATTCTAAACCTTATGGTGATCTACAGTGACTACAGTATTAATTAGTTACTGGAAATGGACCAGATTGTGCATGTACATGTATGTATTGATTATTTTATCTTTTTTATAAACAGAAGGAGCAAATCAAGATTCTTGAGACAGAGATCCAGAATTTAAGGTTGTCTATGAAAATCCTGCAGGAAGAAAATCGCAGGCTGAAACAGACCAATGAAAGTAATGAGTATGAAACTCAGGTTAAACTTAGGTAGGAAATTCTTAATGCATATTTACATTTAAATGCATGCTGATGATCTGTATGTAAAACAAAAATTGTTTTTTAAAGCAACAAAGTAGAAACATAATTTTGGGAGGTGGATAGTAATTCAGTAGGGCCTTGGGATCAAAATACTGTTAACAATATACAATCATGTATTGAATATACATACAATGTGTTTTTATTGTGAGTTATTTTGCAACCTGTGTAAAATGACATACACTGTACTAATAGATCAACATCAAGCATTTGACAATATAACCCTTTTCTATCACAAAAAGTTAACCCCCTTCATAAGTCAGTGTTAAAAATTGTTGATAGGAAAAATTTATCATGCAGCATTATTAAGAAAACCATGCTCATTTATCAATACCTTAATGCTGCTAAGCAAGCCATCTATATAGATTTTTAGAGCAATGGCTTTTCCATCAATAAAACATACAATGAATTACATATCTTTAATTATACAACATTTAACATACTTATTAAATCCTACTTGATATGATTTTTTATAAACAGACAAATATAAAAAATGAAATGTCTTTCTTCGTTTGTTAGTTTAGGAATTAACATTGCAGCTATTGCAGAAAAAAATTACACAACTCGCTTATGCATTTTGTGTTTTTTTCTGCAACAGCTGCAATATTAATGCCTCCTACTAAGACCCAAAGAAAGTATTTTTTTGTTTAACTTTTCTAGGGCTTGCTTGAATGAGTTGGATGAGCTTAGACTAGCCAAAACAGAGATGAACACATTGTTGATAAAACAGAGGGAGGACCAGGATGCGCTTAAAGCTGTGAGTAACTTATTATAACATTTTTTGTGTATGTTTACATCTAAATTATGATCCTAATTTCTGGACACATTGTACTCTTGTAGAAACTGCAAAGCACAGAAGCTCAGCTATTTCAAGAGCAGAGAGTTAATCAACATCTGAAGGAACAAGTCCAGATGACACAGAGGTTGAAGGAACAGGTAGAAAACACTTATTTTGTGAATCTGCTTAGAAGTTTTCATCCATGATGTGCACAGATTTGAAGAATCTTTATCAAGCTGTTGATTTATAATTTACTTGAGTGGAAATTACTGAGACATAGTTTTGTTGTCTTGATGAATACATATGCTGTACATTTGGGGTGAATATCAATGATAAAGGTCCAGCCTCGACTTTTTTTGGGTGTAAAATATACATGTATATGTATATAAACTTAATAACATATCTTTTGAAACTGCATTTTCTAAGGTGAAATGATAGGATTTAAGAAATGACATTTAATATGAAATTGAACGTGTATGACATCGTCCACTTTGTAAATGCTGTCATCTATTGCAACTGTCTTACATAATGGGTCTAAATTCCAATCTTTTATGATGTAGGTGCTGCAGTTGCACAAGGAACTGTTATTGATGGGAGAACTTCAGGGCAAATATGAGACCAAACTCAGTGTCATCCGGAACAGTCACCATGCCAAGCCGGAACAAGAGACTATGATCGGCACACTGAGGGCAGAAAATACAGGTATGAAATGATTTAAACATTCTCTTCTGCTTGAAAGTCATTTATTTACATGTAGTCATTTCTGCTAAACAACATCAGATGCAGTTGTTTGTCTAGGTTGAATATTGCTGTAAATATATTTAGTGTGTACAATATTTGCCGGAAATTGATTTTGGAACAAGTTAGCGTAGATTTGATTTAGCACATTATTAATGTTCTTATTTATGTATATATGTGCAAGACATTTAGTGTTGTACTTGAATTAGTGGAATTTTCTTTCGGCGAAAAGTGCTAAAATGAATACACAGCTAAATGTAATACATTTACAGTATTAGTTAGAATACACAGTTTGGGACATAATACAAGGTCACCTAGAATATGAAATGGAAAACCATACTGGGCGAGGCAAAGCCAAGTCTCAGTATGGATTTTCAAGCCTCGCCCAATACGGATTTCCATTTCACACCCTGGACAACTCCGTATTAGGTCCCAAACTATTTCTGTAACAAATTTATTACTCTGAATACCTTTAGAGGAGATGTTTAAAGTTAAGTAACATATCAAGTAAAATTTTAATTCAGAATATCACCGAACATCATATATCCTCAGTATTACTCCATCAGATGTAAAGATATGAACTATGAATTTCAACAAACAAACAGTTTTCTTGCCACCATTTGTGTACAATAGATTACATAGAACAGAATCCCTTCTGCTTCTTACATTCCCCCATTATAGTGCCTCCCTGCTATAACACAAAAATTGACAAGGTACAAATTTTTGCGATTAATCAGGGGAACACTGTACATGTATGAATAAAAAGATATTTGATACATGATTTCTGTACACCACAATTAGGGCTTAGATGGTAAATTAATTTAAAACTTAAGACTGGAGAAAATAGAAGCACAGGGTGTGCAACACTTCTTACATGAAGGGAATTTTCACTTAGCAATGACATAACTTCAAAAAGAAAAATAAGTAGGAAAGAGAGCTAATAGCTTTTGGAATTTCATCAGATATTTATTATTTATATACATGTATTTTCAAAGCTCTTAGGGAGAAAATGAAATCAAACACCCTGAATCTGGAAGGCTTTGGGAAGAGAGTCCAGGAGTTGGAGGGAAATGTTCAAAATAAGGTAGGTATATGAATATATAGTTTATGAACCATTAATTTGTAATTAAGTGGTCAATGTATAACTGTCTGTCTGATATTGTGATGTGTGCCAATTATTTTGTAAATTAGTGGTCAGTATATGACTGTGTTTCTTTCTCCTTTTAGCAAATGACTATTGAAGAATTACAAAGACAATTACATTATGCCAAAATTTGTCAACAGGATGAAATCAAGGTATTCTGTGTGTTGTCATTGATTTAATGCTATTCATGTGATAGTACATCATTGTAATTTAATGACAGTTGTGTTACTTTGGAGGAACAGTTTATTTAATTATTTGCAAAGGGGGTGAGAGTTCATTGAGATCTGTAACTTTAATAATATTGGGTAATGGGCTGTAAATTAGGATTTGTAACTACTCCCTTAAATGTGATTCCTATAGGTCACCTTTAGATGTTACATACCATATGTAATTGTACTGTGCGTAAGTGCATGTACACGTGTAAGGATTTGTGTGCAAGTTTTTAGACGTTCAGTATGTTTATGGTAAACTTGCATGCTAAAACATGAGTGTTTAAGCGTATATCAGATGTCTAATTTTTTGTGCCTAGGCTTACATCTTTTGCTAAGACATATGTAAACGCGTCTATCACAGGCTGTGGAGGATAAATACAGCAGTATTTGTAGCATTAACCAAAGACTGGAGGGGCATATCATGTCACTGTATGCACAGATAGACCAACTGCAGCAACCAAAACAGGCCAAAAGTAAGTACATGTACTAGAAATTACCACCATGTCAAACAAATATAGCAGCCAAGACAGGTCAAAAGTAAGTACATGTACTAGAAATTACCACCATGTCAAACAAATATAGCAGCCAAGACAGGTCAAAAGTAAGTACATGTACTAGAAATTACCACCATGTCAAACAAATATAGCAGCCAAGACAGGCCAAAAGTAAGTACATGTACTAGAAATTACCACCATGTCAAACAAATATAGCAGCCAAGACAGGTCAAAAGTAAGAACATGTACTAGAAATTACCACCATGTCAAACAAATATAGCAGCCATAACAGGTCGAAAGTAAGTACATGTACTAGAAATTACCACCATGTCAAACAAATATAGCAGCCAAGACAGGCCTAAAGTAAGTACATGTACTAAAAATTACCACCATGTCAAACAAATATAGCAGCCATAACAGGTCAAAAGTAAGTACATGTACATGTACTAGAAATTACCACCATGTCAAACAAACATAGCAGCCAGAACAGGTCAAAAGTAAGTGCATGTACATGTACTAGAAATTACCACCATGTCAAACAAATATAGCAGCCAAGACAGGCCAAAAGTAAGTACATGTACTAGAAATTACCACCATGTCAAACAAATATAGCAGCCAAGACAGGTCAAAAGTAAGAACATGTACTAGAAATTACCACCATGTCAAACAAATATAGCAGCCATAACAGGTCAAAAGTAAGTACATGTACATGTACTAGAAATTACCACCATGTCAAACAAACATAGCAGCCAAGACAGGCCAAAAGTAAGTACATGTACTAGAAATTACCACCATGTCAAACAAACATAGCAGCCAGAACAGGTCAAAAGTAAGTACATGTACATGTACTAGAAATTACCACCATGTCAAACAAACATAGCAGCCAAAACAGGTCAAAAGTAAGTACATGTACTAGAAATTACCACCATGTCAAACAAATATAGCAGCCAAAACAGGCCAAAAGTAAGAACATGTACAAGGAATTAGTAAACAGATAAACAAATGTAGCAACCAAAACAGGCCAAAAGTAAGTACATGTACACAGGAACTAGCAATTACCACAATTTCATTGTAAACAGATAAAACAAATAGAGCAACCAAGACAGACCAAAGGTACATGTAGTAGCAGTTATCATCATATCATTAAGATAGTAACCAAAACAGGCCAAAAATAAGTAGCATTTACCACCATATTATACAGACAGACTTAACACAGCAACAAAACAGGCCAAAAGCAAGTAACATTTACCACCATATTATACAGACTTTACACAGCAACAAAACAGGTCAAAAGCAAGTAACATTTACCACCATATTATACAGACAGACTTTACACAGTAACAAAACAGGCCAAAAGCAAGTAACATTTACTACCATATTATACAGACTTAACACAGCAACAAAACAGGCCAAAAGCAAGTAACATTTACCACCATATTATACAGACAGACTTAACACAGCAACAAAACAGGCCAAAAGCAAGTAGCATTTACCCCCATATTATACAGACAGACTTAACACAGCAACAAAACAGGCCAAAAGCAAGTAACATTTACCACCATATTATACAGACAGACTTAACACAGCAACAAAACAGGCCAAAAGCAAGTAACATTTACCACCATATTATACAGACAGACTTAACACAGCAGCAAAACAGGCCAAAAGCAAGTAACATTTACCACCATATTATACAGACTTAACACAGCAACAAAATAGACCAAAAGCAAGTAACATTTACCACCATATTATACAGACAGACTTAACACAGCAATAAAACAGGCCAAAAGTAAATATGGGATGTGAAGAAAATGGTAAGTAATCATGCTTAAAAGTCAAGTTCAACATTACAAATTGAGAGCAGAGCCCTGGAGACATCAGAGGTTGGATTAGGTACCCTATATACTGGCATATAAGCCAGTCCGCCTATAAGTCGGTTGTATTTTTGGCGGTTATTTTGAAGGGATTTGCAATTGACCCGCTTATAAGTTGGTGCAACTTTTTTTCCAGAATTGGTTGACAATTTCTGAATCAAATCAATTTTCTAATGTTTTAACCTGATTTCAATCAATATTTTTGAAAAAGAACGTCGATATTTAATTTTAAATCATTAAAAAAATAAGTAACACACACTTGAGATAAAACAAAATTATTAAAAGAATGAGGGCGCTTTTGATTGGCATTTGGCAGGAATCTGGGCACACTTGAAAAGTGAAAATTTCATTGATCTGTCACATGAAGTTTTAGCTTTCTTTTGATGTATCGGGTTCCTATGAAATAGGAAAGGGAAATAATTTCCCTATATTGTATTTTTATTTGCTAAATAAGAACTTCATAGTTGGCTAGATGAGTCATTTGGTACAAAATGTTACATTTTTAAACACGTTTTTCTAAAAATTTGCTATCTCTGGGTCATCTCTCCATGATTTTGAAACTTTATTTGTGTGCATTTTAATTCAAAAAAACTAACAAACATTTGTAAAAAATGGAGAGAAGACCCAGAGATGATAAAAAATGAACTTTTTCAAAAAAAATTCCAATGTGTAAATGAGGTGCTTCATTATCACTATAGAAACCTTAAAGTGTGTGTAGCGGTGATTGCTCAGTAGTAAACGTTACCCGTTCAGTGGAATGAAAAAGAAATATTTTTGGTTCGATCCTCGCATGGAGCGTTAATATTTTTTTAGTACAATCAATACTTTTGTCAGTTTAATTTTATGAACTGATTTATTTTCAAATGGATAAATTCTGGTTCTGTTTCATTGAAAGCGAAAGCAATTCTTTCAACCTACTGATACTTTAATATATACAAGTATGTATTTGTAATTGCATTTAACTATACCCTATATATGTATTTATTATTTATGTGAAGCGCTACTAAGTTTTAGATGTAGTAAATATTAAGATAAGTGAACTGATATATTAAATTTGACAAAGTATTTCAAACTAAATGTAAAATTTTCCCATGTGCATAACTTTGTAAAGTAGCTGTAAAGTATGTCCAGCTGTGGTCAACCGACCAAATCGTAGACATTTAAACTAGTAATGTTTCATACGTCTTATTCCTGCAGATCACACGCCAAGCATGCCCATCTTCTTTATAATACTTGTATACTTTATGCATAATCTTAGAATACATAAATGATATAATATATAAAGACTGTATGTCACTACAACGATAATCGACGTCCAGAAAAATACCGATCTATCTATGACCCGCCTATAAGTCGGACACAGAGTTTTAGACCAAAATTTGACTCTCAAAAACTGAGTTACAGGCGAGTATATACGGTATGTAATAATGTACATTATATGATATAATGTATATTAATTCATTGTAGGTTAGATAGTGTAACCTAAGCAGGTCAAAACTAATATAAACTGAGTTAGTTAGATTTTACATGAACTATTAAGGTGTGGATTTAACTTTTTGAGAGATGTCTTAGGGATTTTTATTTTATTACTAGGCTGATATCTCACAAGTTAGGTAACTTCACAATTCATAGCAAGTTTTCTGAACTGGAACAATTAAAATGCATGCAAATATATCTGAAAGATGCTTATTGTTTTTTATTGTTATAATCTAAAGATTACAGTTAAAAGTTTGTCCTTTGAGCATGTTTTAAATCATAAAAAAAAATCATCTTCTGTCTACCTCATTATATAATTCCCAGTTTGATCCTTATAATAGATGTTCAATTACTTTATTTCTTTAAAAAGGAAAGACAACTACCAGTATTTCACTAATTGCTTGTTTGCTTGCTGTCCAAAAAGTAGTCATTTGACTTTGAGGTCAGAGGTCTAAGTCATATGTGGTCAAGGATGGTATTTGACACTTTGTTTTGCTGATCTATCCACATGTGAAATATCATGGCTTTGAGATGGTTATCTGTGAACAAGATCTAGAACTAAGCAAATAAAAAGAATACAAACAACAAGACAATTAAGAACAAGAACTAGAACAAGAAAATTAAGATCAAGAACTAGAACAAGACAAATAAGAACAAGAACTAGAACAAGACAATTAAGAACAAGAACTAGAACAAGACAATTAAGAAAAAGAACTAGAACAAGACAATTAAGATCAAGAATTAAGATCAAGAACTAGAACAAGACAATAGAACAAGAACTAGAACAAGACAATTAGGAACTAGAACAAGACAATTAGGAACTAGAACAAGACAATTAAGATCAAGAACTAGAACAAGGCAATTAAGAACAAGAACTAGAACAAGACAATAGAACAAGAACTAGAACAAGACAATTAAGATCAAGAATTAAGATCAAGAACTAGAACAAGACAATAGAACAAGAACAAGACAATTAAGAACTAGAACTAGAACAAGACAAATAAGAACAAGAACAAGACAATTAAGAACTAGAACTAGAACAAGACAATTAAGAACAAAAACTAGAACAAGACAATTAAGATCAAGAACTAGAACAAGACAATTAGGAACTAGAACAAGACAATTAGGAACTAGAACAAGACAATTAAGATCAAGAACTAGAACAAGACAATTAAGATCAAGAACTAGAACAAGACAATAGAACAAGAACTAGAACAAGACAATTAAGATCAAGAATTAAGATCAAGAACTAGAACAAGACAATAGAACAAGAACAAGACAATTAAGAACTAGAACAAGACAATTAAGATCAAGAACTAGAACAAGGCAATTAAGAACAAGAACTAGAACAAGACAATTAAGATGAAGAACTAGAACAAGACAAGAACATGAACTACAAAAGACAAATAGGAACAAGAACTAGAACAAGACAAGAACTAGAACAAGACAATTAAGAACAAGAACTAGAACAAGACAATTAAGATCAAGAACTAGAACAAGACAATTAGGAACTAGAACAAGACAATTAAGAACTAGAACTAGAACAAGACAATTAAGAACAAGAACACTAGAACGACAATTAAAATCAAGAACTAGAACAAGACAATTAAAATCAAGAACTAGAACAAGACAATTAAGAACAAGAACTAGAACAAGACAATTAAGAACAAGAACTAGAACAAGGCAAATAAGAACAAGAACTAGAACAAGACAATTAAGATGAAGAACTAGAATAAGACAATTAAGAACAAGAACTAGAACAAGACAAATAAGAACTAGAACTAGAACAAGACAATTAAGAACTAGAACAAGACTGAGAACAAGAACTAGAACAAGACAATTAAGAACAAGAACTAGAACAAGACTGAGAACAAGAACTAGAACAAGACAATTAAGAACAAGAACTAGAACTAGATAATTAAGAACTAGAACAAGACAATTAAGAACAAGAACTAGAACAAGACAATTAAGAACAAGAACTAGAACAAGACAAATAAGAACTAGAACTAGAACAGAACAAGAACTAGAACAAGACAAATAAGAACAAGAACTAGAACTAGACAATTAAGAACAAGAACTAGAACAAGACAATTAAGATCAAGACTAGAACAAGGCAAATGAGAATTAGAACAAGACAACTAATGTTTGAATATCCAACAAACTTTAACCATTCCAGTTTCATACTTGGCTGCAGTGGTCCTTTGAGGCTGTTGGAGAATTCATATTAATTCAAAAGTCAAATCCTCGAGGTCAAAGGCAGTGATAAATTACACCAGACATGGACATAAAATAAAATATTATTATTTTGGGAGGCAATATCCAAGAATCTGCTGTTAAAAAATTATGCATGCATTGCACCAGGTCTTTTAATTTACAAGTGATGCTTTGATTATTCCAGAATTATGTCTTTTACCTGTGCAAAATTAATCACTCAGTAACTTGTACCATTATTACTCAGCCTTCTTGCAGCATATTTCATATTTTCAAGTCTTTGAATATATGCATGAAAAACTGCAATATGTGTACTTACATACATGTATTATTATAATAAAACAAAATTAATGTTTAAATAAAGACTTTTAAAAGCTTCAAAAGTAAAAATTTCTTCATTCAAAATGATAAGATGTCTAATTTAAGAAGTGTATGTTGTATACTTGTATCATGACTGTATATTTATTAAGCATATAGTTTAAATGAATATTAATATTCACTGTTTACAGTTGCCATACCACAACCCCCAAATGTATCAGATGATAGTGCACCTAGAGAGAGAACAGGATCAGTACCCACCAAGCCCCCTAGTGTCAAACCTCCCTTAACAAAGATGAGCAGTGTCCCCTTAGGATGTGGACTGGCAGGTCCCCCACCTACAGGTGTCAGGACTGGTCAGGAGGCATCAAAGTCACCCCATTCAGACACAGGAAAATATAGGTCAGATGTAACACGAGCACAGCTGAGTGGACGGACTGAACGGTCAGAGGATACTGCTTCTGTTTCCTCCACTGAATCGATGAGTTCCTCTGGAGTAAGGCGGGGGAATATACTTCATAGTGACGGGGAGGAAAAGTCACAGTCTTCTAAAGACAGTGGTTACAATAAATGAGTGCCATGTGTTGTAGATTTTATGATTTTCTTTAAATGAAATTAGTGTACTGTGTAAGATTTTGTAATGTTAAACATGCTGTCTTTTATCAAAAATTATTTTAAAATTGTTGAATAGTACTGAAAACAGATGTTTATTAGCTTGCAAGAAATCATGAGCTTTGCATCCTACTTTCAATCAGAATTATTTCCTGCAGCAAATCTTCTACTTGTGAATAAATGTCAAATGATGCATCAATCCCAGAAAATTACTGTAAATTATATATTTAGCGATATTTATTGGAAATTAATTTTACAAGATGGCGTAGATTTGATTTAGCGCTTTCTGAACATGCTTATGATAATATAACATGGAAGACATTCAGTGACATACATGTACATGTATTTGATTTAGCAGAAACTGCCTTCTGCTAAAGGTGCTAAATAAAATACACCACCAAATGTAATGTTTACGGTTAAGTAGTTGCAGATGGAATTCAAATTGATGAATCATGAACAAAAGTGTTGGTTTACAATATATTAAGATACCTGTTAAATCTGAATTTTTAATTTGTGATATAGAGCACTTGTAAATGAAATGAGATTTTGTGTAATTGTACTTGCTATATGTTTTATGTTGTGTAAGTATGAATGCCCGTGTGCTTCATTACAAGTATTGCCCATCATTGTGTGTGTGCTGTGAACAGTTTATGATGATTTGGGGGTTCTGTCCCCAGTTTATTATATATCCAGTGAGATGCTGTACTTGGGTACATCACACAATTTTACATAATGTAAAGATAGTGATTTAAATTTTTGGTTTTTTACTTTTACAGAGTCACTAGTTTAAGAGTCCATAGTCAATTAAATGTTATTGATAGTTTTTAGAAATGTGAACATTTATACAGACCAGGGGATTGACCCTCCATCTCATATTAATTCAGAGATGTGACCAGGAAGAGAAGTGTATAGATTTTTGAAATATATAAAGTCAATGACATTGACTGTGATAGAACTTTTAAATAATATAAAGAGTGCCATATATAATTTCAAAGGAAAGGTCAAGGTCAAAGGTAGTGATAAGCTATTATAAACATTGTTATGTATATACAGGTATGTACAGTGACATTTTATTCCCATACAGAGATAATAAGCTAGTGAGGATTTAACAGTTAAAAGTGAAGAACATTAAGACAAAGATAAAAAATCAATGATAAAATAATGTCTTAGAAACTACTTAGGTTATAATGGATCACTCGATCCTCTCCTATATAGTCAAACCTCGTTATCTTGAACTCAATAGGACCGAGAAAATTGAGATATCTGAGGATTTGAGATATCCAGGGTAAAATACATAAAGAATAAGTGGTTGGGACTTCCAAATCACTTTCAAATTGACATATCCATGGTATTCGAGATATCAGTGTTCAAGATACCGAAGTTCAACTGTACACATGCTGTGAAGAGAAAAGATCAAAAGTCATATGTTGAGATAAAAAAATCAATAGGTATTGATTGTGTTGTATAACTATATCTTGTAAATTATTGATTACAAAATTGTGTTCATGGAATAATATATTGAAAAGGGAAGTTCATTTTTAAATACCAGCTAGGTAATGGTGTAGCAAGTGTATTGAAGAGAGTAATCGAACATTAAATTTTTATTATTGAATTAAAGTGTGAACATTTAATAGTTTTGATCATGATGATATAAAAATCTAGTCAGTGATCTTTTTTTTTGACTGCAGTATTTGTAATTATGCTATACGTGTAGTATTTTAAAAATGTATAAAAGCTGAATAAAAGACAGATTTGATGTTTTTGTGCATCTTAACATATAGATCAGGTATGAATATTATACAGCAGTTGGTGTGATGGTATTTGAAAGTTATTTGCCAGTTTTCTTGAATATTTGCCAAATTATCGTGAATTCTTGGAGTCCTTTACTTATCATTCAGATAATGTGGCAAGGGTGAAGTCTATAGTATGGGGGATAAAAAAAAATGAGATGTCATGCACATTAAACTGCATGTATGTTTCTTGACAGACAAGCATATCATGGTTTCTACAGGATACCTGAATGACAACAGAGCTTAAAAATCTCATTTTCAATGATTTTGATCCGTTGATTTAAATGTTGGGATATATATTTTTTGCCATCTTCACTATGGTTACAAGAGGAGAGGAGGGGAGCGGAGCGTATACCCTTGGCTAGCAGAGATGATCTTTTCAAGCACCAGTTTAACTTGTCACTCGTTGAAAACCGCAGAATACAATGGATAAGCATGTCCTTTTCCTGTATTAAAATCATAAACCCAAAGTCATTGATCCAGGCAAACTTGGTGAGATAAAGCATTTGTTTGGTTTAAGATCATTTCAAGTAACATCAGTTGACCAAGATGATTACAACCAATCTTTTGTTCTCCATAAATGTCTGGGCAACACTTCAAATAACTAGCATTTAATAACAGCCTTGGCAGTTTTCATGAAAAGCATCTGAATGCCTTAGCAATATTACAAGCTTATCTTTTAAAAAGATTGGTGAGCTAGTGCTGTAGCATAATAAAATACAGAAAAAGATATCTGCACCATTTGTTAAATTTGCTGAATCGATTAATTATTAATAGGAAGGCAGATTGGTGCACTGGGGGTTGAGTTTGGGGTGTGTGTGTCAGAATTCAGAATGGTGAATCTAAGAGTGTGCTTCACGTCGGCAATGGCATAACCCCTAACTGTGCTTTAAGCATTCTGTGTTTTACTGTAATTTCAATTTCGAGGTGAAAAATAAAAGATCAGTAGAACCAATGAGCACCTTTGGGCCTTTCCGGCAAGCTCGGAAAACATATCCGAGGTTGCCGCGGTTTTCCGAGCTTGCCGAAAAGATCCATGAAGGTCGATTAGAAAAGCTATGTATTCATTACAACTTTAGAAATTACAGTCTTGTTTTATAAGACCCGAATTACTGTTACTTTTTGTTCATTTACGTGCAGGTTAGACAACAGAACACGAAACTTCAGATCATATGTATTTTCAGATGATAAACACTAAATTGACATGTCTTTCCGACATACTCTGAAAAAAATTTTTGTTGTTGTTGTTTTTTCCGAGCTTGCCGGAATTATCCACTAAGATGGTAAAACTGTAAGGAAAGCTAGATGTCTAGAATCTTTGCATTATATGGCCAAATTTTTTCTTGTACTTTTATTTGTAGGTTAGACAATAAATTTTAAAAAATTCAGTATCCGGATCTAGACTGGTATTGACTGTCTCTAACCTACGAAATGTATATCGCGCATATCAGACAGGAAAGGCCTGAAATTCGTATCATTTCTATTTTTGTATGACAAAACGAAATTGTAATCGTACAGTCTATCTACAGTAGTTTTCCCAGAATCCCTGACCGTGAAGTCGAGCATGCATATTTCAGAAATATAGACTAACGTAGTTGCTAGCGCTCGAGAGCTAGCAAAAACATTGTTTCCTGGATATTGTTGTAAGTTGTTTTAATGACTTAAACTCTACATGTATGGTAATGCTACTACCCATACCTTGACCCAAAAAAAAATTACGACCCTCCATCACAGGCACTTGTTTCTGTAATAAACTTTTTAACCCAGAGTATGATAATAACACAAGGTATCCAACTCCGAATTACACGGTGTACCCCCCTCCCCAGAATTGCACTCATTTAAACTTTTAGAGGAAATGCACTGGTAAACTGTTTACTACCATTGTCTTCTACGATAATTTATCTACAAAACCATACATGGCATTTTTTCTGTATTTTCTTTTATCTCCATAAACAGCATCAAAACTCTGCTTTGAGTGGAAAAGTCGACTTCAACCATGAAATGGTATGTGCTAATACCGGGCAGAGAGCATGAAGTGAATAAATAGAATTTGTTTAAGTCTGATTTTCCCTGCAAACATTACGATGTTTATCCGATGTAATTTTAGGAACAGATTATTAGCCAATCAAAATCTCTGCCCGGGATTAGCACATACCATTTCATGGTTGAATTCGACTTTTCCACTCGGCGAGCAGAGTTTTGACGCTGTTTACGGAGAAAAAAGAAAATAAAGACAAGCATGCCATATATGGTTGAGTAGATAAATTATCTTAGAAGAAATAGGTATAAACAGTTTGCCAGTGCATTTCTTCTGAAAGTGTAAATGAATGCAATTCTGGGGGAGGGGGGTACTCCATGTAATTCGGAGTTGGATACCTTGTGTTATTATTATGCTATGTGTTAAAAATTTATTATCGAAACAAGTGCCTGTGCCCTCTATACATTTTTGGAAATTGAGAAAATTATATCAAATAAAGAGGTACATATATCGCATAAAGGTTGTATTTATTTATTTCATTTTCAACATAGAATATCAGCCGTTTACCTCCAGGAAAAAAATTCAAAGACAATAAAGTATTGATGCTTAATAATGTGGGGAAAAAATAAACAGGCACAAATCAAATAATATTCAATAAATTTATCTTTGCCAAAAAAATGCTAAGAACTTGAAGAATGCTTGAACTGATTAAAAATTGAATAATACAGGAATTTCAATTTAGCTTCTTTTCTACCTAAGGGCAGATCACTCTAACTGCATAAAAATACTGCAGTGCAAAAAAATTAGAACTCTTTAGTGTGTAATGTATCGAGGGTCTTTGTAATTTGTTGTTTGTAATTCCCTCACATGTTCCCTCACATGTTTCTTTGGAAGTTAATCACAAAAAATCTTCAGTCATATTTTCAAACAGCAAATAAATTAAAGACACATCTTCTGCCTGAATGTACACTAGATGGTAAAAAGCACTCCAAAAACATTTCAGAAGTACATGTGTGTGTGTGTGTGTGCAATAAAAACATTTCATCAAAAACTTCTCAGATTTTAATATTTTCCATGTCCTCTTTGAGTTTCTTTTGCCTCTCTTCCCTCCTTGCTTTACCATCTTTCTTTGTTATATTATATGGCAGTAACTCTGGATTCAAGATTTTAAATGGAACATCTGTCTTTTGTGTCTCTTCTGGCTTGTTTAGCAAAGATCTGTAATAGTCCATGTCATATCCCCGGAACGGCAGGTTACCCTCCATGTACCCTATCAAATATTCAAATTCAAATTTACTCATTCTTCCTCAGGACTGACATGTAGTTCATCAATATTCCTCACAATAACTGAATTCTAGAAATGTACTTTGTGCACCCCCCCACCCCCACCCCTCCCCAAGCAAAAAATATAAACACGAATATAAGTGCCAGAAAAATTATTTCCTGGTAATCTCATTAAGTTAAGAATATTGCATTTTGAAATATTTTACATTTGCCATTGTCTTTCCTTATATAACAATACTAATTAAATTGAAATTCAATTATCAATGACATGCAGTTGGTCACATGATAAGACTTTCTCGCGTATGGAAAACAAACCACACGAGCCATAATTGGAAACTTCCAATTGTGACATCAAATGACGTCGTAGGTACGCTATGTTGCATTTCCATAGCAAAATCTAAATAATGCCTATATTTCACGAATAAAAAAGTAAAATATGATATATAAGAAATAAAATATCATTTTTTAGAGTTTCATTGGGTTATGACATGAAGTCGGTACGTGATCAAATCTACTATAACGCCCTTCGAGCGTGATAGCTATAGGATTTGATCACGTGATCATGTCATACCCCAATGAAACTCTAAAAATGATATCTTATTTCTTAATTAACTTTTAACTAAAAGAGCAAATGAGTCTCTTTGTATAAGTATCTGATAAAACTCACCTCTCTCAATGGCCAGCTCAGTTTCCCTGATCAGATTTCTCTGCTGTTTATAGCAAACTCCTGTCTTCCTGTTGTCAGAGACCTGGATTGAGTTGGCATCTAAGAACTCCTTTAAGAGTCTAGGATTCTGGAAAAGGAGTAGAAAAACACACTCATATTCATATGCTTATATGCTTATTTGAATTTGTACAATTTTCAATCGGTCAGCTATGTGAATTGGTGTATTGTGCTTGGAAAGTTTCAGAATAGTACATTGTAATGGCTTACCCTGTGGTCAACCACCAGATAAACATCTCGGCACACTGGACATGGGTTGTTTGTCAGAAAAACACCCTTATGCTGCACAAAAATCAAAATTCTCTATTCAATGTAATGAAACGTCATGAAATAAAATTTTCAAGTTTCCAGATTTCAAATTTCTTAAGCACAAATATTCAAATGCAATATTTGAAAAAACTGAAATTTTATATATTTTTGTTGTACTCTTCAGTTAGTATTTTCAAATTACACTTTACAGTCAAACCTCATTATCTCAAACTCAGTGGGAATGATAAAAAACTTCAAGATATTCGAAGATTCAAGATATCGAGGGTAAAATACTTCAAGAATATGTGGGGCACTTCCAAATCACTTCGGTTAATCCCTGGTATTTGAGATATCAGTGTTCGAGATAAGGTCAACTGTTTCAGCATTCCTTCACCTTCAGCAGGATATCTGTTAATTAGTGATATATTTTTCTCCTACTATTGTTGCCTTATTTACCTTTCAGTTCCAAACAGCCCACTATGGCCTTAGAATGTCACAGCTTCTACTCCATGTATTACCATAAAGGGGAATTACTCTGTGTTTCACATTTACTTTCACAACAATCAACATTTAGTGAGAAATAAAACCTGAAGCTTGTTATAAAAAGATGTTGCCAATACTTGACATTAATCAAAGATTTTTACAATTGATGGATCTGTCACTCTCTTATTTTTTTTTTTTTTTGGGGGGGGGGGTCTAAAATTTCTTTCCCAGAAAGCTACAGTTCTGCAGCTTGTTTAATATTTTAAATTTTCTGTACAAGCATAGATAATACTCTTCAGTCAGAACTTGTCTTACAAGACTAGGTATTAAATATTATGATCTTATTGAACAAAATTTGGGTAATTTGTAACTTTGGTAATGAACAAGTCTTTGGTAAATATATTAACAAGATTTGTGTAATATCAAACCATACAATACAAGACATTGAATGGTTAAATAATGAACTATAGACTCCTCAAGGATATGGTAATATTAAAGAGTTAGGTAAAATTCTGAACTTACAGTACAAGTGTACCGAGGCTTAGGCATTATGTTCCCTTTATAATTCCTTTTGTATCTCATCCATACTCTGTTTGTCCCGTAGGCTTTTCTAAATGCTGCAGAAAAAAAGACGTTCTAAAAAATGTCCTATTCAATTACCCCTATAATGTTTTCATTCAGATTTTAAATGATCTTGAACAAAAGAAGACAACAATAATATTACATGTATATGGTTAAATGTAAAAAGAACATTACAAACCAGCACTGTCGAGGTACTTGATGCTTTGTTGGTACGTGACCTCAGGTTTCCTTTTCCTCTTGTAACCAAACCCTCCATAGACCTGACCGAGTTCCTCCGAGTCTTCATGGTCTTCTGTATCCTTCCACTTCAGTGACATCGATCTAGTACCAGACACTGCCAGCTAAACATCAATGTAAAATATTTGGAAATTTAAAAATTTCTTCAATCATCTCTTTCGTTCAGCTTTATATACATGTATTCAGATGATATTTCTCTCAGCTCAAGTGTTTTCTACTATAAAGTAAGCCAAGCATGCCAAAAGTCTTTGCATGATATATACATGTAGTGAAGCCAGAAGGATTTTCAAAAATACCCACACACCCATCCCCACCTACTAATAAAGTCAATGGAAAGCAGTTCATCTAAATGAAATACACCTTAGATTTGAATGAAGGCACTGAAAAACATTGCATCCCCTGGCAATAAAGTTAAATCTTCATACTACGTATCTGGAATACTTCTCCTATCCAACATACTTGTATAAAGTTTTTCTGATGGCAGTCAGAATTACCGTATAAAAAATATTCTGAACTGATCATAAAACACATTGTCCAATCTTTTACTAATTTTGACAGACAAGCCAAAAATCTAAAGATCCAAACATTGGATAATCTTTCAAATTACAACAACATTTTTAAGCTTTGGGAATTATTTCTGGCATTACAGGTGTGGAGGTCAGGCAGGTTTGAGCACCAGTGACCAGGCAGCTACAGTTGGTAGAGCACCTGTCTAGTGTTCAAGGGCCAGGTTCGAATCCTGTCTGGTCCATCATATTCTTTTCCTCTCTCTTACTTATGCATCACCCCATCTAAAGCATGGTAACAATTAATTAATCAAGCATATCATATTTTACTCCTACTCTCATTACTTCATTTTCTTTAAACATTCCAAATGGCAATTGTTGTGAAACATTTGAAATAAATTTTTAATGCAGTGGAGTAAAACTGTGGCATTCCAAGAGGTCCATTTGGAACCACAGAAAGGTGATCAAGGACCAAGCTAGTAGGCAACTGAGGCGAAACAGTTCCTTCTGAGCTCCAAACTTCATTGTAAATTATCACAAAAGCAAAGTTTAAGTCACCTGAACAATTTAACCCCTTTCTTTTTGTAAATCATAAGAACACGTTGTAATATTGTCACTATTTTATAAATCTATTTGGTGTTATCACTGCTGAAATAGGTGAATAACAGCAGGGCACTTGCATCTGTTTCACTGCTTATCACCACTGCATCAAATACTCATTGACAATCAGAACTCCTCTAAAATTAACACTTCAATGTACAGAATGTACAAATGTTACAAGTACACACAGCAAGATGCAAAAACAGCTGCACAGCTATTAATGTCATACCAAAGTTGTTGATGATTTTAGACCTTTTTATTGTCAATAAATTAATTCATGCTGTGAATATAGACATATTTATTAACTGTCTTCACACATGTGAAAACAAGGCTGTATGCATGATGAAGTCACCCAATCAGGATTCAGTAGTAGATTTACTTTTCATAATAAAGTATTGTTATTCTTTGTTTTAACTTATTAATAAATACACATTCACAAAAAGTAATAATAGCGAGTGCATCCAGTGGCACAAGGTGCCGCTCATCACTGTGAGCTGTAAGAGCAACCTCTGGGCGAAGAGAAAATTCAGACTTTGCATATTGATCCAATTGATTTTTTCCCCATTTCCCTTGAGATCCACAGTGCAATGCAAATGCATCCTGCTGTTAACTACATTCTTGTGGTAACAACAAAAGTTTACCAGAAAATAATCTCACCTTGATTTAATGGATATTGCAGATAAATATCAGAGTTGTGGAAAACTGCCGGTCATGCCGGCAAAACAGACAAAAAATGCGTGTGACCGGTAAAAATGCTATCGATGTCGGTCCAAATGACCGGCCCCTTTTTTGATTAAAGTTTTTTGTTTTACCATTTATCATCAGCGCACTTCTCAGCTTTATTATCGTACCTTATGTGCGATTGCGTAATACTTTTTCTTTACACGAGATCGAGGTTGTAAATGAAAGCGAAACCAGTATGTTCTCGTGACCTATTAAATTTACAACTGAAGCAGAGGTAGAAAACATAATGAAACAGATAAAGACAAGCTATATATGAAAAATTTCGACAGAAAGAATTCAAACACAGTTGGGGAAAGCGGTAAATCTAGTACTTCCGACTGTCCTGGATTTCGTTTTTTCATTGATCGTGTTGATATCTATTATCAATGCACAGAATTTCTACAGTTTTTTTAGACTCATTTTCTAAGTTAATGTGATTCGCAAAATGCATAAGTGTTTCAAAAAAATTATGTTTACTATGCTGAATTAGCATTGTCATTAGCCCAAAAAGCGGTGAAATTAAGTATTGTTGTAAATGTAAAAAAAAAACGAAAATGGAAGAGGACTTGGAAATGGAGACTGAATGTTATATTATTATTAAGTAAATAGATGTTATGCTTTTTTTTGCGACTTATTATTTTGGACCGGCAAAATTCACTTCAGACCGGCTTATTTTGTCTTCTTGCCAGTCCGAATGACTGGCTATCTGAAAAAGTTTTTCACAACTCTGAAATATAGTAGATTAAATGTTCTTTGTTAAAATTTGCACTTTTGAGACTATGTTATAAATGGTAATGCAACTAATATATGATGTCATGTGACCTTCCAAATGTCTCATGCGGTTTGAAGAGACTGATCTAAGTTTTTTAAAACTGAGTAGGTATCCAATAATAGGCATCTGTGTTCGCTCTAACAGTCGCACCGTCAATATATTAATAAGAAATTTGTTTTTAAAAATGAACTTTGAAAAGAATATACAACAAAACTAAGACTTTGCCAAGGCCCTGAAAATATGAAAATGAGAAGAGAAAAATGTTTGAATATCAAATGTAACTACAGTACAGTTCTGCAGTTAGGGCAATTCACCAATCAAGAATTTTATAACCATACCTCAGAATGTATCAACCGGACAACAAAAATAATCCAAGCTGGGTACTGTTTTTCCCACCTTCCCTAAGAATAATTTTGCAATCGTAGCGAACAAGATGCAGGAGCCTCAAACAGTATTAACCCCCTCTCCCCTCCCCCGCTTGGTCAAGCAAAGGATACTTGTTGTCGTGACGAAATAGCCCCTTCTTGGTTATGATTTTATACTTCTCAATCCATAAGCTATTTCATATCAATTCTAGAAAAGAAAAAAATAAACTACCAGCTTGGTGTCCAAAGAAACTAACTGCAGGCATGCTTTCTGAAAAATCTTCAACATGATTCTACTTTCACTTTGATCTGCATCGAGAAAACGTTTGGTTGAGTCTATATCATAAGAAGGGGGAGACTTGAAAAACACCTATTCTGTTTAAATAGATTCACCCTTGATATTTAATAAAACACAATCTTTGCAAAAATAAAGTCACGATGAATGAAAAATATTCAAAAATGTAAAAAGTATATCCATTTACAGCATGCACAAAAGGTTAAATTGGCCTCATTTTAATACGTATTAAATGCTTTTGTTTCTTGTAACATTGACCTAAATTTTTGCATTGTAATACTGTGAGACGAATGGGATAAGCGTGTTATATAAATTGAAGTAAACAGTGTTAAAAGGTAATTACTGACTCCTTCTCTTAAAAAGAGATAATTTGGTCATTTTTAACGATATTTATACCAAATTGCAGTGATTTGAAAAAAGCAAGTAATAATAAAATGAAAACTGACTTTGATAACTCTATTTCCTTACTGTTCTCTTTCTTGAGCTCGACCAGTGACGTCACAACATTGCCGACAGTGCTACCGCATTCGTTTACTGTAACGGCTAGGGATAGGTTGAAACGTACATGAGACTGGTTGTGTAAATTGCATCTAAATTTTTAATTCCTCCAAATTTTATTATTATTTTTCTTAAATATTAATCAAAACTATCAACACTCTTCGCTATATTCTTCACATGTGACAACGGCCGTTGGATTTAGCGATTTATAGAAGACTCCATATTTGCTTGAAATACTGCTGTTTTGATCTATTTTCTCATGTATAAATTGTGGAACGTGATAATTCCACAATATTTCTTTGACCATAAGTAACCGTATAAAGGCTGAACATAAAGCCTAGACAGGACAAGGATTCACTAATTCGATCGTAAGTTGTTGGTTGGTTACCATATTGTTTATTTGTATAACACGTTAAGTTTAACGATTTGATATTGTAAAATATTATAAAAGTTTACTATAGATAAAATCTTATTAAAGAATCTTTCAAATTACATTGTGAATGGGAGAGAAAATATGTGCTCTGTCGGATATTATGGGTCCTCCTGGAGAAGACCGAATAACCTATAAACTATAGGGCATAATTTGTATGTCGTAGCTTTGACATATTATAATGGGGTATAAAATGATTGATATACGTATTTTTGTATCTTTCTGTATTATTTTTAAACATATTCACTTTATTGTATATACTTTATTAGTAAGCTAAGTTTTTTTTATGTGAAAAAGAACATGGCTGCCGTTCTACAGTCATGTCATCTTGCAACCATGACGAAATGTAGGGCAGCTTAACACATGATTATGTAATCTATGTAACCATGGAAACGGGATTTATTTATCGTACCCTTTGAGTAAGGCCTACTATACACCCATATGTGACGTCATAACTCGTATGATAGTCCGACCTTTGGTGGATCAAGGACGTTTAGATTTAGATAGATGTGCTAATTAATTATTGCTGGTATCAAAACAAAGAACAGAGTAAAAGTTTGGTTATATACCATGTTTACTAATAATTAGGCCTAAAGGAAGAGATTATGAGTATGGCAATAGTACATATACTGTGATAATATGGTAGGAATCTGGAACCTTTTTCACAAAAATCATGACTAAGATTTAAAAATAAAAATACATGTACATTGATGTATTTTCTTTGTTCTATAAATATATATATTTTTTCTTATTTAAAGGATTATTCAATATATACGGAAGCTCATTTAGGACCTATCAAAAAATATTTTTGAATTAATTAGATATAACGAATTTAATTCATTATAACAGTTTCTACAATTCAATTCAATTATAACAAATTCTACAATTCGTTATATCGAATTTGAAAATATTTTTTGATAGGTCGTAAATGGGCTTCTGTAAATATATCTAATTTAATAAAGTAAAAGATTTTTTGCAACCTACTACACTAAAATATACTTTTTGGAGAGGCAATTTTTTTGTCTTGTTCTTAAAATATCTCTATAACCATTGGACCGGTGTTGAATCTCATGTATATTTAAATCACGCTGATTGATTGATTGATTTAATATCAGTTACAAAATCCCTAAATTAAATATAGAATATGCATAAAAAAAGAGATTTACAATTTGCATCATTTCATGATTATAGTCTTAACTCCATCATGATTTCATTGCACTTCTTAAAGTGTCGAATTCCTGTTATAGGCCATTGTGTCATATGAGGTACTTAGTGAACATTATTGATGAAAAGACTAAAGCAAGACAAATTTATCAGCTACCAACTGGTTTTTCTGTATTAAATGTAAGGTACAAGAAATTACAAGTTTTTTCGGTTTTTGATCGTAGAATGCTCCTGGAAAATTATCTCTAACAATTTTGGCAATACTCTTGCAACATTATGAAATACTCTAACCCTGTTAACTGTAGGTAAATTTTAAAATTTTATGTGTTGAGATTTATTTCCTTGTCAACTTTTTGTTTTGTGGCATTGAATTATTTTTATATAATGAAGAAATTTCAGGAGGAAGAATTTGTACATAAAAGAGGAAAATAGTGGGAAAATGATCCATTAGCTACCCATTAGTTGAAGTTTTTACAGGAAAGCATTCAAATCTTTTAAGCGTCTTTGACTATGTAAATTAAGTTGAATGTGTACACTCGGGTAGAAATACAAAATGTAACTGTCTTTGTATTGGACAGAGGAACAGTTCTGTGAATGACTGAATTCATAACCTACCAAGGGAGAGAACTAAAGAAATAGATCAGAATTTCCCCTGCTAAAATTCTGATAAAATGAATTTTTCAGAACAGTATGGCATTGCATGAAAGAATATCCATTTGGTGTAAAAACACTTACTGCTATTTCAGTGCGGGGTAGGGCTGGCAGGAATTTTATTTGAAAAAAAAAAGTTCTATAGATTTATTTATCAAAAAAACTTGATAAAAAAGTAGCTTGTTTCGAATTGCAGCAATGTTTAAATTTTAAGGAAAGAACAACAAAACTAGTCTACCCATTATTATTTCATCAACACTCTTTACCAACTTAAACTAGATTCAATCACTAGATTGAATAGTTCGTTGTTACAGGGTACCTGCCTGGTTTTAACCATATTGGACACAGGTTCTCTTGATACTTGGTCACATCAATGACCTACACCTTCACTCAACTAGCAAAACATTCATACAGTCAAGTTATTGAACTTGATTTTGCAGCTTCAATTGTCATATAGCTTAGATATGAGTTTGATCATAGTTGAATGAAAAAAAAAAACAAAAACCTTAAAAGTCCTTTTTTTTCTCTTTTCAGATTGCTGTAGTCTGCTGCGTGGAACAATGGTCGATTAAAGTCAAGAACGCAATCATTTTCCCTTGCTCTCTGATAATAATAATCATCCCAGATGAAAAATATTAAAATAAAATGGTAATTTTCTATCATAACACAGAACAACAGAATAAAAAAAAAAGATGCTGAAAACATGTGTGTTAAATCCAGTGTGTTTGCAAAAGGAGTGAAAGTGGGGATATAAGACCTTGAAAACAGCATTCTCTTTTATTGAAGATATAAAATTTATTTTGAAAACATTGAAATTTTAAATTACATATTATTAGAGTTATATTATAGAAGTGGTCTTTTTCTGAGGAAAATTCCAGTAAATCGGAGGTATGTATCCCAGACAAAAAGATCTTGAAGTCTAGCACAACTGGAGAGGTCATCAACTTTGGGATGAAAGTAGAACATTTTCTGGCCCTGTATGAACAAAAGGAAAGGAGGAAATTATCAGATCAAGGAATAAATTGATATATAAGAGCAAGGTTCACCAAGGGCCATATTTGGCCATGTAAAATTATAATTTAAAAAAAAAAAAAAATGTTCAATGTTCACCGACATTGTGTTAAATATCAATTTGGCTCATGATGACTAAATATACATCTGCTAAAATGACATAATTTTATAACTAGTCTTTGTATTGTGATATGATGAAATGCATCATTATTTACAATGCATTAAAAAAAATTCCAAAATGAGAATTATATCAAGGTGTTTTGCAATATTTTAATAGAGTCTTATCTCTGATCTAAAAATTCCAAGTAAATATTGATATAACTATTAAAGAAATTCATCATTGGCTGGGCTCCTGCTAAGTATCTGTGTTGAGTGTACTCAAAATGCGCATTTTTGTCTGAAAAATTCAAATACACAACAGATCTGCAAAGCTGTTTCTCGAATGTGGACATTGAAAAAGAGCTTTTTGATATGATTTGAAAACATAGTCTCTATTTTAGTGCTCGATATAGGACATGGAGACAGCTGATTAGTTGATCTATGAACAGGGCCATTTTATACAATGTACATAAAGTGAACCTAGCTCTTTGTACATGTATCTGTTAGTACAATATGTTATCAAAGAACAGTCCAAAGGCATAATAAAGGCAAGTGAAAATGAAGCACAAACTCTACAGAAAACGCAGGAAAATGAAACAAACTGGTCTTTGTTTATTTGAACTAAAAGGATGAGATTCAGTGATTTTAATAAGCTTCATTGATTGTAATGTCCTACTAATCATAAAGGTATCGGGGCTTTAAGATAGAACTGACAAATGAATTTAAGTTTTACTGCCTATCCATTTACTTTTTCATCTGCTTTATTCTATAAAGACCCTCTTAACTTTTCTAGAATCCAAATTTAAAATGCCACATTAAACATTATTGGTTGTGAGAAACAAAATTTCTTCAGCTTAGATGCAGCATTACACACCTTTATGTTTTTATAAGCAGTGCTCTCATGTCATATGGGGAAATATTTGGAAAATCATTATACATAAAGACTTGTCATATTTTGTTATCAGCTTTGATTTTTACTGTTTTGCAACACACACAATAATATGAATATCAAGGTTCATTGTCATATCCAAAATCGTATATATCCAAATATATGTTCTTTGGGGGGGAGGGGGGGGGAATTCATTTGGGGAAAAAGGTACCATTTCTTAAAAATTCAGAACAGAAGACTTTCATTGGCCCAAATTAAAGACAATTGAGAGCCCTGATTAAATTCAGTGGATTTACTTGAGATCATTTGAATTTTCTTTTTCATTTAAATTTTATATAGAACACTGGATAAAGGGATAAAGTCTGGCTCAGTTACACTTATTTTTATGTTGGAGAAACTGATTAAAGGGGGGGGGGGGTGTCATGAAATTGACAAATGAACTGTACAGTATCTTGTCTTGAGATTATAAAGCTTCAAGTACATGTAATTCACTAATTATAACAATATGAGGTGAATAGGTTCTTATTTGGCCAAGGTTTTATCGGAGGTCATGGATGAATTCTAATTCAACACCATCATTGTGAGTGTTTGTGTCCTTCAGTAGTTTTTTGATGCCCCTTTTGATAAAAATAGATTTAAAAAATACAAGACAAAATATATGATTTAGTAAATTTACTAAGTTATGGGAAGGAAATGAACAAAATTTCATATGTGGTATGTATGATAAATTCATTGTCAGTCAACGAAAGGCTTTAAACGGAAAACAAGAAGTACTTCCTGATTCATTATCTTGTGTGTGTTGTTTTGGGGGATTTTCTCAAGATACACAATCTAAATTGCAGATTTGATATTTCATATAAAAAAAAGAAAGCACTCTTTATGCCTGATAGATTTAGAAAATCATTGATACACTACCTGGGAAAGAAAGGTAACATTTATTTGAGGCATTAAGGAATAAGAGTTAGACACTATGGAAGCATCTTAGTAGTAATACTTAAGTGCAGTATAGCTGAGTTTACATTGTTCAAGGCAGTAAAACTGAATAAAACCAGTTATCCCACTAAAAGACATTAAAATCCAAAAGATTTTTAATGAAATTTACATGGGGAAAAGCAAATTATACTTGTTGGAAGTAAGATTTGGAGCAAAATTGATGCTTGAATTCATCATTTAGTGTAAAAAAGATTTGCATAGAACTAATGAAAGTTGAATGCTGTGTTCAAGGTTTATGAGAGAAAGAAACGAGTGCAATGGTTTGAAAATTAATAACTTTCAAAAACATACTGCATACATGAATACATATAAGGCCAAGAGCAAATGTTTTATTTCTTTATGAAATTAAAGGTTTGACTCTACATAAGGCCAAAATATATACACAGACACAGATAAAATTAATAAGATATACATGAAAATAATTATAGCCTAATTATAATTTAATTTGATACTTAGTCTGAAGCCTCTAGAAAGTATTGCAAATTCCCAATATTGATCATTAAGAGTTCTAGAACAGTACTAAATTTGTAATGTTTATTCTCAATAGAAACATTTTTGGCTTCTGGAAATACCCCCCTGTTTATGATTGAGAAGAAAAGAAGTCCATTTTAATAATTAATATGAAAATGATTTTAGAAGCAAACAATGATTTTCATTTCCGGTATTCAGGAAGGATTTCTGAGTTCACATATATGAGTATATTAAGGATTGATGAATTTGCATCTTTGAAGTACTTAAAATTAACACTGACAAACTTTTTACAGGCCCCAATAGATCCCCATCAGTTGTTAAAGGGACTAGCTCCCTTGTTAACACCAAATGGTGCCATCAAAAGTCCAACTGAAACATCCAGAATAGTTAGCTTGATGAAAGAAGCAAACAAGCTTGTAAGCAGATGTGTTTACATCAACATCCTCAGAGCTACAGAATCTGAGAAAACTTTGGAAAAGTAAGATAAAGCTCGTACACTATCAACATTTTTCATGCAATCTAAGTTGGCATAAAATTGAAACAAGCTAAATGTACTGTTGAAGTACATGTACAAAATTAAAAAAAAAAAAAAATTGGAAAAACATTCTGACGAGCAGAAAAATGTTAATTTCTGAGATTTATTTTTGATGATACCTGTAGGTTTATTGAGGTGGGAGGTTGGGATGTCCTCAATAGTTGGCTACAAGACTGTAAAGAATCGGAGAATTACCCAGTCCTGGTAGAAATGCTTAAAGTATTCCAGCAACTTCCAGTTACAGTGGAACTGTTAAAGCAAAACAACTCTGCCAAGACCATCAAAGCCTTTTCTAAATGTGACAATGAAAGTGAGTTTTAATCCACAGTATTGATTGATTGCTCTTGTGTATCATTATGTTGTACCAGTAGGGCCTGCTACATTGTACTACCTTGAGGCAAGACAGCATCAGGGACTGATACTGTAAATATGACAATACAATGAAACAAGTATACAAGGGCAGCAACACCAGGGTTTGGGGGTGGGGGCAATGTGAGGATGATCCTTATTCTGCAATCACTAGCAATGGTTCTGCTTTGTTGCCCTTCATTTCATTACATTTCATGCTCGCATGCTCTTGATTACTCTGCCTCCTTGCCTGATGAGGGAGTGAAAGAGGCTCCTTTCAGTACAGTATACCTCAAGATTTTTTGGACCGTAATTTGCCCTATCATTAGCCAGCAACTGTGCCAAAAAAAAATTGCATGTATTACTAGTCTTTTTTTTTTTGATAAAGTATCATAAAAACCACCCTCATATATACCCAGTGAGTATATTATTGTAAATTATACATCTGTAATGTAATTGCAATGCACATTTGATAGTCTGTTTCTATATTTCCTTCATAGCTGTCAAAACAATGTCATCTGATATTGTTGATAAGTGGATGGAGAAGGTCAGAGGAAAGAATAATGAAGTATCAGGTACGTACATGTGTAAATATTTAATTTACTTGATTAGAAAATTTAGTAAAGTTATTTTCACCAATTTACATTGTATTTTTACTGGAGAAATATAATGATGACTTTATTAGGAGAACATTGAAATTTTTAAGTTTTTAAATCTGATGCTGTAATTGCTGGTAATGTGTTGTTTTCAGGTGAATCTAAAAAGAAGAAGTCGGACAAAGAGAAAAGTAAAAAGAGTGATAGAGACAAGGAATCTGATGAAAACCGAAAGAATAGTGAGAAATCTAAAGAGGAGAAATACTCCAAACATAGAACTAAAGAGGAAAAACTTAGTGAGGATGTGAGCATTAAAGACTCATTAGGTGTTGTGACAAAAACTAATGGACTTAAGCTTCATATTAAGATAGAAAGACCTCCTGTGTCAGACAGTGATAAATCTAAGTCAGATAGCCTTCATAAAGATTCCAAACCAGACAAGAAACGAGCTTCCACAGTAAAAAGACCTAACACAAAGTTCAGGTCAACAGGTGTGATTTTATTTCATCTTTCTATTTGATGTGATAATTGATGAGTTTGTTGAAGATTTTTGATTTTTTTCACTCTATGAATGCTATATTTTATAGGTTTGGAGGAGGACATTGTGACCAAACAATCAAAGAAACTGTCAAATGACCCAAGCAAGTCACAACAGAAAAGGCAAGGGTAAGCATGACATAAATAAATAAACTTGATAAGATTGTCTTTCAAAGCTACTGCTATTTACATACACTAAGATGATAATTGCTAAATGACACTTCTAATTTATCAATTTTATTAAAGGTCGGAATTGAAACCAAAGGAGGAGCAACCACCAGGAAAGCGGTCCCGCTTGGAGGGTGGGTCCACAGAGGATGGCACATTGGAGCAACCACCTGCTCAATCCCCCACCACAGCTTCTCCTGCAGATGTACACAAGCAAATCAAAATTACACCGCCTAAACCCAAAAGTAAGTGATCAAGTATATATGTTGAATGTTTACACACTATTAGGGGGAAAAATCTCTGTCAAAAAGCTGATATTCTGAGTTCATTATGTTTGTGTCTGACTCATTGATATCTTGCTGTGACAAGATTGGTTTTTTTTAGAGAAGTAGAAGTGTTTACTGTGTAAATTTATATTATGATTCATGTTGACTTTCAGCTGTGATACACGAGAGTACAAATTTCATTGACTCTCTCCTTCCGGACCGTCCTACTGGGGTTATACGTAGGAAAAAGAAAACTGGTGCCACAGTGGCAATAACCTCAGTACCTGGTGCCTCCCGAGGTCCAACAACTCCGATTACTGCCAAACCCCCAACGCCTACATCACCCCATACTCCAATCTCTCCAACCACTGCCATCAAAAACTCACTTCCTGTTGTTCCATCTGTAAGTCCTCAAATAGGATCACTCTCTTTTGTTTTTATCAGTGGGGGTTTTATTTTGCCTTGTTTCAATAAGGAAGATGTAGTTTCAAAGTTTTATTAAATTGAAAGAGAAAAAAATGTACCAGGTATATACTGACTTTGTTTGCAAATGAGTATACATTTGTAATTAATATTGTTTTAAGGTGTCTGTAATCAAGGTGTTACTGTTATGGGAAAAGTAGAAATAAGACTGATATGATAAAATTTATGATTTTGATAGTTTTACAAAGACACGCTGGAAACACCTACTGAAGAGAAAAGAAGCCCAAGTCCTCCTATTTTAGATAAGAGGAGCCCTTCCCCCACAGAAAAAAATGACAAAGAAACTGCCCCACCCACTCTAGAGGAGAATAAAACTTCAGAAGATGTGGAAATGACTGATGCTTTGAAAGAGGGTAAATTTTGAAAACAAAATAATTGAACCTTGTTTTTGACTTGTAAAAGAGTTTTTTTGTTTTTTTGTTTTTTGTTTTTTGTTTTTTTTTTTGCTGTTTTTTGAAATAAACAAAATATTGTTTAAATCTAGTGCTGTCCATGCAAACTGAAAATAAGATGACAAATCAATATTCATTTTTAAAGTGTACCTATATAATTGTCTTGAAATACTCAATAAAGGTTCTGAAACAAATGGAGAAGCAATGGACACAGATGAAAAGTCCGGGGAATCTAAAGGTCTTCTGACAACAGGTGCTACAGGGAAAAAGAAGAAAAACAAGAAAGTGTCTTGGGCTGAGGACTCCAGTCTACGATTATTCCATTACTTTGAACTGGATGAGACGGAGAGAGGTACAGACAGCCTTCATTAATTTATTCTTAGTGACTGAAAACAAGCTAGCTGAAACATATTGCCAACATGAAAACTATGTATTATTTATTTAATTTTTTTACCTTTACAGAAAATGTAAATAGACCAAAGGACTTTAACCAGCTAAAGAAACAAGAAGCACATATGGATAGGAAGGTAGACATGCTTTGGTTCTATATTGTTTTGGTAGGCAAATGATAACTTGTAATTACTAGCAGAATTTTTAAGGTCACTATACATGCATGAAATATATTTGACAGGTGATGGAATCTGCAAGAAGACAGACCAAAGACAACATGGTGGAAGCTATTCCTGTAAGTTAATGTGTACATGTAATTTACTCATTGTAAAAGTTGTCTTTCTTCATAAGTTACATCTTTGCCCATTTCAATGGGGACAGAGTCTTGCATATAAAAGTCACTTACTGTGAATTGAGTGTTGGGTTATCTTTACAGTGGAGAAGGCCTCCATTAATAACAGATTTAGTGGTGAATGTTGAACCTGGTTATCAGAGCAAAGAAAAACAGATACAGAAAGATAGAGAAAAAAGTGTTCTACAAGCCATCTTCTTCACCAAAGAAATGTAAGTAAGGCCAGCAGGTACCTGTCAAAATTGAATGAAGATTGCAAGTAATACATGAACATATGCAGTTATGATTATTTTAAGAAAAAGTGAAGTATACACTGTGTGTGTAATTTTACCTACAACAGTAAATTTGACATTTTTGCATACACTTATAGGTAAGATTTTTTTTTTTGACTCATCTGAGTATTCATATTAAATCTACTGCTTCATTGCAGGCTTCCTGACACACCGAGTGAACCTGACCTAGAAACAGTAGAACCTGCAGATCCAAAATTTATTCCCCTTGAAGATGTAAGTTAAAGTACCTTTAGGCATTTCATTACTGTTAAATACAATATGCACAATCTAGATAATGACATACAGTAGTTGTACATACATGTAATAGTCTTAATCAGGATGTAGAAAAATTCTGGGATATACTGGACTTGCTTTTTGACTCCACAGGAAAACTCCACAGGAGAGGATGTTTTCACACATGTTAACCCAACCACAACTGAGTCCTCTGCTGGTAATGCTACCCCTGACCCCAATGCTATTTTTGGTCAGCTTAATATACCACCAGATATTGCAGGCGTACTGCAAACATTCCAACAGGGAGGGGGACTTCCACCAAACTTAGACCCAGCCAGTGCTCAGAATATCCTGGCATCAATGATGGTAAGAACATATTCCTTATCTTTATACAGTAAAACTTGTCTAATCCGGCGACCAGTGGTTCCAAAATTTTTGGTCGGATTAGACAACATCCGGATTGGAGAAAATTGAACCGTTATAGCAAGATAAAAATTACATAGATATAAACAAAGAGTGGTAAATAAATACTTGATCAAACGTTTCACTTGAAAAAATCGTCTGTTTCGTTTGTTTTGAACTCTGTTTTTCATAATTTTCATTTCTGTTTAAAGTTTTTTATTCAGTAACGAAATATGATATCTCTTGGTCATTTATTAAATTTGAAAATCGTTAAATATTTTAAACACACTCCAAAACATCATCGTAGCTGTAAATATTATTTTGTTAGGGACAGATTGCTAATTAATTTCTTTCTTTTAAAATTAATATGTTTGAATATTTTGACAATGTATTTGTTAATTTCAAACGTTTTAATGAATATTGGAAAAAAAATCTTCTGTCGTTATGGTCGATGTAAACTAGCGACACAAAGGGAAGTAATTCGAATTGCAACGTCGTGCACGCAAAACGAAAGTAGAAAGGAGGTCATGAATAAGTCTCCAAGTTTTTCTACAGACATGCTTCACGCAACCATCCCCTAACTTGAGCAATTAATGATTTATTTATCGCGTTTGTTAAAAGCTAAACTGTCGATAAAGGAGAGATCATTAACGGGACAATAATTACCCCACACAAGACTTCGGTAATGACCAGCGGGCACAGGTAAAAATAAGTGGCCGGATTAGAGGAGATAATTTGTACTAATTATGAGCAGTTAGTTCTTCAAATAGGCGGCCGGTTTACAGAATAGGCAAGATCCGGATTGAACAACATTTATTAAACATAAATTATAAAGAAAATTCTTGGGACTAAAATATTACGCCGGACTGAACAACATGCCGGAATGCACAACATCCGGATTCAACAAGTTTTACTGTACCATCTAAATAGAATTCTGGCATTATGTTGGTACTTCTTCAAATACAGTTGTATTGATATGTACCTTTACTTTCTGGACTTGCAGGGAACAGTTGGAGATCCTAATAAAACAGGGGATGCCTTTGACAAACTGAAACAAATTCTTGAACCATTCCAATCAATGCAGAATCCTGGAGGTAAATTATTGTTACCTTAAAGCTTAGACTAATGAAAAAAATTGTAATAAATGAGATAAACTCCTTAAAGAGACACTTATTCTTGATTTTAATTTTTTGTGTACCTTTTAGTAATGGGACCTATGCACCCACCTGGTCCAGGTATGAGAATGCCTCCCCCAGGACAGGGAATGATAGGACCACCTCCAGGTGGAATCTTAGGAGCAGCTCCTCCAGGGTTTCCCATGATGGGACCAGGGGGTCCTCAGAGATTCCCAGGTATGACATTGTATGTTTATTTTAAAAAAGAAACTGTGCATGTCAAATGTCATGCAACGTTTTGTTCATTTATCAAGGTTGACTTTTTGATTTTATGGCATTAGGTGGCCCTGGCAGCGATGAATGGGGAGAAAACATGATTGGAGGTCCTCCTATGAGGGGAAGAGGTCGAGCTGGTATACCTATGAGAGGTGGGGGACCCCGTGGTCCTCCTCCAGGAATACCTGGTGGCCCTCCAATGGGCCCTCCAATGAGGGGAGGAAGAGGGGGCAGAGTTAGACAAGGTAAATATAATTTTTGTTGACATGCAAATACAGACATGCATATACATGTGCATAATGGTGGGCAACAAAGAGATGAAACTTGTGTAGTGAAGAAACAATTGCAGCCTAAAATACCATAAGTCATATTCTGCTATTCTTTATAAGCTTTATACATATTCGAGTTATTTTCAAATTGTAACAAGAATTTCTTGAACAAGTCAACTTTTTGTTTCAGTGAATGGAGATCGAGCCGTTTGTCGTCATTTTGCTGCAGGTGGTTGTCGGAGAGGAAACACGTGTTCATTCCTACACCCAGGTGTTAACGGACCACCAGTTTAGCATTCTTTTGCCCTGTTGTAAATAGACCTACTGTTACTCAAGGGACATTGCGTTTCGCAAGAAGAATGGAGTATATGGAATTCAGAATTTTATCTGTTAGATAAGCATGGTGGAGTCTTGAAGATTAACAAGTTGATGGGCTTACAAGATTAACTTACATAAATAGAACTTACAGACTGGAAACTTACAAGTGCTGGAGATTATAAAGTTTATTGCAGAACTTCAGGGGTTTTCTGAATATCAAAGGTTGTTTATATGCAAATGTACTTTTTCCTTTGTAAGCTTAGAAATATTGGAAGAAAGAGACACTCTTGAAAAGTGAACTATTCAAAATTACGTATCTTAAGACCAAAAAAAAAAAATAATGTAATCAAAACATTTCCCAAAGAAACGGGATATGTGAATTTTTATTTTTTATATATTTATATATAATTTTTTTTTAAATAAACGTGTACTGAAACTAGATATGGTACAGGATAGAACTAAGGTTGCAATCCATGAATTGTCTCACAAGTTGTATTAACAGTATTCAGTACAAACTGTTTGCCTTATAGAATCATTACATCTTTGTTATGTTGACCTTCTAAAGTGTTCAAACTGATACACTAGTCAATTAGCAACTTCCCAATGAATGGCTGATGGAAAACTAATCAGGTAAGGGCATTGACATATTTGTACATTGGAATTGTAAAAGTGTTTTTTGCTGTTGGAAAAATCAAGATTCTGAGGATATTCCTGAAAATAGAAGGAAATGTTACATGTATGTATGATTTGTGTGAGTTGAGCAAAAGCATGGATTTCATTGATGTAAATGTCAAATGCATGATTGTCAGAAATAATTTTGGTGTATGTTTATGTCAGTGAATGGACATGTGTGAGGGTGTGTGATTGTTACGTGTGATTAAGGTGGTTGTCGATTATTTTGTATGACCAAGAGATTATGAAAATGTTATAACTCCATTTAATGGAGATGTATATAAACAATCTTGTTATACATTTACATACAGGAGATGCCAAAAATAAATTTCTAAAAATATTTTGGTTTAATTTGTTGCTGTATACAGAGGATCTTTGATGTGTGAAGGTCACAGCTATATGTCACTTCCACTTTGATTTTGCCATTTTATTAGCAGTTTGAACTTTCTTTTAAGTTGAGAAGGAAATCTCTGCTGCATGCAAAATCTTTCATGGTGAACCCTTTTGCATTCCTTAGAGTTATTTTATTTATAAGTTCTAAATTTCTCATTTTGATATCTCCAGTTGACAGTTTTTATGCCCCCGCCATGAAATGGCTGGGACATACAGTGTTACCCCTTTCCATCCATTAGTTTTGCAGACACGTTTGGTTGTGCTTATAGATACTTGGTAAGGATCTGATTTTTAGTTTGTGTTTTGATATATTGATGACAAACAGATCAAGTTCGGGTTTCGTGATGATTGACCCATTTTTACGAAAGTTATAGGACTTGGACTTTGAAAATTTCTAATAATGTACAGTTTTCCGGATTTTTTTCTCTGTGCTTATAGATAATGAGCTGATTTTTATTTTGTGTTTTGATATTGATGACTTAAGATCAAGTTTCTTAACAAAAAGAATTCTTTCTACTTGTAAAATATCAATGGAATCTTTAAATACACTCAGTGTAGACAAGCAAAAAGCTGATATTATTTATCAGGTTTAAAAGTTGTATAGAGCTGATTAAATCAAAACCTCTACAAATTTTAGAATTTAAAAAACCAAAACCTGTAAAAGTAAAGAGAGCTGGAGGGGGAAAATCGTCTTGTGAGAATTTTCTTTCCTAATTATCATTATCTTATTTGAGAAGGGAGGGGTCTAAAATATCTACATACATTTATAAGGTTCATTTATAGTCAAATTTGAACACAGTATGTATTTGGGGGGGGGGGGGGGGTAGGCAACTACTTAAACAGATTCGTGAGGACAAGTGCACCTCCATCTGTTAAACTTTTTGGAGAGCCAGCTACATGATCTCTTTTTCTGTTCTACTTTTATATCAATAATAACATATTATACACTGCAGGCCCGTAGCAACGGTTTCCAGGGGGGGGGGGGGGACTACCCCAAAAAAATCTGGCAACAACAAAAAAGGTAATTTACTGTCCAAATCCTCGAATGGCTCGACCTTACGACATCAAATAGTGGGGGGGGGGGGGCAACCAGCAGCATCTAAAGGAAAATTTACTATGGCAAAATACTATACTCAGACCCCCCCCCCCCTTCCCCCCGCGTTCTACGGGCCTGCACTGTACTTTTCAAAAATGACATTGATCACTTATTTTAACTGGGCATTCCCATTCGCATTACCATAATTTAACCCGATCAGCATGAAGAACTTAATCTTTTTTTTTTCACTTGGACGACATTCATGGTATTTTACAATTATCCACGTAGGGGTTCACTTATTTCAGGCCCGTAGCAATGGTTTCAAAGGGGGAGGGGCTTCCCCCCCCCCCCAAAAAAATCTGACAAGCAAAAAAAAAAATAATAATAAATAAATAAATAAAAATAATAATAATAATAAAAATAACTGTCCAAGTCCAAATCCTGGAATTTGCCAGTGTTCGACCTTACTGCATCAAAAAGTCGGGGGGGGGGGGGTATTAAGGAAAATTTAGTATAGCAAAATATAATACTTAGAAAAAGTGGGGGGAGCCCCCCCCCCCCCCCGCGTTCTACGGGCCTGTATTCTACGTGGGAGTGGGGATCATGAGGGGCTCAGATTTTGATGCGTCCTTGACCCACGATGAAATGTATGGAGATAACGAACAGCATTCAAGCTCAAAAGTCCATTTAACAATACAAATTTTGAAGCAGAGCAAACACGGACCTTTAAAACATTAGAAGTGGGATCATGTGCCATGGAGGAGTGAGCATCCCCTGCCGACCGGTCACAAACGCCCTTGTGCGCATGTGACATATATTGAGGAATTCACTGAACTTAAGGTCAGATGACACGTTCTTCGAAAATATATAATATTCCCATAGAATTTGTCATTAATTGAAGAATTGCTACTTAAACAAGTCCCCTGACAAAAAAATTGAGGTACCTTACCAGGCAATTGTGCAAGATACCAGAGGGTGATATTTCTTATATAATCCTTATGGATAATCTTTTGAATTGCCAACGTCACAATTTCTGGTGTAGTTATTTTTTAAAACATAATTTATTGAAAACAATTTTGAACTCACAAGAGAATGAAAATTATTAATGATTTTTGATTTAAGATTAAGAGACACAAAACATATATCTGTCTGAGGAACGTGTCGTCTAATTGGAAATTCCAACTTAATCTTGGCTTTTCAAATTAAATCTTGTTTTTTTTCTCCAACTTTTCGTTGGCTTTTTAAGCTTTAAGTTGACTTTTCCAACTATAAAGTTGGCTATTCCAACTTTTATCTCAGTTTTACCAACTTTAATCTTGGTTTTTCAAAGTTTAAAGCTGGTAATTCCAATATAATATTGTTTTTTCCCAACTTTAATCTTGTTTTTTTTTAACTTTAATCTTGGCTTTCTAACGTTAATCTCGGTTTTTCCAACTTTAATTGTGGTAGTTTCATCTTTAAATCTTGGCTTTTTCAACTTAAGAATTGACTTTTCCATTTTTCCAACTTTAAATCTTGGGTTTTCACTTTTTACGGCTTCACAGATTTTATTCGTATACTTTCTTAGCTAAATCCGTGCTGCTGATTTATAATTACAATGGAAAGAAACGATTTTATTTTGAAATCTTGATGAAAGAAGGAGCAATTTGAATTGTGTTTCCTTTACAGAATTCATAAATTTAGTACAGTTGTCTTTGTGGCATGAAAAATAGTGTAGATTCATCCTTTATATCTAACACGTAATATGGTCTCATTTGTTTAAAATTTATACACGACCTCTTAAATAGATACCGGTATGACTGAAAAAAAAACGTACATAATGTAAAAAAAAACAAACCCCAAAACCCTGTGCTAACATTGCAATACATTACACATCACTTCCACATCATGCTATCTAAGGTAAAACTAAACGAAATTCAATTTCTCTAAAATATATTTATTTTCAATGTACTTTTTATGGGGTGCAAATGTCAAATTTTTACAGAACCTTGAATCATACTGAGTTGCATAAAATGAAAATTGTTGCAAGAAAACTTAAATGATGATGTCATAATGATGTCATAATGGGTATAACGTAACAATGCCTTGTGGAACGACTCAAAATAGCTCTTAGTTATCTTAGGAATATATTCTTTTTCCATAAATTGATACAATAAATTATAAAACAAACGTACCTTTTTAATTCGGTGCAATTCCTAGCTATAACGACCTTAGAAAAAGCATATCGACCTTTCGCTTCGTGCTCGGTTAATATGCTTTCTCTTAGGCCGATATATCTATAGGGATTGAGCTCATCACAAGGCTTTATCTGTATAATAAAATTAGTAATATGAACTAGATGTAATTAATTAAATCACAAATATATATGTAAACATTAGCTAGATCAGTAAACAACAGATCAGTAATTACTGGGTAAACATTTAAACAAATTGATAATGTCAGAGCGGAATTTCATGTCAAAATAACCATAAATGATTGGGTTAACCACGTGATTGATGACGTAAAATCTCTGCAACGTGAAGAAGATAATCATTTCGGCGTTAGAAATATTATACCACATTTCTGGAGAAAGTTTGCTGATGATCAGAAAAATACATGTTGGTGTGTAGGAAATGAGATAAAACACAATAATGGTAAAGAACATCACATTGAAATTAATTTTGCTTTCTTTGTAAGTCCTCGGTTTCGATGAAATTTCTTTGGTGCTGCACTGGCTTGGCTTATTGTCAGAGATTGAATCGAATTGAGTTGATGTGATGTCCATACTTTTCCTACGTCGAGCCTCTCTGAGTTTGTTGTGGCGATAAATGACGACTCCGATTGGGATGTAGAGGAAGCCCACAGTCAGGATATTGGCCACCATGAGAAGAAAGATGATATAATAGTAAACTGCTTCATAAGTAGGGTAGTTCCCTGCTCCTGTGAAACAGGTTAATCCAGTAACGTTATGGCCGTTAAAGTTCCCTTCCACTTCTTTATTTCCAGAGAACAACAAAACTGGACATGAATACAAGATGGAGAATACTACAATACAGGCCAAGCACAGCTTCCTCTTGTTCTCGTCCATTTGTTTTCCGTGAGGCTTGCAGATTTTCAAATACCTCTGGACAGCTATTCCGATAAGTAGCAGAGCCGACAAACCCGAGGTAGCTGTCATGGTGTACAACATACCTTTACAAAGGCCGGACGATGGAAAGTCCACAAAGTAGATGGACTCGAGAACGTAAAATACCGATGCCACAGCACTTGCGATGAGGTCGAACACAGCCAAGATGGGTATGAAGTAGCGATCATCACGGTTCCCTTTCATTCGAAAAGCGTACACAAGAAGCACTAATATGTTTCCCACCAGACCAATAAAGCAGACAACACCTTGAAATACAACTGTGGGCAGAAGTTTCTCCGTATAGTCCTGATTCCATTGCAGAGTAAGATTGTGTGCTTCATCCATGATGTTCACATATTCCTTTTCCCCCTAACCTGAAGTAAAAATAATTTTAGGCTGAACTTCCATCAAAAAAGTCTTAGAATAAAAAATTTTCAGTTTTCGTTTTCGGATTATTACGTTTTTCAGAATGTTGTAACACTCCTAGCACCACCATCAGCGAGATGATATTCCAGCTGTTCCTAGGACCAGCTAGGTGAAGATGTTAGGTTATAGTGTAGTGGCCTTTTTTTGTTTTTCTTTTAAGGGTTTTCAATACAAGTATTATGTATTGACCACGGAGCGTTAAACTTGAAAAGTTTTACTGTTTGAATGGTATGTCAGTAGGTAGCCAAGATTAAGTATTAAAAACATTTAAAGGACAGGCTCTTTAAACCTAATACATTCAATGTTAACATCGCCTCCCACCAGCAGACTAAACGTTAATTCTACTTTTGAGGTTTTCTAGACTATTAATAAATTCTTTTAACAAGTGTAACAGGTCGTGATCGTGGGAATAGGCCTACATACAGGCCAACATTTGAAGAGTTGACTGTACGCACCATATGAAACTTGATGAAACTTAAATACATTTATTAAATCTAACTGGTAAACTGACCTGTGTTTAAGTGTATCCTGAATTTTAACAAATGCATCATATCTTTAATACGTCTACATTTGATAATTATGCACATGCATGTCTTAATGATTTTAGTAATACATGTAAAAGGACACGTTATTAAAATCACGATTGTACGAGTTTCCGGTTATTAATATTATTATATCACAGTCTTCTGCAATTACATGTGGGTTCATCGGGTAGAAAAGCGGCAACAGAAAGTACCAGTAAGTAATAAATCCAGGACACCAGTATTAATGTGTATAAGGCTTGTACGTGAGACACCATTGTCTTAACATGGACTACATTTGACACGCCTGTAGTACAAATAGACCTTGTATAAATGATCTACTTGGTTTAAAAACGCTTGTTTTGTGGTTTTATGGGAGCTCTGGGTGTCAACAACCTCAGTGACAATTTTACATTTATACCTCTCGCAGCAATTTAAAGTCTGAAGTTCTAACTAACTAGATGTTTTAATACCCTGAGATTGACTTCCAGAGACTTCATATTGGAGAAAAGAGTAGCCACAACTGTTTAAAATGATAGATGTGATGGTAGCGTCAAGCTTTTTTCTTTAAAATTGGAAAGTCATTGGTTTCACTTTGGGAAATTAATTGCCACAGTTACAACGCAAAATGTAGTACGACGCAAAAAAAATGTAATAAACTGAGATTATATTGCATTTTGCGTTATTACATTTAGTAAAAGGATACATGTTATTAAAGAGTTCTTGATTTTTGTTAAGTGGTCTTCGTATCAAAATATAAACTGAAAATGTGTCACTGGTCAAACGACAATCGTAGATGTCTTCGAATTCGTAAAAATGCTCCCTCTGACCCCCCCCCCCCCCTCCCCTTCCTATCGAGAGGGGAGACGCTCCTTGCCTACACACACTTTGCGCCTCAGGTTACATCTGTGACTTCAAACTAGCCTACACATTAGCAGAGAGGAATATACGCTTGGGAGCGTTATTACATTCTGCGTCGAGATCAACGCAGAATGTAATAACGCAAATGTAAAAACATACTTTTTTGGATTATTACATTTTCGTCGAGGTTAACGCAGAATGTAATAAAATTCGATGGATTAAATTTTTTTTAATCTGCAATGATTGCAACTGTTATCCCCGCATTAACAAATTTTATACCTGTATAAACTATTTAATTGTATTTAAAGTGGGTGAAAGTATGTAAAATTTTGTATTACTGGTTTTATTAAAAAATGGAGGTGAAATTATTTATTGGATGTAAATATACTGCGATATAACTATTTCTTACACCTGATAAATAATAATAAAAAAATAAATGAAATAATAATAAATTTAAAAACTTGTATATTTTTTACACATTATTTCTGAACTTTGAATGTTCACTGGGTAAAATGCAACAAAATAGAAGATACAACTAATATGGGAGGGAGGTGTGTTGAAAAAATGTCTAGTTGGTGACCCACAATATAATGTACTCATATTAATTACATTTCAATAAAAGGGGGCAGGGGAAATTACATTCACAGTGATGTGGGTAGGAGTTAAAGTTTTAATAGAATGGACACAAAACCCGTGGCCGACGAAGGCAGATACTGGTATGCTTCAGTAGCCTTTTTCACAAAAAATCTTACGAATAAGATTGAAATTTGACAGCTCTGTAATTTCTTTGTTTGATAAAAATTATTATTTCAGAAGAATAATTCACAATATACCGTAATGTAATAGAAATACAAGATTTTTCCTAACCTACTACTGTAACAATCTAGGTAAATATAGACTGTAACAATCTATGTGAATATAGAAGAATAATAACGATTCAAACATGAGCTCCCTGAACTTATAATAAATTTGTTAGATTTTAAGAGATGTTTTCATTCAAAAGATCTCTTATTTTGGATTGAAATCAATGAATATTTATGCCGGATGGTGGTAAATCTGTCATCTGTCATTTTTATCATAGTTCTACTTCTGGTTTTATAAACAAATTATCCAAAATACATGCAATCCTTTATGAAGCTGGTTCATATATTTTTTTTTCCACAGTAAATCTTTATTTAGAAGCTGGTTCCCATCCCCCTTTTTTTGTTGCTGTAAGGCAAATTCCAGGAGAAAAAGGTCCAATCCCACACAGTTAAGGATTTTTTTTTTTTGCTTGTCAAACTTTTTTTTAGAGGTTGCAACCCCCTTTCACTTTTAAAACTGCTGCTAATAGCCTGTGAGGTTATTCTCAATGTCAGTAATTAAAAAATTACTACACCTTCAGCATCGGCTTTATTTTCTGTGTTTGTTCAGTTCAAATCAAAGTTCCAATCTGCATTTTCCTTTCCATTCCCCAAAATATCATTCACTAGATTCTCTGTATCATAATCCAGTGCACTGATTTAAGCTCTATACATACACTATGCATTCAAGAATAGTTCAGCCCTGCTCTCCATTTCAAACAATTATATTACTTCAAATTCCCACAATTGTGTAGATGAAAAAAATCTCGAGTATTTTTCATTGAAGCATGCATTCTTGAAAGAATTGCTTCATTGGTCATTAACACTTTGTCTTTTGTTAATTTTTTTTTTTTTTTAAGTACGATTTATGCCAAATACAGTTCTGTATGTAAAATATAAGACAGTTTTTGGCCCAAACAGGCCTCACACTGTCCGATATTTTTTCATACAGAACTGTATTGGGCATATATCCATTAAGTAACTGCCCTATCACAAAATCACCCTGCCCTAGAAAAGCATAAGAAAGTTGATATATAAAACATTATACATGTATGTATCGTACTTTTTTAATTATCATTATTCAATTCATAAACTGTAGACACATCTCAACAACATATTATTCACATATCACAGATATTAAATGAAAAAGTACAAACTTCTTCTTAGTGTAAATATTTCTTGTGAATGCCTTAAAACAAAGTGAAAAAAAAATTCCTTACAAAATATTTTAGCATTTACAATCACTATAGTCTTCTTTACATATTCTCTAGCTCATAAAAATATTATTTTTTATGATCACAAGTACATAAAAAAAATCCAAAGTGGAACAAGTAAGTAATAGGTATATATATAGGCACTGAATCACATCACAACAGTACGATAAAAGATCTTTAGCAATGACCAGCAGTGTTCATACACAAAACCAGCAGATTCAATGTGTACCAAAATATCTCAAATGTTTGGCAGTAAATACTTCACAGCAGTATTAGAACATTAAGAAATTGATAAAAAAAAGAAAAATATCAAGAACCTGCTCATGGATAAAAGACAGTATTTAACATAAATGCCATTAAGTACAAAAATAAATTCTTGCTACTGTTTGAATATTTTAGAGTTATTTCCCTTTCTTGGATTTACTAGATTTGGAGCTAGCTTTAGATGCCTGTGACTCAGGTCTCTTCTTTTCTTCCTTCTTTTCTGGAGATTTCTCCTTTGCAGCAGGTTCTTCCCTAGGGGTTGTGGGTGTGGCTGATGCCTTGGTGGGGGTCTTGTCACCTACTGTAGATTCCTCCTCCTGCTTTTCTAACTTGGCCAATCGTTTTTCTAGTTCCCTGATTCGCTCGTTGGCGTCGGCCAGATCTGACTCGGCCTCAGCAGCTCGGTCTTCTGCGGCTTGAGCTCTCTGCTCAGTGGCCCTAAAGAGTCAAGGAGAGAAAACATTACTGTGAAATCACTTTAAGATAAAGATCTAGTAAATAAAAGGAGCCTACAGGTTTGTCAAGAATGAACACCTGTAATGATGCTTTTTAACTCTAGATTGGTCAAATACTAATTATGTTCATTATATCCAGATTGCCTACAGTCTCAGAGAAAATGGTAATTTATATTTTCTTAAAATCCTTTTAAAAATAAAATTTAATATGGGTATCCAGATTAATTTTCACACATTTTCAAATTGAACACCATGAAAATGCTTCATTTTTTACATAATTCAATTACCTGCCATGAAGTATGGGCAGTACTTGTATCCATTTATATTCCATGTGGCCCTGTCCTTCATACAGAATTTTAATTAAGCTGCTGGGTACTTACATGAGCTGTCCTTGTAGACTCTCTACAGCCTCCAAAGCCTCGTAAGATTTCTGTGTGTTGGGAGCATCAGGTATAAATGTGGCAGGAGCTGATGGCTGTCAGAAAGGAGCATATATTATTTTATTTTCAAAAGTAAGTAATTACAATGGGAAATACTGAGAGAGAGAGAGAGAGAGAGAGAGAGAGAGAGAGAGAGAGAGAGAGTTTACCTTAGAGTCTGATGTCTTTAGAGTTTTTGTGTGTGTATTCTCATCATAGCCAATCACTTCCAGTTTCTCTTTACTGGACTCTTTTTCTTGCTGTGATAAAACCATTTTCAAAATTAAAATGAAGAAAGATACGATACATCCAAAACACTGATGATTTGACCTTGACTTTGGTACTAACCTTGGGTGGCACTGGGGCTGGTTTTTTCTGTTCCTCCCCCTCCCCTGTTTCTCTTTCTGGTGGAACCCCATCCTTTGGATTTTCCTTTTTATCAGCTTCAGCTGGCTGTGTGGATGGAGCCTCTGTTTTCTGAAATAAAAACATCAAATGAATATATCCTAAAACAGTACTATCTAGTATTTATGTTACAAAAATACTGTTTAATACATAACTTATTTAAATAAGTTGATAATACTAAGGGTGGTTCTTTGATAAATGTTCAGAAAGTGGTTATATATGGTCATAGTCTAATTCTTATCAACCAATCATTGAAGATTCAGGAAAAAAAATCCACACAAAATTAAGTTTTCATTCTTAAAGTTCTTACAGCCTCTGCCTCTGGCACTGAGGGCTTTAGTTTCTCTTTGTCATGGAAAGCCACAGCGGCTTTCTCTGGGGCAGACTTCTTAGAGGGCTCCTCCCCGGAGGTAGCAGAGGGAAACAAGGACTCAACAGGCTCCTCCAACAGGTGGCTGGTTAACAACTTAGCTGTGTGGATCCAATCCATGCACTCCATCTGTAAAGGTCATAGGTCATTACACAATGGTCAAAGTCAAAATCAAATGCTTACATATGTATTAAAAATGTTTGTCTCCAAAGCATTGTCATCATGTTACATATTTTAGAATTCTTATGTGATATACTTTTACCGAATTTTTTTAAAACTTATTTTGATGAAGTTCAACAAAATCTTGATCACTGACATGCTCCCTCTGTAAGATTTATTTTTTTAAATGGACAAATGTATAGAGTAATGTTGTTCCAGATAAGAATATCACATAAAAATTCTAGAATCAAACTGAAATCTGTGGATTCTTCAGATTATGATATACAATAAAAGTCTGTAAATATAATTTAGGTCTTATCCTGAGTGTCTATAAATACAGATTATGTCCTAATGGGTCTGAGACTGTAAATTCAAAGAGTCTCTGTAAACACAGTTGAGGATTACCCTGAGTCTCTGTAAACACAGTTGAGGACCAACCCTGAGTCTCTGTTAACACAATGGAGGATCTATCCTGTCTGTAAACACAGTTTATGACCTACCCGACATCTGTAAACCTATCCTGAGTCTCTGTAAACACAAATGAGGACCTACCCTAAGTCTATGTATATACAGTTGAGGACCTACCTTGAGTCTGATACAGGACCTACCCTGAGTCTGATACAGGACCTACCCAGAGTCTGATACAGAACTACCCTGAGTCTGATACAGGACCTACCCTGAGTCTGATACAGGACCTATCCAGAGTCTGATACAGGACCTACCCAGAGTCTGATACAGAACTACCCTGAGTCTGATACAGGACCTACCCTGAGTCTGATACAGAACTACTCTGAGTCTGATACAGGACCTACCCTGAGTCTGATACAGGACCTATTCTGAGTCTGATACAGGACCTACTCTGAGTCTGATACAGGACCTATCCTGAGTCTGATGCAGGACCTACTCTGAGTCTGATACAGGACCTACCTAGTGTCTGATACAGGACCTACCCTGAGTCTGAGATTGGTCCTACCCAGAGTCTGATAAAGGACCTACCCAGAGTTTCATAGAGGACATACCCTGAGTCTGATACAGGACCTACCCTGAGTCTGAGACTGATACAATTGGGGACCTACTCTTGAGTCTAATACAGGACCTACCCTGAGTCTGAGTCTGATACAGGACCTACCCTGAGTGAGTCTGATACAGGACCTACCCTGAGTCTGAGTCTGATACAGGACCTACCCTGAGTGAGTCTGATACAGGACCTACCCTGAGTCTGAGTCTGATACAGAACTTACCCTGAGTCTCTGTAAATACAGTGGAGGACCTACCCCCTAGTCTGATACAGGATCTATCCTGAGTCTGAAACTGATACAGTGGAGGACATACCCCGAGTTTGATACAAAACCTACCCTGAGTCTCTGTAAATCCTTCAATTCATGCTCAGCATTGTCCTCCATATTGTCACGCCTGGCCTGGGTGTTGTCCATCACCACACCACTACAACATCTGTAATCAACAACAACAAAAATTAGTTGTATTCTAGCTAACCAGAGAAATACATTGTATACATACAGGTTCAACAGATTCCACAAAATTCATGCAAGCAATATTTCAATTTATGCTTTATGCACAACTAACAATTTATAGGTACATGTATAAGCAGTAATGGAAGTTAGAATATAGATAAATTATACAGTCTCTTTTTTCTTGCTGTAGTTTAAATTTTCAAATTGTGTAAGCAATTAATTCATAGAAGAAGGAGAAATCAGCAAATATAGAAAGAAGGGAAATCTGATTTTGTGTACTTTTTACCTTGAGTTCTGATATTCATCCTCTATAGATATAAGATTACTGATGCCAAATAAGATTTCACTGGAATTTCTGATTAAGACAGATGGAGAGAAAGAAAGAGAAACATCATGTTAGTTTAAAATAGGAAGATAGATTAATATTATAGTAGTCATAGTAAAGATAGAGGTAAAAAGGGATATGTAATTGTAAGAGTAGAGGTGATGACAAGAGGTGAAAACTAGTAACAAAAGCTCATACATGGTTATATAGTCCACAGACAGAGAATTCATGATATAACAGCAAGTAACTGGGAACTGTGAAGTTAATTTACAAACAAGCTGTAACTATCTGCACTTCAAGCATCAGAAGACACAGTTTAAGAACTTACTGAGCTACATAGGTTGAGAACTGCTCTAGTTGTTCAAACAGCATTTTGACGTTGGAGTAGAGTTGTCCCAGGGTGAGGCTGTTGAGGAGGACCATGTCTGCTGCCTCCTTAGAGTTCCCCTCCTTGTCTGGGGCGAGTCGTAACAGCATCTGGACCATCCACTGTACCATCTGAGAGTGAAGTGTCGAAACCTACACAAAATCCCAAAACGAAATATTGTCATTCACAAATATTAAACAACCAATAAGACTTACACTTTGTTTTTTTTTATTTATTTATTTATTTTCTTTTTAGAAAACTTCGAATCAAATGTGGGCTGAAATTGGATTTACTTTTTACAAACTGGAAATTTTTTAAAACAATTATGAGTCATATGAAAGCTATATAATTTTTTTTTCCCGTTTTTTGGAAAAAGAAAAGCAAAAAAGATTAATGAGACCACTAAACATTTGCAGATTTAATAAAGTAAATATTGTGGTTTCAATAAAATTGGAATGACAGTAACCTGTTCGACAAGTCTTCCATCTTCACTGTCTATAGCATTACTGGCTGTGGTGGCCCATTTCTGCACCTTCCTAACCGTATCCATGACATCAATCCTAAAAATCCAAACCAGTCAATAAAGAGGAAACTCAATTCATTATCCAGTTAGTGTTATTTACTTTCAAATTCAGTATTTCACTGTTAAGATTACATTAAAACTTTTGAATAAGGGCATTAAATTATTGAGTTTTCAAAATAATTTGTCATGATATACTATTTCTAATGCTTGCTGTAAAGAGAGGAAAATTACATAGAAATGCTTCAGTAGTTTGGATTACAAATGTAAGTCAGAAAACAGAGTGAAATCAAAGCCACACAGTAGTGAATATTAGTGAAATATTAGTGCCAAAGCAGCGCATGGTATAATCTGAGCCAAGTTCATTCATGCTTTGACTCATTGTGTTGAGCTCTTTGTAAGACAATTCCCCAAAGGTACGAGTACTCGGTTAATACTGGGAAAATTTCTGGTTATTGTCCCTGATCTCAGTGTTAAATGTCAATAATCATCAATAATGTAGATGTATATGTAAATTTGATTAAAAAATTGATATTTTATTTTATAGAAATTGATCAACATTAAGACAATATGAACTGGGATATTAACCTTACTAACTATACATGTTAATATAGGGTAACATTTAATAAAACATGGGAGAAAACGCATCTGGAGACATATAGCCTACCTCCTTGGTTCAAGGAAAACCACAAATCTAACACGAAAAAGCGCATGTTAGTTAGCACAATAAAACTTCTCTCTAAAAAGCATTCATTGATGTATAAATATCTGTTGTGATTAATTCCAAATTGTTTATTGCAAAAAATTTAAATAATGCAATTAACACTTATCTACAGTTATGGTGAAGTTAACGGAAAAAATTTACTTAACAGCTTGAAAATGAATTGCTTAGTATATAATGTGATATAATTTCATACAAAATGCATATATGTGAATGGTGCAAAGTTTTTTCTGAGCTGTGAAGAGTTAGTTATTCACCCAGAGTGCAGGTTATACATATAGTTATAGAGTGTTCCTCAGGTTATTCAAATAGCAGATGGTGTGCTGGTAATTTGTGACTATGGTAACCACTGGTTACCATGGCTACCTAGTGTGTGGTTTTGACTCAATCCTGTCTTCCTCCTTTTGGGTGGATCCTACGTACTGCACTGCATCATCGATACCCCCCATCCATTCCTCCATCAGATTCAGTAGACTGACCCATTCATTGTCATTGATGGGCTGGGTTCCATTCAGCGAGGCTGCTATCTTCAAATCCCATGTCTCCAGACCATGCATTAAATGAATGGCATGTGGTGCAACCCCTTCAACAATGAAAGAATTTTGTTAAAAGCCAGTAAAACCCACCAAAACGTTCAACACTTCTTAAACAAAACATTTGTTTTTATCATATGATTGAACAATGTAACTAGATATAATTAAGTCCATAAATTTTTACAAGTCATCTTTCCTAAGCTAAAATGTAAAATGATCTATTTTACTGCCATCTTTAAAAAAAAAAAAATGCATGCATAAAAATTAGGAAAATTAATAAATACAATATTCAAAAAAAAAAACCAACTAGAAATCTGCCAAAGTCATACAGGGCCCATAGTATCATTATATCAATAATTTTGACCTTTTGATCTTGACCTTTAATAAAATATCTAAATTATTGCATTACAATGACCATATTGTTACACTCAAGCTTTGACATTGAACTATGAGCAAGTGGCCCCAAAACCTTTAAATTAATGTCTTTCTCTCATGATTCTCCACCTATAAAGTATTCATGAAGTCTGTAGGATATAAATATTACAATTTATCATTTTTTTCAAATAATCAGTCAGATAAACATATTGACAGATGTATCCAGTGATCACGACAGTCAACACTCATAGTTTGATGCAGGGCCCCAATGATAATTAAAAAAACTCCGAAAATTTTAAATAATTTAAAGGTAAAAGCAATAAACCAAATTAAAAAAATATCAAAATAAGAATCCTCAGAATACTAGAGGTAACCAGGTAACATTTACCTACAGGTATACAGAAACCTTCTCCATTTTATAATCCACTCAGGTTCTTTGTAATCTATGGCACAGATCTTGGGTAGTGATTAGTCATATAAATTTTGTAACTCTTCAGATGTGAGTAAAGCACTACTCACCATTTTCTCCCGTAATTCTGTTATTAAATTGTCTCAGCAATTCCTCAACTTCCTGTTTAGAAGAGAAAATATGTATGTATACATTTTCTTTAATAAAATATATATTCCTCTTCAAAAAAATTTAAAAGTCTTATTTGTACTTTTAGTAAAACTCATTCTATGATAACATATTTGAAGTGGTACAGTTGAGCCTTGTTAATCCAGGTGTTTGTGTTCCATAGAAAATCTTGGAAATTAATGAACTGTCTCCATAAATGAAATGTTCCTTTTATAACTGGTAGATATAATTGTCAATTCTGTTCCCTAAAATTTTAATTCAGAAGGTAAAGTGTCTGTATTATTGGTGTCCAGATTAATGAGGCTCCACTGTACATTCTCTTTACTTAATCTTAGAAAAAACAACTAGTTTGAAATTCATACTTAGTTTTTGCTAAATTTATTGAAACACACAGATAGTTACCTCATTCAATGTCATCATTCCGTCCTGATCTGGATGGTTCTTGGCCCCCTCCTTTCGGTGGCGACTGAAGACCTTGAGGGCATTGTCTGTCCATCCATCCATCTGTTGTCTGATGACCGTTAACTTCTCTTGACCGTTCAGTAAGGTATCACCTCCGAATTTCTCTGCTTCTCTACCAAGTACCTATAACAAAAATATGTGCTTTATAAAAAAATGGCCAAGAATAAAGCAATTTGACATCCCCTCTTACTGTAAGTTGTAAAAGTCTACGGTAACACGTCAAATACATGTTTATGTTAATATCTCCACCCCCTCCACAAAAAATAATGTATATTATACTTAGGTTTTGAATTTTAAATGAAATGATGATTAGTAATTTTAATTTTTGTTTTAAAGTACCTCTTCCCAATTTCTCATTTCTTCTAGAAACAACCTCAGAGTTGATTCATCTGGAGGCTTTTGGAAATGACCTTCTTTTGTACTGAAATGTAGACAATGCAGTGTTAGATAGCAATATGTTACCTAGGGTATAATTTGTAAAACCGACTCGTAAACACTGGCTGAAAAAAGAGCAGTTTTTTTTTAAAGTCCTATTTTATAAACATGTTCAAACAAAAATGTTTGAAATTTATATTTTTCTCATTTCTGATTTGTGATGCTGCCATAAACTCATATATTAACTAATTTTCAGCTACATTGTAGTTCTAGTTTGCATGCAATTTAGTAAAACAAGTGCAACCCATTCATTAATTCATTCCCCATGCAAGATACTGCAGTCTCACATTGTTGGATTGCTACATTACATTCACATGTATTAAAATGAATTTTAAAAAAATAGAGGCAGATAGCCATTTCAAATAAAGAAATGAACTGTATATAAAACATTACGCAACATCTTCCATTAGGCAAAGCCAGTTCTAATTAAATGTCCAATGGAAATGATGCTGGAAGTATTTTTCAACAAGTCTGTTTGTTTATTTAAAAAAAAAATGGTTACATGTAAAATATTTTGTTTTCAAAACAAAGAATGGGAATTAAAGAGGCCCATGAGCCACAAGGCTCACCCGAAAAATCTTTTGCTTCCTGAAAAAATGATACGATTGAAATACCCTAATGATGGCCTACATTTATTTCAATATTCAGCATTTTTAATTTACAAACAATATTTTAATTGGTAACAAAGGAAGCTTTTCTTTTTAGATGAATTTCGTCTTTTTTGGACAAGTGGTTCTTGTTAAAAAGATTATCAAATTGCCCTACATTACTTTACAAATTGTCTCCACTTCTGCAGAGACCTGATCCTTTATTTTGTTGAAAAGTTAAAAATCCTTTCCCAAAGATGCTTTGTGCCAAGTTTAGTTCTGTAGAAGAAAATTTCAGCAATTTTTCACACAAAAAAGTTGTTACAGAAGGATGACAAACTAGCTTTGATCAGAAAAACTCGACAGACAAGCTAATATGAGCTGAAAGTATTTCATAAAAATGTTAGAGAGGATTGTCTATATAAGAGAATGTAAATTCATTGTATTGAAAAATAAAACTATGAACTGGATTGTATATAATAAATCTAAGAAGAGAAATTCAGGTAAAATTAAGATATTAATTTTATGAATATATTGAAAAGTATGATTGATGCAGAGAAAGTTAATTAAAAAAGGATAATTTATCAGTTTTATTTATTTGCTTGTCCTTTGTTATTATTGTTTATATACAGTACAACTAAGTCATGTTTTTGGTGAATATAAACATTAAGATTTGTCTTTATTCTTCATCAATTTTAATACAGACCTAAAGGGGCTTTATACTTAACAGTCTGAATTTCAATCAAATTGCAATTTAACATCAAATTTTTTTTTTTGCACAATACAGAAAAAAACCAACAAAACTTTCACAACAATCATCAAGTCATGCTATTAAGACTTACTCTTCATAACTTCTATAACGAAGGAGCCTTAATTAAAGTGTAAAAACTTCATTATAAAGACATTCCATGCACAGGCTTTTATACATGCATCAATGCATGTAATATGCGATGATGTATCAATGTTAACCAGGAATGCAATACGCCTATTATCAAATGCTCTATAATTCTTTTATTTCACATATTACTTTTCTGAAATGCAAGTACAGAAATCCCATTACCATAGCAATATTTCTATAATTGTATTCTCTCTACTAGTAATTGTGAATTATGAAACTGATGACTCAGATCTAGCATTATTTCAAGAGAAGCAAACTGGGAACTATGATGATGAAATGGATGATATTTTGATGTGAAAATTGACAACCTACTGGCGGGGATTGTTACAAACTGACCACAGTATCCCCTCAAACATTGCTTACCTCTGCCTTATTTTTCTATAATAATTAAAATCAAATCAAATACATCAATTTTAAACTTTTTCTTTTCACTTTAAATTTTGTTAAATTCAAAAATGCTCTTTGTTAATAAAACATGCACTTCTGGAATCAACTTTGAACCAGTTATTACAAAAAGCAATTAAATACATGTAATACATTTGTAACATATGGTAACTTGTATTTCAAAAACATGATTAGTTTTGCCCCCAAAATACAATCAAATACTTTTTAGTTAATTAAACAATTTTCCCTCAAAGCCCCTTACATAAAGAACAAACCTGTAACAGTTGTTAAATTAACATATATATAATAATTAATTATACACATACATATTACCTCATTGTACTAACACTAGCATTTTCATCCACGTCACTGAAATTTATGCGCTAATTAAACATAAATACTTAACGATCCCTATATTGCTGTGAAAGAGTTAGATTGGTACTTAAAATGGTACTCTGTGCAAACGTGAAATATGAAAAAGTAAAAAAACTGAACCAAAAAACCACAAGAAGTGTCCAAAATGTGTGCTACTACTCTTGTAGAGTGCTATCAGTGAAATTAACAACAATACAAAAAAATTATATATCCTTTTTTCTGAATAATAGACTGAAAACTAAATAAAGATTACCCCAGAGAAATAAACTTACAAGCAAATCTTTCGAATCTCAAGCATCCATTTTTGAATGCTACCCTTCAGAGAGCTGATGTTGACCTTCATTTCTTCTTCTCGGGTTTTCAGAATGATGTTAAATTCCTCTACCAGGTCGCGCCACCTCTCCACGTGTGTCTGGAGGTTAGTCAGGAGCTCCGTGTCCTTGTCACTTAGCAGAATGGTGAAGTGGGTGGCCAGTTTGGCCCATGATTTCTCACTAACATGAAGCTTCTTAGCTGTGGTCAAATTAGCTTCCTCTGTCACCTAATGCATCATAAAGTGTAGAATCTCATTGTAAACTTGATATCTCTCATAATCCAGAATAATATTTATTTGTTTCTAAAGTTTTGGGGTGTAACAACAGAAAATGGTCCATATTGAATGAAGTCAAGAAAAGTAATCTGAAAGTGTTGATGCATTGTTTGATATAAACTTTAAACTTAACACTATAAAAAGTTCAAGTATATAGAACCACTTACGCAGATATTAACATTTAAAAATGTCATACATGATAAAAGCTCCCATTCAGATATATTTCCATACCTTGAGAGCAAGACTATAGGCAGCATTACTCCAGAGTTCCCGCTCTTCTGTCAGTAAATGGACTGAAGTTTCCAGTCTCTTCCTTTGTAACTCATATAAATCATGGTACTCTGCCAGAAGACTAGCATTTTTCTGGGCCTCAGACAGGGCTGTCTTCAGCTGTTGATGAAAAAATCAACAGTGAGATTTGTGAATGTGTACTGGTTCTGTAACTCTAGAGCTATAAAATTCGCCACCTTAAAGGGAAACAACTCCTACTCACATCCTCCTGGGCTTGTTGTGCTTCTTTGGTGACTTTCTTGTCGTGTTCCTTGACTGCAGACAGCTCACTGAAATGGTGGACAGTTTAAAAATGTTAAGAAACCTAGGGTTCTCTTATGCAGTGCTGCTTACGCTATTGGAGTTGTCAAAATATTCACTCCTAACATATAATCAATGACTGCTGTAAAGATCACAATGTAAGGGAGATAACTCTCTTTTCCTTACATTTTGACACATTATTCTCTTTCTGCTGGATGAGCCATACCTGGTCAGTATACCAATGGTGCCTTTAAATCTCATCAGCTCTTCAGTCAGTCTTCTATCCAGAGCTCTCTGTGCCATAACCTCCTCATGTAAACTGAGCAATGGACAAAATATAGGCATTAGAAACTTGGAATGACTAAAACATTTTTTACAGAATGATTAATATAAGAACAGTTGATGCCTCACCTCTTGATTTGCTGTGGGACTTTGTTCAGTAGGTCGCTGTACTTCTGGCGAAGATTGGCTAAAAGTTCTCCTCTGTCCACACATTCTATGCTCACCTACAAATAACACACAATTTAATTTTTCTTGTTCACGGAATATTTGACAAAAATGGTATGGTTAATGCATCGAAATAATATATTCATTTTCCAAAAATAAAATGTCAGGGAATTCTTCAGTTATTATACCAGCAGTAAAATATATTTTATGCCACACTTTTAGATAACTCCAGCATTCAATAAATTACACATAACTTTACAAAACATGTACATGATTCGGTTCAAGATTTTTATGACAAACATGAGACTAATTCTTAGACATAGATTCCTTTATCAGTGATTTAGCAGTATTTTGTGAAAACCTTTTTAGACTTACTGAAGACACCAAACCCACCTGTCTGATAACCTCATGAAAGACTGTGTTGTAAATATTCTGTTCTTTCTTGATTAACTCAAGTAAGTTGTGCATCTAAAACAGAATTCAGAATGTATTATGTATATGTAATTATGTGAGTTTTATGCATTAATGATTAATGGCCTTCTAACTATCATGGCCATCGGACTGCAGATTATGGGATATTCAAAGAGTACAAAACCTTAAAACTAATCAAAATCTGGAATTAAAAATCAATACATGTACAAATGTATTTTTGAATTACGAAACTAATACATATATTTATTTTAGAAGTGACAATAAATACAACATACATATTTACATCAGCACACTAAAATAATGCATGTCTATATTTTCATAAATAAAAACAAAAATTTCTGTGCAGTGTTTAAAACAAAGAAATCTGCTTTTGAGTTTCCTTTGGTTCATTTGTAATATCTAATATATTGTTCAATGTGATATTTTTGTAACATAAAGCATGCATTGACTTGTACCAGTTTATACCTATTGGATCACCATTTAGTTTCCATTACATTTTATTGTGTCCCCTTGCAAAGAAATATTTAAATAATTTTCACATTGACATAATGAAAGTTCAGCAGTATATTCAAAATAAAAAGTTATTTGTACCAATTAAGATAAACAAGTTAGTTCTACTGATATGCATTTGTATAAATTCTCATAAAATAATATCAACAAATAAAAAAGGTAGTAAATACTCCCAAAAATGACCTTTATGGTATACATTATTGTATATAATTCTCCATTTTATTCTTTTATCATAACTTGTGAAGACAAAGGTATATACGACATACAAGATTGTAGTCTGTGATCTCACCTGAGTTGGTCCCCTAATCTCGGAATCTGTGTCATATACTCCAGCTTTATCTAACATACGATCCATCGTGTTCTTCAACTGAACAACTTCAAAGCGACTTGAGGGTTTCCTGCAATGAAATTAAAAACAAGAAATCAATTAATGATGGTTGAAAGTTGAAGCACTGTAAAACTTTCCCTCACATTTTTAATATTCAACTTGTACCAAATTGTGCATCGATGAGCAATTATTGATTTCATTTGAATGACGAAATCATTTTCTCTCTAAATTCCATTTCAATGAAGAAATCATTTTCTCTCTAAATTCTAATGACAATGTTGAAGTGAAATTCTTAACTGAGGGGTATATCATTTTAACAAACACTGATTTGTAACAAAAAGGATACCACTCTCAGTAAGTATGAAGATACTTAATTACTTACATAGAAGGAAACACAATCAGATGTTTTTCATGGTCCTCAACTTGATTGCTGTATTTGCTGAAAAAAAAGAATTTGATAATGGAAGATTTACTGATATACTAGCCATTTTTGATTGAATGCTGAAATGCACTAATGTTAATGCCCGACTCATTATGATTTAACTTCACTCTTTAACCAGAGATGTATATAATAATGGAGACTATCATCTGTTCCATTCACACATTATGTGAAGGACATCTGGGATAGTATTATATTCAAACTTATACACTTTATTGGTTAACTTATCAATTTGAATTGTTTCTTTTTTGTATGGAGTATAACTATATTCATGTAATGATAAAAAAACATAAAATATTTAACAAAAGTAAACTGGTCAATTAATCAGAAGTTGACAAAATATAACTGAGATGGTCAAGTATGTGTGAGTCATCTGTTGTCTTTTGAAAGTCAAGCTTTGTAGTGCTTTAAAATGCTTGTTTAATAATTTGATACGAAGAGTTTCAAAAGTTTTCTGCTCTTATGTTTGATTACTTTGAACTAAACTGCTCTTGCTTATTGTTCCTCACATTCTTAAAAGCAGTGGGATAGAGCAAGATTTAAATACATGTAGTTGCAAATCTTCTATTATAAATTATGTCTCCATTAAATATAACTTAAGTAAGAATATGAAAAATATTTGCTCCTTATTAATAATTTTGCACCAGTCTTAAAAAAACAAAAACATTCTTTATCATTACAAAAATAGAAATCCTACAGAATTACCATGCACATTGATTATAATATACTCTACAAAGATTTTATATACTAAAAACTACAATATGCTTACTCCTCGTGAAACTCAATTCCCATGACACCTTTGTTTTTGATGATATGATATTCCTCAGGAATTAAAGTGTCTGGTAGCTCCAATGGCTGAAAAACATTAAATGTTAATTCATCAATATATTGTGTATTCACATATAGTTCAATGACTGGTCATATTAGTATAGTGAAAATTTCAAATATTATTTATTCATTCAGTGTCATTTTCATTGTTGCTGAGCACAAAACTAAGGAAGAAAGGAATCTCTTTCTTCCTTAAATGAAATCTAAGAAAGCTTTTTTTAAAGTAAAAGTAATATGTAAATTGTTAGCATACAAAAAAAAAAACAAGCTTTTAACACCAGTCAACTTTATACATATTCATATATATATAATTTCATATAATAAATCTGTAACCAAGTTAAAACAAAATCCATTATGATATACAAGCACAGAGTAAACACATGTATTTCAAGAGATGATATCAAACAATTAGTTCCATAAAATATCTTACGCCAATTAAAGTATTAAGCCACTTGTGGAGATATGTTTAACCTTTCTTCCTTGTAGGTAATTGCAAGTTGTAAAATATCTGCACCAGTATGATGCCATTGGCCAAGTACAAATGATTAAGACAAAAGCATGTTAATGCTATTTTCCCATTCAATGTTAGACTTTTCTTATTAAAATAGAACATTATTACTTTTTCATCCTTTCCTGTAGATCTCTGAGTAAAATATATTTTACTTATGAATTTGATATAAAATTGTATGACACTTGTTACCAAAAAAAAAAAACAAAACCAAATAAACTTTTTTTATCGTAATAAAAATCTCTACATGAGCATGGTTTATTTATTTTTTTTAAAGAGGGTTGTTTAAAAATCCCGTAATGTGCATTTAATCATAAATTAACAGAGTGAATTCCCCTGACCTTTCTCTGCTTGTCCAGAGCTTCTTTTCTAGCAAAACTTTTATCCAGTTTATCTGGTCTCTCCAACTTCTTCTCTGGGAGAGGGACATCGTACAGGAAGGAGATGTCACTGGAAATTCCCAAATATTAGTTTTACACTGTATTACTATGTGTCACAAAAATACATCATCTTAAAATTAAACTGAATATTTTTTAGTTTAGGATTTTTACCTTCCAGCCCCACAAATACAAGGTGTGTTTTCTGTAAGGTGTTTAAACCTTTCTCTTCTTTTATGGCTCCAAAGGTTAGATGGTGGAGCCCTAGCTGGCACCTGGAAATAAGACACACATATTTATTCTGGTTTCTAAATAAAAATATACATTATACACTTTTTAAAAAAAGTGAATTACTACTAAAAAAGTGAAATAAAAGACAGATTGCATATTACCTGTATATATTTTAGTGTATCATAATATTTGATCAAACTATTCCAGAACCTCTTTTTTGACTTACATTAGAGACATTAAGATTCCTGGTCCGGGTTGGAGGCCCGAGTTGGTCCCGTACAGGAGGAGGCTGTGTCAGGGCAAACAGAACATCCTCAGGAATAAAGTCACTCTGTAGTGAGGTGGGGAGGGGCTTAGTTTTGTCTAAGGCATTATTACTATTTCTAAGCTCTGGCAAAGCTGCAAGAATAACATAATATAAATTTTATTGAGTGATGAATTATTGTTTCACCAAAAAGAGAATAAATCCAACACTGATATCTGAATATTCTATATTATTTATCAAATAAATACCATTTTTGCCATCAGATGAAACAAGAGCTTTTCTGTCTTGGTGTCTTGGAGATCCTATGGATTGACTAGGCTGATGAGGTGCTACAGCAGTGCTCATCTTTTCTGAAAGTATTAGGAAAATTCCATGAGCCAATAATTCAAATACTATCCTGATCGCGCTACACAAGGCATGGATATTCCTTTTTTGAATTTAGTTATAGACCCTTCAGTGTCTTGTGCACACTTGAGGAATGATTAGATTTTTAACATGTTGAAAAACACATTACAATAATTAACCAAGTGTTCTTCTAACTCTTAAGATAAAGCTGTAAACTTGTTATCTGTGTGTTAAAACATTACTGTAAGAAAAAGCTGACACGGTACTGACATGAAAGTCCTATGCACTTCTTGATGTGCACATAGGCTTTAGCTTCATTTACAACCATATCAGCGTGTTGTAATTATTCTACAGTCCGTGCATGATATATTCGGTCTATATAATTTTCACATATGAAGAAATAAAACTACTTAAATACCTAGATAATGTGTATATCCTCAGCAAAATAAGCATCTACTCTGCGCCTCCAATAGGCGCCATTTTAATTTACACTTGTTGTCAAGGTAGGAGGAAGCGGAAACTGTCAAAGTAAAATCTGAACAATGGCGGCGTCCAAAGGCTCACATGTTTCCCTTTCCAAAGAATTAAAGAAACTGTTAAAACAATTTCCAAATTTAAAAATCATGGATGACAAACCAAGGGTATGTACAATTACATATTTATCACCAGTATTAATTAATTCTAAGGGCGATTTTTCAAAAAGTACAACAGTCGATTCTGAATAGTATTTCGAATTTCCTCCGTACTATATTTAATGTGGGAATCGAGCCAGGATTGAATGTTTTGTCACGTGGGTTCGTCACGATTTATTTGTCTTCTTTCTTTTTGACCAAACACTATAAAATAGTGAAGAGATGGTGAAAAAGTATATAGATCGTAGCCCCTGTGGCTACATTTGTACATTCTGAAAATATTGATCTAGATCCTAAAATCCCACCTGTATAGTTAAAAACATAATTATGCTCTGTTGTTAATGTTAAATATCACTTAAGAACATAACTTACTGTTTTTCAATCAGCAATCTGTTAAATGATTCACTTAACTGCTGAGAATTTTTTATGTTCACAGTCCATCACAAGAAATTTTAATTGACGGCTTTGGGAAACAAAGAAGAAAGAGAAAACATTCAATTAGTACAGAACTTTTGATAGCCAATGAAAATATGGGCTATGTTCTGATGAAGTTGCTTTGCTCCCTTCACCACTTTTTAATCACAAAAATTTGTAACAGGATCTAACAAATATGATATTCGGTGCAACCATTTGGGCGAGTGCAGTTGTATTAACATAATTACCGGTAAATTTATAAAGATTACCATTACATAGCTTACACTTTTAACTTTGATCCACCTCATCAATCCGCATTAGATTCAGTCTGACTGTTATGTCACATGACATCCTATTTTAGTTGAACTTTTATTACGGAGTCTAAATAGTGCATTTTTAAAACAATTAAAAGACATCGTTTATTTTTTTAAGATGCATTTTTAGCTCACCTCGATGAAGTCGAGATGAGCTTATGCTAGGGGTGCAACGATACACTAACCTCACGATATGATACGTATCACGGTATTCAGTCACGATACGATACGTATCACGATACATGACAAGGTTAAAATGTCTTTCAAGTTTGTCATCATATTTTTTTTAAACTTGACAGGGATATATAAAATGTTCATATTTTTAAATAATAATTAAAATAAAATTTTGTTAACTTGAATTGGATTGTTGGATAGAGCTTTGAGTTTTGACAATATTCTAAACCAATGATGAACATTTACAGGGAACTACGGGGACCTTTCCTAATAATCTTCCTTTTAAATTGGAATGAAAAAGGAAGACATTCATTCTTTTATTCCTTTTATTTACGTAGAAAGCCAGTTGTCATATTTCTCATGTTAACACGTTTTAGTCAACAAGACAGTGAATTTTCATCGAAATAAACACGTGATGAAATATTGTGTATTACCAAAGAATACATTTAGATCTAAAGGGTTTATCATTTGTCTTAACATCTATAACTTATAATCACATTAATTCCTTCTCCGTGTTAAATCTGAGGTCTGTAAGATGCTGGAGATGAGTTTAACTTCCGTTAAAGCATTATCGGCGACCTCACGTTTTGCGCGGAAGCCATTTTGAAATTGTAAAAAAGGAAACAAAACGGACGATTCGGATAATTCTGGACCGACTGAACCAAACCGTGATATCAGTTTAGTGTATCGTGAATTGAACCGTGGAAAAATATACCACGATAAACCGTCAAACGGTTTATCGTTGCACCCTTAGCTTATGCTATACCCCCGGCGACTGCGTTAGCGTCAGCATCCCGGTTAAAGTTTTAGGAGCAAGTCCATTCCCAAGTAACTATAAGCCCTACCTGGACCAAACTTGAATGGATGATGCATCTAGGGATGGAAACGCCCAGACTTGCTTCAGATGTAGGATCTGACCTACATTTTCCAGATGAGTGACCAGGTTAAAGTTTTTGGAGCACGTCCACACCCAAGTAATTATAAGCCCTTCCTAGACTAAACTTGCATGGATGATGCATCTAGGGATGGACACTCCAAGACTTGCTTCGGATGCTGGATCTGACCTACATTTTCCAGATGAGTGACCAGGTTAAAGTTTTTGGAGCAGGTCCATTCCCAAGTAACTATAAGCCCTACCTGGACCAAACTTGCATGGATGATGCGTCTAGGGATTGACACTCCCAGACTTGCTTCGGATGCTGGATCTTACCTACATTTTCCAGATGAGTGACCAGGTTAAAGTTTTTGGAGCAGGTCCACTCCCAAGTAATTATAAGCCCTACCTGGACCAAACTTGCATGGATGATGCATCTAGGGATGGACACTCCCAGACTTGCTTCGGATGCTGGATCTGACCTACATTTTCCAAATGAGTAACCATGACAAGTGTTATGAGTAGCTCTATAATTATATGGCCTGTTATGATTTAACTTGCATAGATGGTGCATTCCAGACTTGCTTCGGATGTAGGAAATGAAAGACATTTTCTTGATTAGTGAACAGGTTAAAGTTTTTGGAACATGTCAATTCCCAATGAACTATAAGACCTACTTACACAGAACTTGCATGAATATTGTTTTCAGGATGCACACTAACTATAAAGAAAATATGATGTGAGATTTGCATTACTTTTACTGATAACATTCGTCGAGGTGAGCTTCGTAATCTTTGATTACCTATGTTTTTCTTCTTTTAATCTCCTGGCAAGAATCAATTATGAAAACTGTGGTACTGCGGTATTATTGAATGGAATCATTGTAGCAAAAATTCTGGGAAGGTCTCATACAACAAATTGATTGACGAATATGCAGATTTCATTGTGAAATTTTGTCTGTTAATTCTTACACATTATTCTAGAGAGCTTGTTATTAATCAATACATATAGTAAATGCAGGAACTTGTTTAATATTGTTTAGGCATTGTAGGTGTAACTCATCTCAGTGGCATGATCTTGAATGAAATGCTAGCCAAGCCATTATATAGGGAAAACTTAACATAAGGTTTAATTCTAGATATCAAATATATAGTGGGTAGTTGCTTTGATCTTATATACAGCCCTGATGTAAACTTACTCAATTATTGGTTTACCTTGTTTAAATTTTTTGTTATTTTAGATCAAATGTTCTTTATCAGGCCATGAAATGCCTTGTCAAGAGGAGGCTATCCAGAGCTACATTAAAGGCAAAAAATTCCAGAAACTTCAAGCACAGAATCTTTACAGTTATGACAAATACAAAGAACACATAGTGCACAGCAAGAAGAAAGGCAGAGAGTATGTTTACATATATGAGTTGCATATTTTGTCAAATTTTCCTACATATTCTTAATTAAGAATGTGAAAGAGATGTTAGCACTTTAAAGCAAACTTCTGGAAAAAATTCCATTTCAAACCTTGTAAAGCAATGCCCTAAGCATTTCAGTCGGAAAAACATGTGCCATGATTGATTTTTTTCAACTTCCTAACAACATTTCCAATCATTCAGTATCCACACCATTCTGAATTTTACGATCAGGATTGAATTTATTTTGCAGACATCAGTTATTTTGTTTACTTACATTGAGACATTTAAACAATAATCCTGAACACATCAAACGACACATAGAGGGACGGAAATTTACCAAAGCTTATGCCAGATGTAAGTATAAGTGTGAGATAAATCTTAATATTACATTTTCATATGAATTAGTTGAATTTGATACATCAAGAAACAATATAAGTTAAAAAACACTGTTACCCTCTGAATGATGGAACTACGCTCCCCAGCACTTAGCTGGAGAAATTTAGGAACAGTCAAGTTTGCATGAAGATGGGTGGTATTCTAAAAAAAATATTGACTGTGTAGAATCTATGCACGTTAGAGGTGTAACGATACAGCAATACATCGATCGTATTGATCGCAAGGGCTCACGATATGCGTATCGTATCGCCATGCATGAATCGTGATACAGTACAAGATAATTTTCATTGTTTTGTTTGAAATTACTACATACAACCTAGCAAATTTTAATGTTTTAAAATAGCTGTAAAAAAGGTAGCAAAGAAAAAATACAATGTCAAGACTAAAAATCCACCTTTTATTAACTTTGGTCAGGGGTATCAAGATATTCTTTTTATATTTTCTATAACTGTGGAGGTTAGCAAAGAATAATATGTTAAGATAACGGTTAATTCAATTGTTGACAGCTGTATCATGATACATGTTGTATCGCATGACCGTATTGTGATATGTATCGTATCGTTAGGTAGCTTACGATACTCAGGCCTAATGCCAAGCACTTCACCTTTATTTGTATAATAAAATAAATACTGCATGTAGTTGAGGGTGCGCCTTGGTTGACATGGTTATCTTGGGTTGAAAATTTTCAAAGCTACCCTCAACTACATGCAGTATTTATATACTTGTACCTTTGATAAATTAAAAACAAGAGGTCTATGGGCAGCAACACTCACATTCTCCTTATCGTTAACCCTTGCTTTGAAGACTGTGATTTGAACTTCTTGTAATGTGCCAAAATAAGGCCAAAAAAATTAATCAATAGTTTCTCAGGCACCGCCGCATCAGGTCAAACAATGCCGCATTTATCAATTTTATTGACATATTGAAAAGGGAAGTAACTCAATTTTCTATTTTTCCAAGTTGAAAAAGAATATTGAGTTATTCCCCTTTTCATAAATGCTAATAGATAGACGTTTTTATTAGATAAACAATACATTTCTTGTTAATACTGTATTTTATGAATTAACTTTGTTTGGAATAACATTATTTAAAGTTGAATACATATTATAATTGATGTAAGAGAACAAAAAAAAAGTAAAAATCAGTTTATATCATCATTTTGTTGAACAACTGACATGAAAAAAAGGTATAACACCTGCTTCTAAAAAAAAAAAAAGGAAAAAAAAAAGAACCTGCCTGTCGCATTGAATTTTGAAATTTGTGGCGTGAGAAACTATTAATTAATTTTTTATGGCCTAATTGAAATGTTTTTATTGCATATATAATCCCATGTAAAACTTTTGCATCCTCTTGTGGAATTATTGGAGCCCTGTGGGCTATGATTTGAAAAATCAGTCACACAATTCAACACAACATTTTTCTTGTACAGTCCTGTTTAAAGTTTTGAGTTTGGTCTCATCCTGATGCAGGGGTCCATGATTTAAACAACTCGAATCTACTCTATATGGAGATGTTTTTGAATTGAGCTGACTGATTATGGCCCTGCTGAGAAGATATTTTGAAATATGTATATTCTCCATATGAGTACATTCAAATTTGAACCTACATCATGTAAGAATAATCTCATGCAAGTTTGACTTTTCTGGCCAAATTGTTCTTGTAAAGATCACTTATGGTTTATCCCTCAGACCCACACCTTATTTTTGCTTTATCTTTTCTCCTTTAGATTCTAAATGGGCATATATAATCCTTTATTAAAACAAGTTGAATTTTAGTTACCTAAGGATTTATATTAATTTGGATGAAATCGTTTCATACCAGTACTTGAAGGTTTCAGAGAAAAAGTATAAAAATTTTAAAAGTTTATGTTTTACAGACATTGTTTGCAGTGGATAAACTTTGATCAGGAAAACTCACTTGAGCTTTGGCTCAGGTGAGCTTGAGAGAGAGAGATTTTCAAACATCAGCAAAACTATGATGTGATTTTTGAGTTCAGTTTACATGTTGCTTAGTAAATATACAAAATTAATGTAAAACTGGTAAAACCAAACAAAACATTAATCAACTTTGATGGTTTGTTTTAAATACAGTATCTGCAATTTTTTTTCAGGGGAAGAATGTAAGAAAACCGGTGAAAAATTTCAGCCATTAGGAGGAAAGAGGAAAAAAGACCTGGATGAGGAGTTAGATGAAGATGAGACAGGAAGTGATGTAGACAGCCTCAGTGACCTATATCCAGGTAGTCAGTGTTACAGTTGATTAATGTAAAAATTGAATTGAACAGCAGACTCTAAGCCTTGGAGAGTCCTCTCGTTATAAAAACAGAAGAGGACTTTGTTATTTGTCTTCATCACCAGTAATGGTGTTTAACAGACATTGATAAAAAAAAATATACAGTCAAACCTTGTTGAATTGAACTCAATGGAGTTAAAAAAAAACTCAAGATATTGAGGATAAAACACATGAAAAGTGGCTGGGGCTTCCAATTCACTCCAACATATCCATGATATTTGAAATATCAATGTTCAAAATACCAAAGTTAACTACGGTATTCATATATTTCCTTTGTTTGAATCAGGAACCTTAATGCCCAGTAGAACTCAGAGAACTTGTTCACCAAGAAGTTAAAAGAAAACTGAAAAATATTGTTTCATTAGAACTCTGATTGTGGTGCTTTCTGGAATAAATATCCTATGTATAAATGGAATTTATTATTTTAGGATCTGACTCAATGACCCATTATGTTTTGTCTTTGTGATTGTATACAATGTAATTGATTGTGTAAGGTTTAGTTTCTATTCATTATCTATAGCTGGGGATTTAAATGAGGAAGAAGAAGAAGACTCTGCCTCAGATTATGATATGGGTGTCATGGAGAAGGAGAACGGAGAAGATGACTCCATGAAAAATGTCAGTCAGGGCCAGAAAAGGAAGAAAAAGGAGGTAGGGATGTTTATGTTACATACCCACCAGTATTTAATCATTATATCAAACAGCATATTCCTTACAGGATACTGAGGTTAAATGTGGAAAATTTTAAGAATTAGGGCTTTGAAGAATGGGATAATTAATTTAGTTAAAGTGAAAATTACAAGCAAAATATAGAATTGAACATTAACAGATGTCAGGTGGATGAGATGTTCCATTTTAAGGAAGATTTAATTAATTGTTTTATGAAGTTTACTTGTTCCAGTCTTTTTCCATAGTACTTTCTTACTGATTAGAACTATGATTTTAAATTGCCAAATAATTGTCAACAGGTTTTAAGTTGCCAAGAAGAATGCCCTAAATGTATTTTTATTTTCCAGGGAAAGATAAAGACAAAGAAGAAAAAGACATAGCATAATCTGTTATAAATTATTAAATCAATGCCATCAACATTTTCCTACAATTATTATTGTGAAAATTTATGTTACAAAATATGTCAGTGAAAACTTTTGCTAAACCCTTAATTAGTGTCAGCACCCCAGGTTAAAGTTTTTTGAGCAAGTTCAGTTTTATGGGTATATTCCCAGCTTGATCTAACTTGCAGGGATTATGCATCTTGTGATCCATATTAACAGGCTTTCTTCAGATGCTGCTTGTGCAGCTTGTCTTTGTTTGCATTGAAGTGCAATTTTTTCCCAAATGATAAACTGTTAGTCCAATGTGTCTTGAACTTGATGTGTTTAAGGATTACAAGGAAATTCAAAAAATTGGGCAATGATTTGTGGCATATTGGAACTGTTTCTTCTGTCCTGGCATGTATGTCTATCATGCAAAAAATGTTTTATATTTTAAAAGGAATATATTCTAGTGCAAAAGTTAAGGTCAAGATTAGAGTTCTTCATATTAAACTGGTCTAGGTCTTGAGGTCCAGAATCATAGTATATTTCGAAATGTCTTGTCACAACTAATACGTAAAAATTGAATTGTTATAGCCAAGGTTAAATTTTTCAAAAAGTAGGTCAAACTTCAAGGTCTTGAGGTCAAACATGGTAGTACCTCTTGAATGGTGATGTCACAGGTAATGTACATGTGAAAAATGAAAGCCCCATCTTCTCTCGTTCAAAAGTTTCTGTATGTACCAATTTTAAAATTTTTGAAAAGTTTAAACCAGGTCAAACTTTAAGGTCACAGGGTCTAAAGTTATGGAATATTCGGAAAGGTCACAGGTAATAAACATGTGAAATCTCAAAGCCATATCTTTTCTCCTTCAAAATTATTACATATTTTAAAATTTTTGGAAAGCAGGTCTAAGGTCAAGTAGGTAACATTCGGAAAGATTCTTATCACAGGCAATGCACATGTGAAATAAGAAAGCCATATTTTCTCTCATTCAAAAGTTAAAACCAAGCTTAAAGTTTTTGGAGACAGACGGACACACATAGACGAATGAGATTTAATGTCCCCGAGCTTTTGCATTGAATGACCAGTATTTTAAGCAGAATCAGCCCAAACTTAAATTGCATTAAAAATACTGTAATAGTTTTATGCATTACTCTGGAGCTTGAAACCACCGGTTAGTGACTAGGTTATACAGTATGTCTAATTCAATGTAACTAATGCCCTGTTCATACGAATGCACATTAAATTTTACTTTGCGGTAAATTAATGCGATGGGAATTGAATTAAATCGAATAAAAAAGTGTTCACACGACAGTTAATGCGAAGTAAACTAACGAGCATTAAAATTTGATAATACATGTACTCCCTTTACATTATGTCTATGAACTGACATAATTTCATAGTGTCTGTACATATTTTTTAGTGAAATACGAATATAACAAATAATAATCAAGTTCAAAAGTCCGTTGGACCGTTCACGGTAGTTCAGTCGGTAGAGCGCTCGCTTCGTGATCGGGAGGTCGTGAGTTCGAATATCGGCCGCGACTGACCTAAGTCGATAAAAAATGGGTAGGAAGTGTTCCTTCGCCATGCGCTCGGCACTTTGAAGTGAGAGTTGCGAATCCTTCGTAAGAGACTTTAAAAACCGAGGCCCCGTGTCACGGCAGGTGTTGGCACAATAAAGATCCCTCGCTGCTCAATGGCCCTGAGTGCCGATTAAAGGTCAAAAATTTGAAGCCCTTCACCGGTATATGGTGACGTCTCTATATGAGTGAAAAATTCTCGAATGGGACGTAAAACAGCATGCAATCAATCAATCAATCAAAAGTCCGTTGGAACAGGACACACTGGGAGAAGAGCAAATACTGTGCTCTAAAATCATCAGAAGGGGGAGGGGTCAGGTACCATGGAGGAGTAAGCACCCCCTGTCGACAGGACACACCCGCTATGTGCTCCATATCAAGAACGGGCAAACGGAAAAATCTGTAGACAATTCAGTGTGAAAATAATGGCTAAACAATTAGTATGAAAAACGTCCTTCAACATGATTATATTGCATTTGCTAAGAAGGTCATTGTGTCGACCATAAAATTTGCGAAATGTTGACTTTAAACCAGACTGTTGATATCCTTTTATCATCAACTTATTTGTCAATAGTTTGTCTCATTTTAGAAATCGTTCTTATGTAGAACATACTTTTGCATATCGAATCAGCTGGGAGACATAAACTCCTTATGCAGGTGATAATGGTATATTGCTACGTAAATATATAAGGCCAAAATAAAAAAATACCTTTGTTTCCCCTAACGCGACCGACCCAACTAACTCCCGCCGACTGAAAAGTTTTTTAAAGAAGATTACACAAATATTTTTTTAAATGTTTATCAACATACAATTTCCTCAAAACCCGTTCTTATCAGAAATTCAGAATGTTTTTTTTTAAAGCTGCTGTCAGAAAAAAAAATTATTTACCTACCTACCCAACTTCAGATTCTAGGGTCGGGTTAGGGGAAACAAAGATATTTTTAATGATGGCCTAAGGGAAGTTCACAATAGAAAAGTTGAAGTCATCACTCTTATTATGAAGTTTTATTGTAAGTTTGCCATTAATGTCTTTCTCCAGTAAAATATCCAAATTTGAAGTAGATGTTTCAGATTCTGTGGTCTTTTATATCGAGTTCAAAGGGATATATCAACGTTGGAATGAAAATGACATAAATTGATCAAACAATGTCGATACACATGTATCTAAATGTCGAAGGTAACAGCAAGACACGTCTCTTCATGGAGAAGTGTTTGAATAAATTCTGCTTCATATGAATACAAAAATTGATCTGCTGATAACGTGGCGCAGTTCCAGCAGATTGTTGGAAGAATAGGCTATATCTCAAAAAAAAACTCCATAGATATTGTCAATCAGAAACAAGCATATTTTTAGTATCAACTTCGAAGTACTTGTATGTACAATCAGAATGTTTTTTAACAAAATAATTTTGCATATGAACAACGACAAGGTATATAAATTTACAAGTTCCATTTTTATTGAAATTGTCTATGCATGATGTCAAAAGGTCTGAACTTTAATATATCGCGGGGAATGGTTGTATAAAGTGCTGAAAAGTCGTACGTTAATTTTGGTTAAATTTTGTGATTTCAAATTTTTTAAAAGTTTCTTTGAGTTCTTAGGTATCCACATCTGATTAACACCACTTCTCAAATATGTTGTTATACAGTACTCGTGAAGTTTCCCCTTCATTGCGGTTAATACTTTGAGGAGGAGTAAAGATGCTTGGTAGAATATTTACTAGATCCCGAGCTATGTAACTTTGAAGATTTAATTTTTATGTAGTTTAGGAATACACTGATGAACTGGTACATTGTTTTTCTCAACAAAAAAAACAATATATATATATATATATATATATATATATATATATATATATATATATATATATATATATATATATATATATATATATATATATATATATATATATATAGCATTAGTACCTGTACCTGACCACTTCCTGTTGCATATGACTTTAATGTCCTTTCTTTGCCTTGACCTAAAATGCCGCTAGATTCTTAAAGTCATATATGGCGTATTTTTTGATAAGTTCAGGTAACCAAAATTAAAAAGATCTTTCCTTTTGTTTTAATACTTTATATAAAGATAGGACTTTCCTGTAAATTACACAATTTAAATCAATCGCGTTTCAAAGATATTAAAATTTAAAACAATAACCGATTTATTTACCGACCCCACATTTAAATAAAGACAAATTTAAAGTCAATTTAATTATAGAAACGTGTGGTTATTCAGGCTCAAAATCGGTGAAAATTTTTAATTTGAACGTAGATAACATTTATCATGTATATTTACACTCGATCTCGTATTATCATTTTTCAAGTTCTGATACGCCATATATAGCTTTAACCATGTGCAGATCGAGGGGGAGGGGTTCCGACCCCACCCCCTTCTGGGGTTCTTAGAGTTATTAAATTTCTATGTAAAGTAATCAACCATGACCTTGGATCCCTCCGAAACATGGACTCCGTGTAAAATGGCAAGGAGAGTCATGTATATGTATATGAAGAAAATTGATTAGGACTTCCTACCACCCACGAAATAGGGTTTTCAGATTTGGGCATTCGGGCAATTTTTTTCGGGGGGGGGGGTTGTCAAAATATTTCCGAGTCCGATATCTGTTTAAGTTGGAGTGGAACCCCCCTCCCCGAAAAAAAATCCTGGATCCGCGCATGTTAACATTTGAATTTTTTTTCGTAAATAAACATGACACATAGTTGAAATAATCCTTCTATCACACATCTCATGTAATATTGAAATTCAACTGTCACATATACTTAATATTACTGTTTTTCAAAATTGACTTTTAACTGTTTAATACTTATGCCCATGAAATTTTCTTTCTGAAAACAGCGTTGTGTGTACGTATTAACACACCTCAACCTGAATTATTGTGATTAATGACGCACTCTTCACCACGCACCTTAAAGTAAAATAAATTTCTTGAACGAGACTTGTATTTCACTTTGATTGGTGACTCTGGGCAATCCTATACACACGCGTATGACAAGATTGTTTTCAAAACCAGATAAATTTTACTTCGCTCTTGTTTCAATTTTATTTTTAATCAGATGTTTTACAACTTTACAGGAAATATAAAATTAGTAGAATGCTGTTCAAAAATAGTCTAGGTCTTCTTATTCTTTGTTTATCTTGTCTTTGGTAAGTATTGTAACTCGATTTAAATGATATAAATCGAAACAAAATATTACAAATTAAATAACTTTTCACAATTAAAATTTCTGTTTTGACAGTTGCGATGGATGGATTCTGCACGCCCAAACTCTTTGTAAGGAGATGAATGAGAATAGTGCAAGAGGTGCGGTTAGAAAATTCAAGTTTTATTCTCAAATTTTTTTTTACATGGAATGTATAAAACATCTATAAATACAGTAACAAGAAGTCATGGCATGTTAAATATTAAAAAATAAAATCATTTACAGTATCTAAGTAAGTATTCAATCAACTGATAATGGTATTATATTCTCTCTCTCTTCCACATTTGAAAAAAAGAATTCAATGACATGAAAAAGTATTGTCTCTATCAATCTGACATTTCAGAAAGCAACATAACAATCAAGTACACTATACGTAATCAGTTTGCGGAACCTTGGTTTGAATACGAACAGAATGTGACGTCAAAGGCTGGTCAACCATTCATCAGGTTCATGGAGCAGGCGGCTGATGACGACAAAAACTTCCAGTGAGTAGATTTTTTTTTGTAAACAGGTTGTTTTTGTTACGTTACAGCTAACAATTAACATGATTAAGCACTGACTGCATTCCCGTACTCAGACAGGACCCCAGTCTGTTTAGTCAAAGAAGCAAGATCTTACGATGGCCGATATCAGCCTGTACATATCTCGACTGCTTTTGTAATTTGTACATCTAAAATGTACATTGACATGTACATTTTGCACTGACAGTGCACACTTCGTGCTCTTGCCTTTTGTCTGTTCATGTACAAAATGGCAAAAAGGCAAATGTCAAAAAGCGGACGCATAAAACACATACCCTTTTAATTAAAATTCCTGGTCGGGGAAGACCATTAATTAGGAATAAAATTGTACAAGGCACCGGGAAGAGTTTTACTGTAAAAAAAGGCTGACAAATTAAAAAAAAATGTTATTAACCCTTGCGACCCGTTAATCAATCTGCATAAAAGAATGAAGAAAAAAAAATCATCAATTAAAATTGCCTTCCACAATCAGTTCTTTGCACCTCTGTCAATAAACTGACATCTCCCCCCCCCCCCCCCCCCGAAAATGAAGATTATATAGAAAATACATAATACATGTATACACTCCATTGTTTTTTAAATCAAAAGCATTTAGAAAGTAGTAAGGTCCACAAAAACTATTTTAACTTTCACATTTCAAGCCAAAATCATTCATATCATAAATACTTAGTATACGTATAAAAATAAGCACATTTTTTGTTAAAAAATAAAAGTAAAGAGAAAGAAATAGGAGGGCTGGGAATAAATAAAAATACTGATAAAGATGGCAATATGCAAAAAGATAAATAAACATTTTTTTAATCAAAAGAAATTTATCCAGTATGAATTACAACTCTATATTGGTACTGACATGGAGTTGCACAGAAATGTTTGTAGAAGCATTTTTAATTGGTGATTTTGTCATTTAATAGCCTCTAAGGAAGCTCTTATCACTAATGAAAATGTTTATCAGACATTGAAAAAAACATAATCATGTAAAGAGAGTACATATTGCATTTATCTTACTTATTTTCAGTACAAAGTACAAGCCATAATTTCTCCAGGAAAAATGTTCAAAGACAATGTAGTACTAGTGAACAGAAATCGTTGATTACATGAATTGAGAAAATACATGCAAATGGTGTTTACAATTAATTGATCGTGGTTTAAGAGTACCTAAAATTTTTAAGAGTACTTTAATTTATCTTTTCATTCCAAACGTGTAAAATTATAATGGAATTAGAACTCTTCAGTGAGCACTGTTTAGAGTTTTCTGTTCACAACATTTCCTATAATACTGTGACTTTTCAGCCTGTTTTACTGTTTAACTCTTCCCTGTGACATTGTACAATTTCATTCATATTTAATAGACTTCACCAAGAAGGAATTTTAATTAAAAGAGTATATATATTATGCGTCCACTTTTTGACATTTGCCTTTTTGCCATTTTGTACATGTACAGAAAAAAGACAAGAGCGCAAAGTGTGCACTGTCAGTGCAAAATGTACATGTCAGTGTACATTTTAGGTGTACAAATTTCAAAAGCTGTCGAAATATGTACAGGCTGATATCGGCCATCGTAGGATCTTGTATAGCATGTGGATTTTGCAACCATTTGTATCGATTCACTCACAGGGGCCTTTTATCCGCTGTTCTTTTTTACACATTAATTACCGGTATATGTGTAACACAGAACAGAGTGGAAAAGAGGCCCCATTGATTCACTCTATAGAGACAACAATCTTTTGTTTTCTAAATCAGTCAAGTACATTTGTATTTTCAGATTCTCTTCGAGACACTCTAGCAAGCATGGTTATGTTGTTGAAGAGCTTGGAAAAGATATGTTAGCTGGTACTCCTGGTTTGACTTACTGGCGGTTTGTTAAAGCGCCATCTACCGTCCTAAGTCTGGGTAAGAAATTAAAATTACCACTGATGAAATAAACGGAACAGATTGTTGTTTTAATCGACTGTGTGTAAAAGGTCATCCATTTTCAACTCTAAAGTTAAAAAAGAATAAAATTTAATTTTTATTAAGTCATTTTTTACAACCCAACCGCCCTATCCTATGAATCAATCAAGTGAATGACTAGATGAAATGATAAATTTTCAAACCTCACAATTGCAGATGTGAGTAGATACATACCAGAAGATGGTGACCATTTAATCTTGGACTTTGTCATGTAGAGGGACTTTCAACCTGGCAATATCCTGCATATGTTTTCATCAGAAATCCACCATGTGTTGTTAATGTTTAAATTATGAATTCATATATGTGTCTTGTTCATATACAAATGGTGTTTTTATTGATTTATATAAAAAAAAATATTTCAACTTTTACAAATGTTTTCTTTATAAAAATATTTAAAAATAAAGGAATCGTGAACAAGACAAGAACACGGACCCCCTGCAAACGCCAAAGCCTAGGATAAAGCATCCTCTGTTGACCTGACACGTAAGCCGTTAGCCCCCTACATCGATCAATGGAATAATTCGTAGTCAAAAATTAGTATAAAGACAATGGTTTAACAAATATTATGAACTATTCAGTCAAAATTCGACCCAACGATAGATTGTATTTGCAAAGAAGCTAATTATAACGACCATGTAGAATTTATAAAATGCTGAAGACTTTTGAAAGCCCTATCATATAAATCTAATCGTCAGTAGCCCGACCTGGTTTAAAAATTGATCGTACTCAGGATACCCAGTAAGTTCTCATGTATTGAATCAGTTGGGAAACATTAACACCAAAAGTCGGTGATGGTGAAATATTATTACTGCATAACAACGATGGAAAGGCTTGTCGTGCGGTAGTTTAGCTGTTACTTCTACATTGTATATAGTCAGTAAACATCGTAATATGTAACAGATGTGGCAGACTCTATGGTGCCTTTTACTTCGAGTTCAACTGAAGTTATCGTGTAGACCTATGAAAGAAAATGGATATATTGTTAAATGATAGACCGCCGTGTATATAAAAGAAGGTCATAGCAAGAATTTTTAACTTGTGTAGAGTTTTTGAAAAAAATAGGTATCAAAAGAGTACCATTCGAGACCAGGTCCATAGACGTCGGAACCGGGGGGGGGGGGGCGGCTAGGGGAGGGGCTTAGTCCCCCCCCACTTTTTTTGCAAAGATAGACATAATATAGGCATTGAAAAATGGGGCTTACCTTTTTTTTTGTTGGTTTAGCTCCCCCCTTTCAATTAGCCACCCCACTTTCAATTTGCTTCCGACGCCTATGAGGTCTACCAACAATCTGTTTAAATTCCAAAGGGTTTTTGCTATTTTTACTCCTTTATTAGCAAGCTTGTTTTTCTATTTCTATGAACAGAGTTCATTCAAAAACTTCTTCACGAAAAGAAGTTTCTACAAATGGCCTTCTACTCGACATTTAGATATGTCGTCGACGCTTTAATTAATCAATTTACAATAGTTATTTTCATTCACATGTAATCTCGATATATCCAATGAACTAAAAAATAACTCCACATATTCTGCCATATCTATTAAATGCTATTGTGTTTTATTGACTACCTACGTTAATAGCCAACTAACAACCAGACAATATGACAAACGTTATGCCTTCAGCTTTTCCATCGTCAACGTCCCCTACTTATACAGCAATATTTCAAAATCACCCGTATATGTTGTCTAGCTGTTTCGGTACATAAGAGCGTTCTCTATGAGCAGTCAATTTTTAAACCAAGGCAGGCTACTGACAAATACGTTAACGTTACAGGACGCTCATCAATTTCATATGAAGTCACAAATTCTATGTAATATAATTACCTTGCTTGCAAAAACAATCTATCATTGGGTTTTGCTTTGACTTACATATTAAGTACTGTTATGTTGTTATGAAATTGTTTCTACCCGAATTATGAAAACAAATTACTCTGTGTAACTAACCAATAACAGAGAGCTTACGGCGGATGTGACGAATCAACAGGGGATGTGTATTCCTCCTAGAAACCTGATTTCACCTGTTGTATTTCCAGCTAAGGGGTGTGTGTTTTTGCCAAGTTCAAGATTCCTATTGTTTACAAGATTTCTGAGGTTGATCAGTATTCGTTATCGTCATCTTTTTCAATTATGTCTTCGAATCATAGTATTTATTATAATAATCTTTTGACTTTATAAATATTCTTGTTCTATGTTTTTTTTAAAATTGTAACTAACTGTTGCAAGATATATTTTTTTCAAAGTTTTAACAAGGTAAAATTCACAACTCATTTGTGTTTATTGTCACAGAACATTCATTGTGATTATGAGCACTAGTGTGATATAACTCGTATCACAAGTGACATACCTAAATCTGAATTATGCATTTTCTTTTAAGAGATCTTTAAGTGTTTTCTTATTTATTTGCCTTTCACAAAGCTATGTTTATTACATTTCTACAACTAAGGGTATACAAATATATCAACGACAATAAATCTTACCGAGTTCAAGTACTTTTATAAATAGTATCTCAAACATTTGTAATATCTCAAATTAAAAAAAATGTGAGGTCAAATTTCTTTCATATTATATACAGAGATAATGTTTTCTAAACTATTAAGAAAAATAATTTTGAGTATCTGTTGTGTAATAACTTAAATCAATTGCACAGGTGTTTAACGACTGAAGCATTAAGTCATAAAATGAAAACTGGACAAGTAAAAAATGGAAAGATTGGTATACATTTGTTTAGTTTTTTTAAAGGTTGATATACATAAGCTATTACTTTCATTTAGTCGGTAAATCCTCAAAGTAATCAAAATAAAACATATGGATTGTTTGAATTGATTTTATAGTAATCAAATTTCTTAAGAAAAAAATACCTGATCCCACCTCTTGTATTTCCAGAGGTCCGTGTTTTTGTTCTGTTCACGATTCTTTTTGTTTTCAAACAATTCCGTCCATATCTTTTCAGGGAAAATTAAGATCACGTGCAAGATACGTAACAAAGCAGAACCCAAATCAGGTTATTTTATAAAGTTTAGTTATAACGTTGTCATCAATGTCTTTCTTTTGTAAAATTTCCAAATACGAAGCAGATGTTTCAGACTCCGTGGTGTCTTGTATTTCGAGTTCATGAAACTATACCGTCATTAACATGCGCACAGTTTTAGATGGGCACATAAAGCAACATACTCCAAGTTAGGAGCAGAAGATTAGGATGTATTTCAAATATTATCTGACAATTCTTTTCTATTTCGCCACCTGTGTCAGGTAATTTTTCATAATTCATTCTAAATACAAGTGGGTTTTTTTCTAATGGAAAATTTTATTACCTTTAGATATGAAAACTTGCTTTAAAGTTGTTTTAAATGTGCTTATTGCGATATACCAATTATATAGTTGTATATGCATATTGATGACAAGTCAATAGGAGTACACTTCATATAATACGTCCATTTTTTGTATTGAACCGCTTTCTGGAAGACATTTTATCGGAATTGTACATATTAACTTAATTAACTATACCGTCATTGCTAGGAATGTTTAGAAATGATTTTAGAAAGCTTCAATACATGTATATTGAAAACGAAGGAAACTTTGAAATCAAGTTCACAATCCTGGACTAATGATCTAGAAGATTTTGAAGGAACCATCCTTTTTCTTAATATCTACTTGTATTTCTTTTATTGAATTCAACCGTAATTAAAAATTGTTAAGGAAAAATTTTCAAAAGAAAAGGAAAAAAAAAATGATTCAGAACTTTTTTTGAAAATGCCTAAGTGAATGTTGACATCTTTTAAGTTAGTAATAATAAAATGTAAATTAAATGCACAAAATAATTAACTCGCGTATTAAGGCATATAGACACTTAAAAAAAAACTAAATTCTAATTATCATGCATCACTGCAAATAATGACACCACAAATTTCAAAGGACCATCGTGTACACATTGCTTAGGCCATCATTAAAAATATCTTTGTTTCCCTTAACCCGACCCAAAAACCTCAAGTTGGGTAGGTAGGTAGGCAAATATATATATTTTTTTTGACAGCAGCTTTGAAAATACATGAATTTCTTAAAATTAAATGGAATAATACCCTTATAAATAAATTAAGTACAAAATAAAGCCATTTGTAAACAGCTAGAATACCATATAAATGCCGTTTAGACTAACATTTAAGGTAAATTAATTCACAACTATTATTCAATCGAACTTGTGAAATATCTCATACCAGAGTAAATTTGTTGAAATTGAATACATAAATCTGTTAAAAAGATTCTCGGGTATGCAAAGACCGTATATCCGAGTATTTTTTCATACTTACTATCAGCTTCCAGTGCTTACACATGCAATGTACTTTTTCAAGGGCTTCGAACTGTGCAGTGGTTCTAGAGCATTTCGTTTTGGAGTCTCGAAGTAAGGAGATATTTTCTAAGTTGCGGGTTCAAAACCCAATGCGGGACGTTGAAACCGGTTGTTCGAAAAAGACCATAAAAACTTGGGTCCAGTGTCGCAGTAGATACTAGCACGAAAAAGATCCCTCACTGCTCAATGGCCTAAAACTCCGCTTACAAGTTTAAGTTTGGAGCCCTTCACCAGACATATGTTTAAATAAATGTTGTTGTCCCAATAATTATCAAAGGAATTCAAATCAAAGAAACAACCAATCTTGAATTCAAGGGCCTTATTAAAGAAAAAAACACGGACGTCTTAGGAAGCTTGTATAATAATTTCAAATCTATTTGGAAAAAGTATGTTGACCATATATAATTGAGACAACTAATATCTAAAAATGATAAAATGACATACACAATGTCAAAGTCATGACGTTTAAACTATGAATAAAAGGCATGAAGAAAGGACGTTTGAATTCTATTCATTAGGATGAAATATGCAGACTTATTTATAACTCTTATGGTCCTATATTATGGTGTCCGGATAGGGCCATTTGCAAAAGCTCAACAGCACGTTAAGAAAAACACCCCACCGCGCTAACACACAAAACGCCATCACGCTAACACAATTATACAAAACACGTCATCACGCTTATACACAACACGCCATCGCGCTAACACGCTTTCAAACAACACGCTGTCGCGCTGTCACACAACTTGCTTACACAACTTTGTGATAGCGCGACGGCGAGTTGTGTTAGTGTGACGACGTTTTATGCGAACTTGTGACGGCGTGTTCATCAATGATGTGTTAGCGCGATGGCGTGTTGTGTGTTAGCGTGTTGTGTGTTAGTGCGACGGCGTGTTTTTCTGAATGCGCTGTTGAGCTTTTGCAAATGGCCCTATCCGGACACCATACCATATACATGTTTTAAACATAGAAATATTGATGAACTGTTTATAACATCAAAACTCAAATTAAATTAAATGCAGTGAAATTGATTGGTTTGTTCATGAGGGGTATCATGAGGAGGGCCTACGGGCTAAGCATGATCTCTACGTACTTCATTTTAAGACAGAGGGTAAATACATCCGAAACACGCTTAATAGGTCATCGTATATTTTATTTTATTGACAACGTGTTTAAAGAGTGTAGGATTCTTATATACTAAAGGCATAAGGTTGATACGTCGTCATTCTTTTAAAACATGAACTAACCCTCCGTGACCGAGACATATGTTGTGGGTGCCCAGAACAAAATAAGTAGTTCTGATAAAAACGGATTTTGATGGAATTCTATTTTATAAAAGTTGATACTCATAAAAAAAAAATATTGGAATAATCTCATGAGAAAAAGTTTCCAGTCGGCGCGTTTTTAATTGGGTCGGTCGCGTTAGGGGAAACAAAGGTATTTTTTATTTTGGCCTTATCTGAATCCATATTTAACAACAGCTGACCTAATGGCTTCGTATTTAGTCATGGTGACGTCTTATGTCAAATGACCTTTTTTATTTATCCTTGCTTTCTGCTTCTGCATTTTAAATTTGAATAATGATATGTTCAGTTTTAATGAAAAATTCAACGACTCAGTATTTGGGAAAAACCAATTTATCATCTATATCTATATAGACTGCCTAGACATTAAGGATGTAAATACATATTGGAATTTCCTGAAATGTCTGCGTAGGCATTTATTGATGTATTTTTCTGATTGGTTCCTCATTTCATCACGTGGAAGACATGCGCACAGTTTTAGATGGGCATATAAAGCAACATACTCCAAGTTAGGAGCAGAAGATTAGGATGTATTTCAAATATTACCTGACAATTCTTTTCTATTTCACCACCTGTGTCAGGTAATTTTTCATAATTCATTCTAAATACAAGTGGGTTTTTTTTTCTAATGGAAAATTTTATTACCTTTAGATATGAAAACTCGCTTTAAAGCTGTTTTAAATGTGCTTATTGCGATATACCAATTATATAGTTGTATATGCATATTGATGACAAGTCAATAGGAGTACACTTCATATAATACGTCCATTTTTTGTATTGAACCGCTTTCTGGAAGATATTTTATCGGAAATGTACATATTAACTTATTGAATTTAGTTAAATTGATGGATGAAATATGAAGTTAACGAACAATGCTCAAAAGTCAGTTGTATATTTATACTTTTATATCCTTAAATTCTTGAAAAAGTCTGCTCTGTGTTGGCTTTATCAGCCTTACACTTCATGTATCAGCACACATTCCTTCATTGTTTTCAAAAAGTTTTACTAAAATAGTAATGTAATTACGAGATAGTCTGAACATATTTCAGTGCATTTAGCAGAAATGAAATATGAAGATCACGAACAGTAATCAATCTCAAAAGTCCATTAAAACAATACAAATCTGGAGAAGAGCAAGGGCGGACCTCTAAAAACATCAGAGGTGGGATCAGGTGCCATCTTATTCATTGTACATTGGACAGTTAAATCAAATAGTATCTGATATACAGGTGTCTCACAAGTCCTGAAACGAAAACCGGAAAAGGAAAAAATGGTAAGACATATTTTTATTATTATATAATTAGTCATAATATGGCACCATCCTAAATGTAACCATAATAAAAAAAAAGACAGGGACTGAATTTATATAAATCACATATAGTTTTTCTGAGGGTATATTATATGTGATATGTTATATGTGAAATATGTGATATTTTCCATATATAACGTATCCTGAAGTTAGCAGGATTTGCGAAAAATATTCAAAAACTATTATTTACGCTGTCTAGTATATTGCCACATTCCATTTGCTTGTATTTATTCATAAGATGGATGAAAAAAAAAGATTGTGTAGTTTTTCATCAGAACAAGCGCAAATATTTACAATGGTCACCTGCTTAATTATAAGACAGTAATACCCGCACTAAGGTGTTTGCCTCTAAATGGACATCCCTTCATATTTGGGTAACCAAGGAAAAGGCCACAATAATTCTTACACAGTACATGTATTTGTCAAATCATGCATAAAATGCTCAGGTGAACATCTTTATCAGTTTTTGATTTCTATGAATGATGTTGCCATGGTTACTAAAAGTAAATTAGAAATGCAGAAAAAAACGTCATTTTTCGACCGGCCCAGTTTGCCCCCTCCCGCCCCCCCCCCCCCCCCGATGAAAATGAAAACTTCGAAACCATATTGCACATCTACTGGACACCATCAATCATTTTCCAAAAGATGATCAGGCTACTGCTTAAAATGTAAGAGGAGTTCTGGGAACCAAGGTCCTTTTTGTATAAAAACGTCATTTTTGGACCCCAGGGTTTTTGTGCTCCCAGGGAGAAAATAAAAATTGAGAAACCTTATTGCACATCTACAGGACACCACCCATCATCTTCGAAAAGATGATTATGCTTCTGCGTAAAATGTAAAGGGAGTTCTGGGAACCAGGGTGTTTTTGTAGAAAAAAACGTCAGTGTTTTGCCCCTGGGGTAATATTTAAAATTCCAAAACTTTATTGCTCATCTAAAGGATACCACCTATCTTACTCTAAAAGATTAATTGGTTATTGCCTTAAATAATTTTTAAGTTTTAATAAACTTTATATATTTGTAAAATATGTTCAGATATTAGGATATACCGAATTGATAATTACTTTTACTGTTTAATTTTCTTGAAGTAATTTCTATGCATTTTATTCAGAAAATGGCAAAATATTTATTCAAATTGTTGTTTTTCTATTTTTTTTTTCAATTTCAGAATTGAAATCCCTATTGTATATCTTTTTTGCCATGTTTGTTTTCTAATTTGAAAGATTATTTTCATATCAAAATTTTCTATAAAGCCCCCCCCCCCCCTAGTTATTACCAGTCATCCCAGTATTTTCACCAGCAATACAAAGTAGAAAGAGGGATCTGGTTTTTGCCAATGGATTTCAATGAATTAATAATTTTAGGTTCCCTTTTCAGCTTATCTTTTTGAACCCGAATGAGATTTAAAAAACAGATGCCAGAGTGAAAAAAGTTATTCACACCAACTCATTTTCAAGGTGTTACATACTGTTATGAAGGTTTCCAGTGATTAGTGTGTAACAGACGTTCTCTTCGACAAACATTAAATGATCTAATTTTGAGACAGGTCCACATATATAGGAATGCGGATGGATTTAGTGGAAACAGATTCTAGAACGCAGTTCGCAGTTTACTGTGAAATTCTAAAGGAACTGTATTTTAAGAGCACAGTTCACAATTTACTATTTGTATATATTATACTTTCATGTAAATTAGTTGAATCTGATTCATCGAGAAACATGCCTTCAGCATAGCAACAGTTAACATTGCTTGACGACGGGTGTTATTCCAAAAAATATTGACTGCGCAGAATTTATGCGCGCAAGGTTCACTTTAATATGTATTTGTATAAAACTTTCAGTATAATATAATAGATACTACATGTAGTTGAGTGTAACATTGAAAATTTTCACCCCTCGAAAACCATTGTGAACCTCGGCTGCGCCTCGGTTGACAATGGTTTTCTTGGGGTGAAAATTTTCAATGTTACACTCAACTGCGTGCAGTATTTATATAATGCATATAACACTTAATTATACAACATCACAAACATCGAAGACTCCAACTCCAATGTTTTTTAGATTTCCGTGATGTTGGTGAACTAACAGCACTGTGTGAAATGGAGATGATACTATGAAAACTAATAGACATATATTTTGCAAAATGAATTCAAGGACATCTTAGATTTTGAAATACAGTTTATTAGCAATAAATCTTAAACTCTTCATTAAAAGAGAGACGGGGGGGGGGGGGGGTTGGCATATTAACTACCAAAGTTTCCTTGACAAGCAAAAAAAAGGTCATCAGACGTTATTGTTTAGGGGGCACAAGCATTTAGTAGCTATGTTTTCTATAGTATTCTATATATCGGCAAAAAATATTGGGGGGGGGGGGCGGGGGCAAGCCCTTCCCCGGTTCCTACGGCCATGAATGATAACATAAAATACCGATGACGGTTTAAGGCATGTACGTGTACCATTTGTTGTGCTGTTAAAGATCATCTTTCTGATTGAAGAAACATTGCTTTTCCAGACGAAATTTATAATAGAAAATGATATTTACTTTTCTAATTCTGTAACATTTCAGAGGAAATAACGGTCAGGTATACGATACGTAACAACTTGGCGAAACCCAATTTTGAATTTGAACAGAATGTGACGTCAAAGGCTGGTCAACCATTTATCAGGTTCATGGAACAGGCGGCTGATGACGACAAAAACTTCCAGTGAGTAGATTTTATTTTCCAACTCTAGTTGAAAGAGGAATGCATAAAAGAAGTCCTAAATTATTTTTTTTACGAATATTGGGGTGCTAAATTATTTTTTACGATTAATGATAATTAAGATAAATACGGGCTTACGTCCTGAAATAATTACTTGTGATATTTTAAATAAATTTATTTTGAGTTTACAAATGATTGTAAGTATACTTTTATTAATAATTTGTTTAAAACTCATAAAGGATACGATTACAGTTGTCAACACAGGGACACATTTAATATAAGATTCCGTATTTTCTCAGGTTTTCATCAACATACTTTGCTAAACTTGGATACTTCATAGAAAAACTAGGAAAAGAGATAAATAGAGAGGGTGTCCTTGGTTTGTCTTACTGGCAGTTCGTGAGAGCGCCATCTACAGTATTGCCTGTTGGTAAGTCCTCGGCGGTTACTTCTCTCCCCAACCAAAACACAGCATAAATTGTACATCAATATATTTAGCCCTGGGAATTTGTCAACTTCTGCTTAGTGTTTGCTAATCTAGTACTAGTATATAGTATGCTCTAAGAATATAATCAGGCTAAAAGATAAATCTAAAGGAATAAAGTTTTTAGGTATCAGTTACACTAAGGGCAGAATATGAATTAAAGCTGACCACGACTCGTAAATAGGCATACGCCATTTTCGATATTACTATCTAAGATATCAGCACCGGGGTAAACTCTTCGCATTCGAGACACCTGAATGCTTTATTGTCACGGGTATCAGCGTGGAATGGCTACCCGTGTTCGTGCTGGTTATCTTGCATTACCTGTGTTTACATTTTATTGCAGTTACGTATATTTACAAGTGTTTGTTTGTATACTGCACTGACCTGTGCAACTGTTGTAAGTTTCTTTGGTATCTTTCCCTCCTGCATTAGAATAGGTACACATATTTTGTCGCTACCGAGTGCTGTATAGCATAGGTCCTTCTACACCGGTGACGATTGATTACACTGAACAGTGACCAAGTCAGCGGCTTTATATAGGGGCCCTTAGATATAGCAAGAATCCAATCGAATATGGCGGATACATTCCTTTTACTAGTCTTGATCAGCTTTAAATATAATTTCCCCCCACAGTACTTGTACAAGGATATTAATTAAATAATGTATTCTTCTATAGTTCATATCAAAAGTTAGTAGAAGCGTACCTCTGAGTCTCTGGTGATATATGGTGACAATTTAAAAAGGATAGCAATTCCTTTGAAATTAAATAGGAAGAATAACTAAGAATGCACATTTGAACTTTTGGTCAAAAGTTTGATAGAATATACTAGAAATCAATGCGTATATGTGATTTTAAAATGCAGTTTTCTGCATCAATGCTCTAGTGGTCTTATTAAAAAAGACAATGGTAAGAACCCCCAAAAAGTTACGAGATTTTATAGGTGAACTTTAATATTTAAAAAGGGATATAGAAGACAATTGATTAAAATAACAATAATTGATTTAGCAGTACATGTGAATTTTGTTTACAATAATTTAAACAGCCAATTTGAAATTTTTATGGGAAAAGCAGGTTAAAGCAAATCTATAGAAAACAAATAGATATTTCAGATGTGTGCAATGTGATCAATTGGCCTTTTGTTTCTGACATTTTTTTTCTCTGTCCAAAGAAATTTAAATCAGACGTTGAGATTGTATTATTGCAGGTGTGAGTACCTACATTCCAGAGGATGGTGACCACATAATCATGGATTATGTACTAGAAGGAAATTGCGTTCAGAATTAATATGTATTAAAGGATTTCCACATTTTATCACAACAAATCTGCAACCTACATGTACATGTGTCTTGTGATATGTTCAGGTTTAAATGTTGCATACTCCTTCAATCGAGGAATTTTGCTTTGCATTTTATGTTATAAAAAGTTTTCATCTAACAAATAAATTTGGAAGACAGGATATTTTATTTTTTCAGGGAAAAGCTGTATTTGTTCTTTTCTTTTTGTATTGGACTACTAGTATATAATGGGTTGTTTCTGCCGTTTGCAATTTTAAATGGAAATATTCTGGTTCAACTAATTTTGCAAATGAAAATGGTGAAGATAACGAACAGCGATCGATTTCAAAAAAGTCTACAAACAATACAAATCTGTAAACAGGGCATAAAATACGGACCCCTGAAATTCCAGAGGTGGGATCAGGTGCTTAGGAGGAGGAAGCATCCACTGTTGACCAATCACACCCGCCATGAACTCTATATATTGATCAGGTAGGCGGAACGTTCCGAAGTCAAATTTAGTATAAAAACAAAGGCCTAACACATCAGCCAAAATAACACCATAATATTATGATTGGTTATGTTTGCTAACAAGATCATTATAACGACCATAGAATTTACGAAATGCTGACTTTAGACGAGGTTGTTGAAATCCATGCAACATCATCTTATATGTCAGCATCCTTCCTTTATTTAAAAAAAATGATCGTTCTCAGAATATGCTCTTGAGTATCGAAGTTTCGAATAAGTTGAGGGATGTAACCACTATATGCAGGTGATAGCGGGATATTACTACATAAATTAGGAGAGTTGACGATGGAAATGTCATACAATTTAATTGTTAGTTGGCGCTTATCATCTATAGTCAGTGAAACATTCGAACATGAAATAGATGTAGAAGACTCTGTGGTGTCTTTTATTTCAAGTTCTCTAGGTATGAATGAAATATGTGGAGATAACGAACAATATTCGAGCTCAAAAGTCCATTAAACAGTACAAAATAAGAACAGAGCAAACACGGACCTCTAAGACATCAGAGGTGGGATCAGATGTCATGGAGGAGTGAGCATCCCCTGCCGACCGGTCACACCCGCCGTGTGCTCCTTGTCATAATCGGGAAATAACGGAAAAATCCGTCCACAATTTAGTGTGTTTATAATGACCTAACAATTAGTATGAAAAAAATCTGTCAATATTTGACTTAATGATAGGTTGTATTTGCTGACAAGGTCATTGTATCGACCATAGAACTTACGAAATGATGACTTTAAACGAGAAATGAATGGAAGTAACTATTGTTAATTGATAAAACGTCGTCGATATATCTTAATGTCGAGTTTAGGCCACAGCAAGTTTTTATTTCTTCTCATTTAGGAGTTTCTGAATACATTCTGCTTCATCGAAATATGAAAAGTGCCTTTTTTTTTTATTGAGAAAGTTTTCTATGGAATCAAAGAGCCTGCCGTCACGTTGGTTCAGTCGGTAGAGCGCTCGCTCCGTGATCCGAAGGCAGTGTGTTCGAATCATGGCCGCGACTGACCTAAGTCGTTAAAAAATAGGTAGCAACTGTCCCTTCGCAAAGCACTCGGTATTTTGAAGTGTTTGAAGTGAAATTTGCGGGTCTTTCGGTCTTCCTTGAAAACCGAGGCACACTGTCACGGTAGGCGTTGGTACGATAAAGACATTCACCGGTATATGGTGACGTCTCTGGATGAGTGAAAAATTCTCGAAACGGGCTTGTGTGATTTTGAAGAATTTCATTCCTTAGAAAATGAACTGTGAGTATAAATTGGATTTCCAGACGTAGAATTAAAACAAAGTTCTTCTAAAATACGGTTATAATAATGAGATGATGGCAGATACAATAATGAATTGGTGCTATCAGTGAAATGAAGAAAATATAAAAAAAAATATATTAAAGAAAACGTATAGGTACATAGGATAGTTCAAACTCAATGAAATGTAATTTCAAATTAAAATTTATGTAAAAAAGTAAATCTCAGTCTTGTAGCTATTCCGGGCATTAGAATTGCTTAATTAATTTTTTACGTGCATTTGAAGCGTACTACTAGTATGGATTAAAAAGAAACTAGACCTAAAAATTCTATTCCTGGATTTACTCAGTCTTGGATTGAACGAGGTGAACGGTACCATATATATATTGACTTTTAGTTAACTATCCCTAACAAAAAAATACTATAGTAAACTATAGTTAACTATAGTTTACTTTAGTTAACTATAGTACCAAAGTAAAAACTTTGGAACTTTGATTTACTATAGTGAAAACTTTGGAACTTTGATTTACTATAGTGAAAACTTTGGAACTTTGATTAAGTACGATAAATCCCGTGGAATTATGTTTTTGATTCCCATTCTTTACATTTTATGATATTTCAAGTTTAAGATTCATAAAAGCGTTAGAGAACATTTTAAAAACCCGACCCCTCCCCTAAAAGAATAATGTACAAGATATGAATTTTAATGTAAAGGTTGTCGCTTGCGCCGATAAATAAGCAATAAATTATTTATTTCAATGTATTTAATTTTAATGTTATGCAGATTTAACGTTAGTCTTATTTATGGAGAAAAAATAATATATTATAAAAAAAATTGTGTCATTTAGAATCAAAATATCTGCTTCATCAACTTCAGTCAACATGTATTTTTATTTAAATTTATAAAAATAAATATTGCATTTGAATTAACTACTTTGTATATTTAAATAAAGATGTACAACAAAAACCAGCCCCAACCAACCCCATATCCACCCCCTCTCCTAAAACGGCTAAATAATAATAAAAAAAATTTAATAAAAATACATAAGTTCTTAAACAAACGAAAAAACTTTGAAACTTTAATTAACTATAGTAAAAACTTTGGAACTTTGATTTACTATAGCAAAAACTTTGGAACTTTGATTTACTACAGTGAAAACTTTGGAACTTTGATTTACTATAGTGAAAACTTTGGAACTTTGATTTACTATAGTGAAAACTATAGTAAACTATAGTTAATTATAGTTAACTATAGTATTTTTTTGTTAGGGATTGTTAATTTTTGCAAGGTTTATTCTATATTCTAGCCTTGTTAATTCGAAAACTTGTGTTCCCAAGCGAACACCTCCGGATTAACTATGAAATAGAAATTGCAGTATAAACAGATAATACACTTAAATTAAGAATCCCAGAGACAGACACGCTGATTAATTATAAAGGTAAATGAACAGAAACATCCCTTTCCAGATTTGACAAAATGATGGGAATATGTTTTGTAATTCTATGTGTACGCGATAGATAAAATGCTGAGAGTAGATGCTGTAATGTAGTTAAACTGCTTTCCAACATTACAAGTGGTTTAAAACGGCAGCAGATTGAGCATCCACAACCATAAGTGAAATGCTTCAAAAAGACAACAGGTGTAATTGCGAACGTTGTAGTTGTGGAAAGTGTTTAATGTTTAGCGCTTTAATGAAGTTGATACGAAAGCCCAGAAGGCTCATTCGAGATTCGAGTTTCGAAATACGAGATTCAGAATTCGAGTTTCGAGATTCAAGATCCAAACTAACCAATCAAAAGGCGGATTCAATAAATGATTACTCCCCTTTACTAAGTTTTTACTATCAAGAAATCATTGAATATATTTATAACAAATGTGTCATTTGCTTAACGAGGTTCGCTCCTGAGCTTTTCTAAACCTATATTTCAAAAATTCTGCAAAAATTTTAATTCTTACAATAAATTTGAATTCTTTAATGCCAATTAAACTATATTGAGTTAACACTCCATGATAAAATTCCATACCAAATGCATTAAGTGAGGAACTATATTTTGTGGCGGAAGGTTTTTTAGAAGAAAATGATCATTTTTTCTCTTTCGAAGTATTTAAAGTATGTTAAGTTTGGATTCCTATTTTTACATGCAGTCTGCACACAGAGTTATTTTGTGTCGTGAACTGTTTTATACTGGTCCTAAATTATATATCAAATAAACTGTCATGAATTCTATCATTATATTTGATAAATATAGCAAATATATTGTGAAAATCAAGAAAAAAATATATCCCTATTTTAACCTTAAAATTAGCACTATTTTAGTAATATCTAAAAGTTAACATCACAGACCCCCACTTTTTATTTTCTTTTCTGAATTTATAGAATATTTTTAACCATTCTTTTTAAATTCAGTAAAATGTAATAACTTTCAAATGATTTTTTTTGCTTGTTAAATTTTTAATGCCAGAAAAATGAAATTTTTTCAGTGCAAAAAGGTCAAATAATTGAACATGGGGAGTAATTTGAAAATTTTGTCGTTGTCACAAATTTTAATGTGTCTATTCAAGATGAAATAAAACTGTGTTTGTTCCCATAATTTATTTGAATAAAAAAATATTAGAGGAAAAACTTTAAAAATTGATTTATGTGTAAGACGTATTTACAGTGCAAAAAGGTCAAACTAAATGCTCTGTAGCGCCAAATGAAGTGCATTGACCCCCATCTCTTGTTTTGATTTTTAATTAAGCTATTTATATAAATTCTAAAAATATACTTGATAAAAAATTCTCATTACTTTTGATGGCAGGATCCAACCTCCTTAAATAGTAATGCAAGAAAAAATGTTATATGTTTCAAAACAAAATAAAAATGAGTGTTGGGCAACGTTTTGAAAATATATATATAAAATCTTATTTTCCTCATTAAAGAAAACAATAGATACGTATATAGAATATTATATGGCCTTATCGTTGAATTAAAAATTTAGTAGGTCGATAATTTATTAGATAAGCTCATGAAGAGGGAGAAAATTATTATTGATATGAAATACTAAGGATGGTCTATACACTGCACAGTAATTTAATTAAGGATACATTTCATTACATTTAAGCGTGTATTTGTGCAGTTAGACTGATCTACTATTTGATATCGAATAAAATAAATTCCAGTCTGTATTGTATATATGATTTTTAATTAATTCAAGTATTCAAAGCCTTAGATCAAGATAAGTAATTGAAAACTTAATTCTTATGTATTTCTCCTATTGAGAAACAGTGGCGTATATTCCTTT